AACAATTGTATTGGAAAGAAAGAAAGCCCATGTTGGTTGTTCAATCTAGAAACAATTCAAGACAAAGAACACATTAGAATTATATTAATAGAGATACATTTTCATGAATATATTGTTACTGCTTGATTAGACAATTGGATACGGCCAACAGCATTTTGAAACACAAAATATTTAGTGTGGTGTTTTAACCCCAGTAAATATTGAGAGGGTAGTAAAGAGACTATAAAAATGCACTCCCAACGGGGTCCAGACCCTGGTGGTGAGGGAAAGGACTCTTCCACTGATGAAGCGGTGATGGGGAGGAGACGGGTTAGGGACAAATAGTAGTTTACTTCAGAGACACTGAGGCTCTGTTTAAATGCAGCCATAAGGTGATGCAAAAACCGCCTTCTTATTGGTGCGTTTCCGGGGTGGCAGTAGTTAACGGTGTGTATGTAATCTCTGGACGCAGCTGGGACTGTGTCTGTGATAAGGGGCACGTGGTCAGAGAGCAGGGAGTCCCTCTGTGCTGCTGACGACGTTAACGTGACAGTCTGAACATGGAGCTTTTGTGTCGTGGAGAAAATACGAGGACGAGTCAAGGACACACAAGAATGAGGATATTGCATGGATGTATTATATTAACTGGATAGGGTATTACTAGCTTGTAGCTGAATAACCCATGTGCTCAGGGGATTCTCGCGGTACTGCAGACTAGATCAGACTAAATTCACGTGGGCTACCCAGAAATTTTCCCCATAGAACTCAATGCATATTAAAACAGCTCGACCTCAGCTGACAGAGAACCTACAGCTTTCATAAAGGTCGGATTTTGTGGGGATTTTAGTGTCCCTTGTCATCCTGAACTTTTTTTCTTCTTAAATCCTTCGGTTTTGTTTAAATCCACACTTTAGTGCCACAAACTCTGCTCCTCTGGCTCTCGCTCTAACTCCCGCTCTGATGAGCTGCTCTGATTGGTCAGAGCGCGGCCGAGCCCCTCTGTGCACGTGCGTGAGACCTGGTGTGAGACCCACACACGCGTGTTTGGCGCAACGCATTATGGGAGATCATCCACCGCGCAGAACCGGGAGGACCAGACGATGCCCAAATACAGGCGAGTTTCCCATAGATCTTTGCGAGTTTCAGGCAACTTCCGCTAATCTTTCAGCCCCCATGCCGTCACAAAGCGCCACTGAGCACAACCATTCATTTGAATAGGGCGCCATCTTGAATCGCCGGGGCTTGGGATATTGCAACTTGTTGACATCCATAACAAAGGGTTACAAAGTCATGAGGGTTTGGTTTCAACGTCCATGTCTCCTTCAGACTTTGAAGAACTAATCATATTATGATTTTGGAGATAAGCCTTTTGAAATAATTGAGATAAAATTTGTAATTTAAGTTCACAGCAGTTTTACAGACACATGCATTCACATTCACTGCAAAAAATGTATTTATCGCAATTAAAAAAATGACTTAATTTCTCAGAAATGCAAATAACATGCTACTGTGCTAGAACTAATTCTGGACATGCATGTTCCATTGGCAGTTCTCGTTTTAAAACTGAAACTACAAATCAAAGCAAATACCTCTTTTAGGGGAAGCTCTGATTAATGTCCTTGTTCTTGTATTTCGGCACTTGCAGTTATTATTTTCATTATTGTTATTATTTTTACATAACTTTATATGATGCTGATCTCTTGTGTTTTTATTGCAAAATGAAATTTTGATAAGAATTCAAAAGCCTTTTATCACTCTTATGTGGACTGCTTGTTGAGAGTGTCATATAAAGTTGTGGCACATAAAGTTTAAATACGCAATTTAAACATCAAGTAATTTAGTTTTATCCCATAGTTAAAGAAAATAATGTTTAAATGCATGTGTTACAGATCATTGTAAACTAACCTTATCTTAAACTTTGCCACCCCGGCTCCAACCGGTTTAGTGGCTTGTGCTCTTCTCTTTTGAGGTTTCACACAGGCAGCTTGAGTTGATCTTTCACATCCTCAAAAGTCATTTCCCTGAAGTGTGGCGTAAACAGGTTTAAGAGCTCCACTTATTCAGCAAACACTCAGTTCAAACACAGAGCAGAAAAGAGGCTGTGATCTGTTTTGAATGGACTCTGATTCTTTGTGCCAGAAAAAGCTTATTGAAACTTGGTTTGGAACACCAGAAACCGGAAATGAGTCGTTGTGGCGTGTACACTTGGCCTATCTGATTTTTCATAACTTTTGGGTTTGAATTGAACGCTGTATGTCATTACACCTGTACACCGGCTAAATAATTCAGGCCTCCTGAATAATATGTTTATTCTTTTGCTTGGCCATTGCTTCAAATGTTTGCCACCAGCATCAATAAAGGTCATAGTTATTTCTCTATCAACAAGGAAGCTTAAGGTAGGGTTAAGGTAGACTTTATAGTCCATGTTGGGAAATGTGTCCACTGCAAATCAGTGTTAATAAAGGTTGGACCACCTGCAGCTCAAAAGTGATCTTTTTTTCAATTAATTAGTAAAATCCCAAAGAAATGTTATAGACTATTCTTATTAATCCGCAGATGTATTGAACCATGCATCATTTATTGAACGATAAAGACCAGACTAGCAGCGGCACTTTCATATCCTCACACATGGACAGTACCGTCTCTGAATGTTTAGCTTCAAAATGATATGTTATGACATTCATTTAGTTTAGGGGTCTCCAACCTGTAGCTCCGGAGCCACCAGTAGCTCGCCATTCCCTTCCAGGTAGCTCGCCAAAGGATTTAGAAATGAACAAATCAAATAATATACTTAATATTTCACATTGTATTATTCATTATCATTATTTATTATTGTAAATGCACTTACTTTGTTCACTAGTAACTAATATTCACTGATATATAATGGCTGTACCCAATGCCAGACTAGTTCAGACAAAAATATCACCACATTTTTCCCAGGGCCACTTAAATGAGTAGCTTGCTGCCTTTATCGTTCAGGGAAAGTAGCTCTCTGGGTGAAAAAGGCTGGAGACACCGGATTTATATTCACCTCAATACTAAGATATGTGGCATTTATTCTAGTTTATCTTTTAACTTTATGCAGCCATAGAGTTTTATAAAAGATATTCTGATGTAGTTTACAATGTATCAATTCTCAAGAAATGTCAAATGCCTTGGATTATATCATTTTCAGTATCTGCTTGCTATCGCAGTTTTGATATCGGCTTTTGTAATCAATTCTCCAACTTTTTGACAACCCTAGTTTGTACCACAACCATTCAAGACTGGATTTCACAACCCGCCCTGCAATCAAATGAGCAGCAGAATACTGTCCCAGCGCATACTCGACTTTAAAGCTTTTATGTCAATCTCACTCACCAGAGTCAAAACTACAGCTGTCAAACACACCTATGCATAACACAGGCACTCACTCAACCCTTGGTCAACACAGACACAGTAAAAGTGCCATTATTTCCACATGTATAAGGTTTTAAAAGAAAGCGCCAGGAAGCTGCAATGGCTGGGGACCACACCATCCTGGTTGTGTTGACTTAGTCCTGCACAGTGTCTGTTTGCACGCACTCATAACGGGGTCAATAACATCTGCTAATGGGCATCTCCTAAAAACACTGACCGGCAGGTTGTTGACTTCACAGGGAGGGTGGAGAGATGAAAATATGGTTCTATATGACTGGTTAAGATCTAAAAAAAACCCCAGTAAACTATCTTATTAATACATGATTAAGTCAATATGAATTTGAATTAAAATACGGTTATGCAAAGATAGTCAAAGCAAGACTTAAATTGTATGATTTTTTTCTTACTGAAATGTCAATTGCAAATAGGTAAAAGGTTTTATTATAATGATTTACTTTTTGTCTTCTGACCCTTTCTGAAACCCTTTGATATCAAGTATTTTTTCTAAGGCCAAAAACATGAAAGTCAACTAAAAAAAAGGTGGGTGGCAAAAGCTCTGAACTGTTATGTATTTAGCAATGAATGCAAAGGATGTCACTTCAGTTTTCTCTTAAAATTGTTTCAATACAAGTTTTGTTCAGCTATAGGACAACTACATTTTTTTATTTCCACAGTTTCTTTCACATTGTTTAGGCCTGAAGCATGTGGATGTAACATGCCTCTGACCTTACAGTAGGTCCCATTTCGTTTTGTCGTCTTCACTCACGCTTTTCATGAATCACGCAGCTGCGTGAAACATATTACATCTTATCGCCACAAGGTGGCAGGTTAAGTCCGCTTTAGCTCTGCCAGCGACTTAAACGCTCAGGTATAAGTCTGCGTGCAAACGTTATGAGCCTAGTGATACTATGTTAGCAACTATTTTAAATGTGTTGGCCTAATTACTACGTTTTTTTTTTTTAAGACGTGCTCGGTTCAGGTGGGAGTTAAGAGGTTAAAAGCAGAAGATTTTCCGACAATGTTCCTAACCCTGCAAAGATAAAAAGCCAGTACAAAAGTGGAATAATTTTATCTTCATAACTTGGTGCTGATTGTGGAGTTGTATCAAAAGTCTTTAACTTGTACTCGAACCCAGGTCCTCCTGCGCCAAAGACTTGAGCTTTATGACTGGGTGTCATAAAGCTCAAGGTGGCACTGCTCACAAGTGCCACCTGGTGGTTGTTTGGGTCATTGCAGCATCACTGGGGGAAAAAAAAATAAAAGACGCGTGTTTCACACGTGAGTCTCGTGCTATTCACGCGTGAAAGGCAACAAAACGAAATGGGACCTACTGTATGTGTCTATAGCCTACGCTTTTAAGTACAACATTAAGTCGTGTGTTGAAGGTAGATGAACAAACTTGCACACTCCATTGGCAATTTAACCCATATGACAAATAAGGCCCAAATAACCCTTGTTAAGATGAGATAACCCTATATTGGCCAAACCTTTAACTATAATTTCATTGAATATGGATGGTTTCCCTTTGGGTGTTGGCCCCAGCTTGTGTCACAGAGCTACATTAGTGGTGTGTCTGTGTGTGTTGTGTAATCCTGCCGCACTTCTTCTTAACCTTCTTAAAGTCACTGATGAGGAGGAATGGAGCTCGACCCAAGAGGGAGGTGAGGGAGGTGAGGCGGCACGGACCACTGCAGCCCGGCTCCATGACAACCACCCTCAACAAGCACCTCCACTGTTGTCCAACCTGCGCTGATACACACCCAACTGGTTCACTTACAGAAAGTCTGAAGATGCCATCCAAAAGAAAATTTTATATTTAACCTTTAATTTCCCCAAAAAAGTGCTATATTTACATTAAGAATACTGTGAAAACAACATTGGATGCTTGGACTAAATTCTGTAATATGTCACAATGATGGGAAATCATCGAGGGTCTTTTACAGTATTTTTGGATGAATATAAGATTTTGTTCTGCTCAGTGGAGATCAACTAACTAGAATAACTAGATTAACTAGATTAAATATAAAAGTATAGAGTTTTGATAAGGTAAATCTATCCAAAATTTGAGATGAGGAAATCTATCTAGATTTATTTTCCCCAGATCTCCCAGCTATACCCGTGAACTGGCATAAAAACGTATTATACAGAAACGTACAAAGAAATGAATCCTGTACATGTGGAATTTAGAAAGCAGTTATAACAGCCACAATTATAGTTTACAGATTGAGTGGGTGCTGTGAATGGAACTGTGTTTGGAAATGGTGTTTCCCATTTAGATGAATACAGACTTAAGATTGTGACATTTGAATGCTCTTTTGAATTTTGTCAAAGAAAAGAAATCTGTCACTACTTGAAAGATGACGTGTCTACAAAATGTGCCCAATATAGGAAACTATGTTATGGTAAATCGGTATATTGTAATACCATGTGACAGTTAGTGTTGATGCAGCAATGGGAACAGTCATCTGGAGCACAGCCACCAATAAAAGAGTTTCAAAAAGTTTTTGAAGTTGATTTATTGACGATATGTCGTCATGCTACGTGTTAACCTTGTGTCTGTCCAACATATGAAACACAATGAGGCGTTTTCCTTTGACATCCTGTTTGTTGCACTTAGGAATTTGCCCATGTAAACACTGGCACACTTCTGACGTGAAGGCTTCCCCAGATGCAGAATGATAGCACTTCATTGGAGTTCTTTGATTACTTTAGATACGGTCAATGCCCTGATTTATTATATATTTTTTAATATTAGACCAGCTTAATCATGTTTACAATCTGATCATATTTGGGAGGGTCTTTGTGGTAATTGCAAGTAGGGCTGCACGATATATTGAAAAAATATTATCGTGATACTGGTGCGTGCAATTTTCATATCAAAAAGATGCGTGATAAAAAATACATTATTTATTTAATTTTCTTAAAGAGAACAAAAAAACAAATAAGTATATCAATATATGCATTTGAAGGTCATTAGTTTTGTGCTTATTTTTTGTTATTTGTCTCTTACGTTTCAGTGCCGATTGCAATTTTAGGTGATGGACAAAAATATCGCAATAATATTGTTATCGCAATACTAAACACTCATATCAAATATAGCTCTATTTTCCAATATCGTGCAGCCCTAATTGCAAGTGTGAAATCCATATTGCGATGATGTGTGACAACTGATTTATTGAGTGAGTAAGTGAAAATCTTGTAATTCTTTAATGGATTTGCTTGATACCACTATTCTCACTTTTTTCCAATATTGTGTAGATCTACTCTGCAGGTATAAGAAGTGAAATGTATTAAATGGCAAACAAATTGTGCTAAACCACAGTTGTATTGTCCCATATCCCATTTATAAAACATGGTTGCTTTTTGTCTAAGGATTAAAATCATTAGCAATGTTGATTGAATAATTCACGCTCAGCACAAAAAAATTCATTAGCTTCACATCCATACTGACATGTGTGACCCACGTTAGATTTTGCAACTTAAATAAGGGAAATTAATCAGTTAGTCACAGAAGAATGAATGATTCTGTACTCAATTGTCAATTGTAACTTTCCATTCCCGTTCTGAATCCACAATCGTTACTTAATTACTGAAAACTGCAATGTGCATTTACCCATTTCTTAAAGCTGCACTAACTGACTTTGGGATTTTGAAGCCGTGGACTCGCTGGCCTCGCTCGTTCTCCTCCCCTCCCCACACCCACAAAGCTATCTCCCCCCACACACACACACTGTCGTTGACGGAGCAGTCTCCCAATATGAATAATACATGGATATGGATTTGCACATGGATGGCGTGACCATAGAACGATAGAACCGGGAAGCGCGGAGGAACGGGACTTTCTTTTGGATGGCTGTCTCGCTGTGTAAGCAGTAACCGGTGACGAAGACGAGGAAGCTTCAGGTTAGCTCCGCCGCTTGTTGTGCAAACTCAGCTGTCTGTGCTACAGAAACCTGCAGATTTCTCACGAAAGTGGGGGCTAGTGGTCCGCTGTGATTGTGTTTCGGGTCGCAGATTGTGACCATTCTCTTCCTTGTTTCATCAAAACTCAATCTAAAATATAAATCTGCGCTACTTTTTCTTCAAAAGGACGTATATCCCAATGCACTACATGGACATGGATAGCATTTTCGTAATGAATACAAAAATAAAGTCAGTTAGTGCAGCTTTAATTTTGTAAATGTATTTTTTTATACATACTAAAAATACCTTAGTCCGGCCGTCAATCGATCAATTCATTCATGGATAACCAGATATATTAATCAAATTCAATGGAAAGATAGATGGGTGGATTTTTTTTAAATACATACTGTAAACAAAATGATTTGAGTTTTTTTTGACTGAACCCTAACAACGCTGGAGCAGCCTGTCCAATCAGAGTTCACAAAGCTCTTCTTAGCCCCACCCACTTAGTCTAAACCGGTGCATTCCTGAGCTGTGTTCCCCGTACAGAAGTATGCAGTCCCCCTCTGCAGTCTGCAGCCATTTACAAGTGGACACTATAACTGCTGAGTAAATGATCTTATGGCAGTGGCCTGTGAAGCATGCACTGACTGTGTTTGGGCTGCAGTTAAATAAGTGCATTTTGAACGCAGCTGCAAATACTTAGGAAAGTGAAGGCTTTTGAGGTGATACATTTTTTAGCTTTAAACTAGTGGAATGCAACATGGCCTCACTACATATAATTCTACAAACCAGTATACCAATATTTCTTTTAAAGCATTTGTGTACACTTAATTGTATCCCCCCCCCCTCAAGCCACACAGGTGTCACGGGTCACTGAAGAAAGGATAAAATCAAGTTGCACCCAAGAAAAGTTTTTTTTTTTTTTTTTTTGGGAAATGGAAATTACTTATTTATGCACAATAATAATAATAATAAAACATTTTGTAGACTGTATGCATGTTTTCCTAACATGGAATCAAATCTTCTTTATTGGTTGGTTGTTTGGTTGTTATGGACACAACTGTTGCATTGGATAGACCACATGCACTGTTACCGTTTTGATATTTTTAAAATTTGTTCGAGAGAGGCTTTTAGGACATAAATGTTAAAGGTACACTGTGTAGTTTTTACTCCCATAGGGCGTTGACATCATATATTGTAATTTACGGTACTACGGTCGCTTCGCAGGACAATGTGAGGTCTTTGACATTGGTCCCCAACTCCCGGTCAAACTTTTTTTTGTCCTTTTGTGTTTGGTCTCCCAGAGCCTTGACGTCTGACAGCCAGACCAGACAACAGCGTTGGCACATGATCTGTTAGACTTTTAAACCATTTCAGTGTAAAACTTGCAACATTTTAACATTGAAATTGTGCTAAAATGTCAGTGGGCTACAAAACGTGTCTAAGGTTAATGTCAGGTTAATCTTAAGACAAGATTCTAGAATTGAGTGCCCAGCTTTATGCTATGATGGAGCTTTCCTTGGATTTTAGGGGTGTGAAAGTTTGTGAATGTTACTGGGTCACAGGGGGCCATTAAAGAGGTGAAGAATGTTGGTTTGTTGAACTTTGGGACACGGTCATGACGACAACAAAGCCTCCACTAAAATGGTGTCACTATATAACCACTACTATTTATGTTGCCACTGTTCTTATCGTGCTAGTCTAGTATTTAGTGTTTTTCAAATATCCATTTATGATTGGAGAAAGTCGGGGTCAGTTCATGGCTACCCATGACAGAACGCTGGGCCATCTGGAAAAAAAAATCAAGATAGTTGCTTATCTCAACTTTTGGATAGATTTACCTCATAAAAACTCTGTATACTTGCACACAGGCAGGAGAAAACACATTCACTTATGAATTATGTCTTCACCTCTCTTCATTCATATGTCAGTCTCCGTCTAGTTTTTTATCTCCAAAAACTATGGCTTTTGAGAGAAAGCGGGGACCAGTCCTCTACCAGATGACTGACTCTGGCACATGTTGATAATTTAGTGCACAATGTGTGGATGTTGAATTTTATATTTTTTTTTGCAGAGCACTACCCAAATTTGTATAGAAAATGAAATAAAGCATTAATCTTGCAAGCGCCTGTGTGGGCATTTCCCTCATAGCTGTGTCTTGTTTCTGCTGAGTGTGTTTGTGCAGTGGTGTGATGTGTAACACAGAGCTGAAGATTCACACTATGTGCTGAAAAGAGGGTGAGACACGGAGCCAATTATGTTCTGTTCCCTCTAGGGCTGTATTCTTTCAATGAATCAATTTAGTTCAGAACTTGACCCTACTTTGTTGTTCCTTGCCAATGCAGGAGGGTCTAAGAACAGTGATGCTCCGGGACATTTATGGACTTTCATTAACTTTTATGGAATTGTATCATCCGCCTCCTATGGACCAAATGGCTATTATAGCATATCCTGTGTTCTGTTTGATTCTCTGATCTATGTTTGAGAATTGACAACTTTGTGAAGTCCTCTGAGATGGCAACTGTTGTGGTTTTGGGCTCTACAAATCAAATTGAATTGAAATGAGCTACTATACAGCTCTGTTTGAGTCTCAAAATCTCATCACACAACACTAAAATGTGTTAAACTCTGTATATAGACCTGTTATCGATTTATTAAGAAAACATAATTATTCATGAAAGAAATAAAAAGTGGAACCCTGGCTTTAATCATGCATTCCTTTTCTCTTCCACGCACTCTGCACACATATTTACTCGGATGTTTTCTCAAATCCCTCCTTAACACCTACAGTCTGTGTTTAGTCTGCCCCTGAGAAGGCAACAGGTTCAGACGAATGGGCTGTTTTCACTTATGTTTTGATTTTGTTTCTAGTGGATGTAATAGGGCTGCATGATTAGTGATTTAAAACTATATTACTATCAACATTTATACATTTTTCGTTGTTGTTGTTGAGAAATCTGTCCTAAAAGCTGATTTGTAATGTGTTATCTTTTTCCAAGGGTTAGTCTGTCTGTCTGTTACTTTGGCAACATTCAAAGGTTGTTTCAAAGTTTTACACAATTTTCAGGATATCTCAAAAATCAGTTATTAAAAGAATATTAGTTTTCATTTTTTTTTTTTAAGAATAGAAAATGTCACATCCATTTCATTCATGATAGTAACTACTGTAGGGTGATCAATTACATTTCATAGGGTCTAATACAGTTTTCATGATTTCAAGTTATGCCAATCTAAAAAGCGGCTCCACACCTGTTGTATAATTCTGCCCATATGTCCCAAAAATGCTACATGAATCTAGAGCTTGTTTTCGTTGACGTAGATTGCTTCAGGCCTACAACACTAAACATATGCTCTCCCCACAATCCAATACTGTTGGGTCTCATAAAGCGTTTCAATGTCCAGCCTCTTACATCATGCTACATGTGTCTCAATGGACTCCGCTCAAAGGAGTGACATTTGTTTATTGGCTGTTGACTGCATTTAGTTCTGCAACATTTAATGCGTTATTCTATTTAAAGGGTCTGTGGTTGTTTTTTTCCCACTTGCCTCGTTTGGGTGTGGTGTTTCTCTTCCCTATTTGCTGTTGGAAAACTTCATTATTGCTTAAATTTACTTAATAACTTTTGATGCATTGGGCTTTTTTGCATGTTACAGCCCAAATAATGTTTTAATACTACACAGAGATTCTAATAATAATACACAAATATTTACTATACACTGATATCCATTCCAATCTACTTTAGTTATACAGCGCATTTCCTAAATGAGCAGTTCCCAAAGTGCTGTACAGCATAAACAACAACTACAACAAAATATAGAAAAATACCAACAAATAAATAAATACACATATATATATATATATATATATAAAAAAAAAAAAAAGAAGACAGCAAAAAACACAGAGGGCCACACGACTCAAGCGGTGTTAAAAGCCAGATAATAAAAGTGGGTCTTAAAGGTATATAAGAGGATTTTCCCAAATTTTAGGAAAGAACCGGCCTGTCCACTTTTCGAACAAAACTCCCTGGTCTTATTTGATGAGCACGTATCACCAGAATGATTGACAATTGCCTCCCAATTGCCTACCAAGAGTCTTGACGATCTGGAAGTAGAAAATCCTCCTATACCTTTTAAGATGGGACTTAAAACACTCTTGGGCGCTGTCCTGACGTGGGGAGGCAGTGCGTTATGTCTGTAGATGTCTTTCACCCAGACTTGATGACTCATGATATATTGCTCTAATAACATGATCCAGTAACAGTCTAATAATATCTGTTTCGTGTTCTGTTTCTAGGCTAAAAACAAAGAGACCGGAGTTCTCGCTGCTGCCAAAGTGATCGAGACAAAGTCAGAGGAGGAGCTGGAGGATTACATGGTCGAAATTGACATTTTAGCCAAATGCGACCATCGCTACATCGTCAAACTGCTGGACGCATTCTACCATGAGAACAAACTCTGGGTAAGTAACAAATGCAACAATCGATGCAGTGTAGTCCTAAATAAATAAGTATTAGTAGTATAGGATAATTGGCTTACAAGTTCTGACAGCCAGCATTTAGTGGCCTGATGCAATGTTTGGATGAGACTGTCACAATAATTGGTCATGCTAAATCCTATAAAGGCACGTCTGGCAAGCCACAGAACCGCAGCTTTGGAAACACTTCACATTTACAATTAATGTGTGAAATCCTGCACTTAAGTTGAGTACAAATGCATGACCTTAACTTGGTAGACTTGGTGTAGTAATCATAATATTTTTTTCCCCATTTCAACATCAAAATGCTCTGTTTTAATTTCATTATCATAGCACGACAGACTAATCAGTGCCATTTAACGCGAAAAAAATCAGAACGCTGAACCACAAAGACACACTGGCAGTTCTGGTTCACTGTTACTGGACTCAGTCTGGTACATTTGGGTAAAAAAAATAAGATATAAACTTACTGAAGTCGTGGACACAAAAAGTGAATGTGCCCTAAATCTATGTCTTTATTATTGCTTGGACCTATATATTGTATATACTACACCACAAAGGGACGACAGGTGGAAATTATCATCTTTGGTATAACCTGGTACAATGGATCTCTCTCCTTTGTGTTGATGTTTAATTCTTACACTGTCCCTGTTGAAACAAAATACACACATACCATACCATACCATACCAAATAATGCTTTTACTTGAAACAGAATCATGTTTCAGGATTGTTTTCTTGCACCACTTATGAAACTTAAAACAACACTAATGACCTAATGTGAGGACAGGACATTGCAGGATGAGCTCACACCACAGAAATGCCCATCTCCAGCACCAGAAGAACTGGGATCATTTTCAGTTATTTTCTGTTATCTCTACTGTCCTTTTGGGTCAAACCTAATTCCTCAACGCTGTCTGACACGGGCCAAGAAACACAACTTCACTCTCTGACCAATGAATTACAAAGAAGCCTGAAATAGTTGTTCTGTGTGTGTTTCTTGGCTTGGTCACTTCAGTTGAAAATGTGCAAACGTGGTTCATTCATTTGGGTAATGGAATTATGAATAAACATTTTGCGGCATCTTGACACGTCGCAATAATTCAAATGTGTTAAGTTATTGTCTTAAATGAAAACACACACAATATAAATTGTGTATTGGCTTTCCCGATGCAGGGACAGCGGTTCAGATCACTGCAGCAGTAGTTTGGAGCTCTGGTCTATGGCAAAAACTGGACTGCTATTTCTCCATTAAATTCAAAACCAACTTTCTTAATTATAAGAATCTCTACACTAGTTTTGGAACTTAGCAAATGCAATAAGGGTGAATATAGTTGATTTTCACTGCATCATCTGAATCATCATAAAATGACATAGTATTTTATGATGATTATTTATTTATTTATGTATTCTTTTTCATGCATTGTATGATTGTTTATATTTAGTTTAGTTAAGAACTTCACATCATTGTAATGTTTTGTACCAGACCAGCTCCCTGTGTGTTCTCACTCTGGGCCAACTCTGCAAAAACCTCTTAACCAAACTCTACATGTTGTCCTTTATATCTGTGGGTATTTGATGTCTAAAATGGCAGAGCAACTTGACATAATCTACAGTCTTTTTGTTTGGGTGCAATTAGGCTGGCAGTCTGTGGTCAGTGGGTTTTGGGCGAATGGGCGAGGATGGCGCATTCCTGTGCCCACCCAACGGTCTCTCTAAGAGAGAGACTATTTTGTTCTGCTTTAAGGGGACATGGTTTATTTATATGAGGAAGATGTGGATTTGAAATTCACGAGATTGAGATGCAGTCACTATACTGAATGGCAATCGTTCAAAGCTTGATTGTTTGCAATGTTACAACAATTATTACGCTTACTTCATTCTATTTTTTAAACCAGTATTAGTGTCAGGACGATTATGCAAAATTGTGTTTTGCAGGTTTGAAATACAAAAGTTAACTAACCAGCCAACTAACTCTAATGACTTATAATAACTAATTAGAATAGAAGCAAAGTCTTTATCTACCAAATAAAGAATCAACATATTTTAATGTACAGTAGATTGACCCGATCCAATGGTTCTGGTTTGATCCCAGTCCAAAGTACTTATGGTTATTTTTATTCTGTACTTTAAGAACAATGAGCTCCTTTTAAAACTACTGGTTCAGGTATTTTAGGGAGTGATACCAAGCTGACACAGAGAGGTGACGGGTGGTATTATAAGGCAGATAAGAAAAGGAAACACAATGTACTGATGCATCAAGGCTTGTTTCCATGGCTCCAAAACAAATACAGACATTGTTGTATGAAGTTTGTGTACCTAATACATAAACTATAAAGTCAAGGATAGTCATCAATAGGTGATGGTTTATAACACTCCAGTCCCGGCAGACTAGTTGTACCAGACACAAGTGAGAACATTCGGAACACAACTGAAAGTTTCTGAGTGGAGTTTGCATATTCTCCCCGTGTCTGCGTAGGTTTCCTCCGGGTGCTCCGGGTGCTCCGGTTTCCCCTACCACTAAAAACATGCACAATAGGTATGAATGTAAATGAGAGAGTGAATGGATGGTGTTGATTGGGGGCTGATGGTCCAGTGTGTTCGGCGACTCGCTTCCATCATCACCGTGTGTGGAATGATTGTAACAATATCTGAACTCTGAACATTGTAAAGCACTTTGGGTGACCTTGGTCTGTAAAATTCGCTATATAAATAAACATTACTTACTTATTTACCTCTGTCACATCTTTTAGCCAAGTTTTTTCTATGAAAAAAAGGATGAGAGCCCTTACTAGGTATATAAAAGATGACTTATTATCTAATTAGATAAAGGCAGCATGTTGTGGTCTGTTTTGTTAACTCCATGTTACTTTAACCCAACATAAAGACTATTGTTTCACTAAATGTTTCATGAAATAAACAAAAACGTTTGTAAAAAGTACAAAATATATTTGAGATTTACCTTTTCTCCTTTCTCCCCAAAAAAATCAGTTATTGAAATTGTCTTCTGAATAATGGCTATAAATAAGATGTAGAAGCATGAACTATATAATGTGTCCTGGAAAGTATACAACTGAACTGAAGTGTGTGTAGTTTATTTAATGCTGGTGTGTATGTACAATAGCCACGTGTTGCTCTGAGACAGTTTATGTATATCTTGGCTCATGTTGTGGATCGCAAAGAGAGAAGCCAGATCACTGGAGCTTTAGTCGTGTTGAAACAATGATGACACAGCACTTTTGAGGATAACACCAGCTTGTTTTACACCTAGGTGAAGAAAAGTTTACGCACCATAGTTTTTTAAAACTACATTATTAGTTTACTGTTCTCAATGAAAGCTCCATTCTAGGCAAAAAATCTATTTAGATATTTAAGTTTGACAATTATTGGAGTGCCTCTTGTCCTAATATAGTGTGGGTGTATGAATGAAGCTGAACTGGTTTATGGCTGACTCTTGGAGACACAAAACCAATGACGTCCTGAACCTAAAAGTGACACAAACCAGTCCCTTCAAAACATCCGACTGCTTCCAGAGAGGGTTGTCAAAATAGCCAATTAATCGGTAACTAAATACGTTAAACTATTTAAGTCGTTGATTAACTTGTTCCAATTATTTCAGCCAATGGAAGAAATCCATCTAATTAGTTTCGCGCTCTCTCAACCGTTGGGTGTGAAAACTAGTAAAATAATCCATGTTTTTTTGGCTTCCGTCACATCCCTAGATATGTTTTTTTCAGACAAACATCAAGATACTGTCACATAGAGCACCACTCTACTCAGCCAAGTTGCTCTCCGCCCAAAGCACCAAATAGTGACGGATATAACTCGTAGAAAGTATGCGAAAAATTCCAGCTTTAAGACAATTTGTTTGGCTGAAAAATGTACTGTAACATTTCTTTTGCTGGTGATATTTCTAAACTAGTAGAGCTGCACAACTCTCTGGGAAAAAAAGGATATTTATACATTTCTATTGGAAAATATGTTGTTTATGGCTCTTCCTGACTTCCATAAATGAACGGAACACATACAAAGTTGGACATCAAATGAATTATAATAGAATAAACAAAACTGGCTTGAATAGCCCTGTGTCCTGTCAGTGTGTATCTAACACTCTTTGTGAGCTGCGAAACTCCACACCCCAATGTTGTCACCACATTTTTACTCTCCCATTACATAAGAATGACATGATTCAGTGTTAAGCGGACATCATTCATAGCGTTAAGCAAGTATGTAAAGAATGAGCTGCATGTTGTATTTACACAGTGATTTCACATGTTCAAATTCTCCAGCTTTCCCCTGGAGATGTGTGTGTGTGTGTCTATGTATGGAGAGGAAATGAAGTTGGATTGTTGGCTAAGTTTGCAGCGTTTTGGACAGCAGTGGTCATTTGCACTTGGCTTGTCTCGTCTGGTACTTTTCGTTTTCTCGCAGTCATTATGTGTTGGCCACAGACTGTAATAAGTGTAGAAAACTGACAGCTATTACAAGCTTAGTTTCACTCCAGATGCCTGCACTGTTTTTAAAAGTGCAGGAATCAGTTGAGAGCAGGGGCCGAACAAACTGGATTCTGTTTTTTGAGCACAGAAAAAGTGATCTCAAATGCTCAAATTTATTTTGAGCATTACTTGACTGCCTTAAAGCAAGATTGGCCAATGGGACAAGCAAAATTATCTTGCTTTAATAAGATTAAGCAAATGTCTCCATTGTTTTGAGAATATAAAGCAACCATTCTTGAATTGAGACTAAATGGCTTGTCCCATTGGTAAAGACGGTCAAAATGTAGAGTATTGCACTGAGTATTTTAAATTACTCAAAAACAAAGGCACGGAGAAGTATATAACAGAAACAAAATAGGATAAAGTAAATACAAATACAAAAGGACACCCAAAGCCAGAAAACGCATACGTCCTCATCCTGGTGGACTTTTTTAGCACTGATGTTGAGAGACTCAGAAATACAGATGCCAATTCAAAATCTGCTTGAAGTTTTCTTTTTATGTTTAATTAATGTTAACTGTCATGTATGTAGGAGTATTGCGTTTGTGGATCAATTATGGATGGATTTGTGAATTTGAAAATAAAATATGTACATGTTGGCGATCTACACATTACTATTGCAACACATTGCTTTTACTGTCAGTTAATACATACTTTAATAATTGTACACAGTAAAACTCGCTGTCAAAATCTATAAATCCACCAAACAGTTTATATACACACAAGGCTATTGTGGAATGTATTTAGGTCACAATCTTATAAATATTCACTATTTTTCAGTATTGATGTGACAAATAGGTGCATGGTAACTACTGCAAATAACAACTTGCATTTTCTCTTTTCTGTTGTAGTACAAAGTTTCATTTATTTATTTAATTGTCAATATATATTAAGCATGGCAGCTGTTCATGCATTATGTTACTCTTCTGACCATATGTGGCTTTGTGGTGTTGCTTTAATCCGACTAAACATTTACTTATCAGAGAGTGTAACATGGTGTATGATCCTCAGTCATGCTGTACTTTCTTGGTTTATGCTGCGAGCCTTTCTCAGTCAGCAGATGTTGTCTTATGAAACCCTTCTGTTTTCCAAATGCAGTGATTTATACATATATTTGTGTATAATAGTTTGGATTATTTGGTTCGTGTGGCCAGACTTTTCATTTCGAGTGAAAATGTTTGATCTTTTCGCAGTGGTATCCAAATTAAATCTAATAAAAATTGTTGTCAGAAGTAAAATATATTGACAATAGCTTAAAATATTACCGGTAATCCAAAATCGTGCTGCTTTTACTTCATGCCCTCACTCTGTCCTCAGATCATGATCGAGTTCTGTCCTGGAGGAGCCGTAGATGCCACCATGTTGGGTAAGTGTCTGGTTTAACCTCAGATCAGATTCCTAACCTGCAGCAACAAAACTCTGTACTTACATTGATGCTGCAATTGTTTTTCATGTCTGACACGGATGCTTATACTTTGGTTTTCAATATCTGTTGACGCCCAATATATAAACAGACTATGTATTTATGTATTACTCTGACTTAGAACATGTCGATTTAATCATGCAATGAAGGGGTAGGTCTGTAGTTTTTGTTAATCTCTGCCTACTACTTTTGAGCTCTATATAGCATGTCTATTTTTGTTGTTGTTGTCTCAAATGTATGTGTCGCTCTGAGCTCAAATAAACTGAACTTATATTGCAGCTAACTTGTTACAACATTGGTCCAACTGGTATTTTATAAGTATGTAAGTAAAACACTATGGAGTTCTGGATTATGGAGGGATGGTCTCACCTCGGCCTTCAATTGAAAGCTCTAGATATGTAACCCTAGATATGTACCGTAACCCAGACCGGATCCAACAGATTGTCCAATATTCAATAACCAGTGGATTAGTTTCCATTCCCCAAAAGTGGTCACCCTGGGGAAAAAAAGGGGACACGCATCATCGCAAATCAGAGAAACTCAACCACACGCCCTTTTTGAAGTCATTCCTTAATTAAATGAAATTGTTTAGTCCCGTTTTCAGGAAGTACACCTCTCCAAACAAAGGCCATAGATTCCCTCCCAAACAATGCATCTATTTCTATTTTCTCCACACAAAAGCAACACTGGCCAGGTTTTCGTTTCTTGGGGCTGTCCTTGGATGGAGTGCTGAAATGCCAGGCCAGTGTGGGAATCCCCTGCTGTGTTTTCTCTGTGTAATCCAGCTCTGGTCTGGGTCCGCCTCCCGGGCAGCTAAACAAACACGGATCACTACAGTAAAGTCTGCGCTGCCCTGGCCCAAAGAGAGGTTTTATGATCTAGGATTACTCTACCTGCGAAAAGTAATCTGGATAATCTCCGCTTCGCACACTTCTAATGTTTGAACACAGACAAAAAGTGCCAGAATCGTGCATGCCATAGAGCTAATTTTATTCATATTTATCGTCAGTCTGTGCAGCTCTGATGGGAATTGAGATGTTTTACTCAAGCATTTAAGTGTTTGGGAAGTGCAGTATTTTGTCTTTTCAGGACGATGAGGATTTTACCTTTTCCTAATTAATTAATGATAACAATGTGTATGCTTATGATAAATATTGTAACATCACATTCAATGTTTTGTTGTTGTTTTAAGCGAATATGTAAATTTGAAATCATAATGTATAGATAAATAAAAATAGTTTGAAGTGAATGGCTTTAAGATGAGCTTTTTTATAAATAATGAATGAGTGCAACTAACATTTTGTGGGCAACATGTGGTCTTTATCTAATTTGAAAACATGTTAATATTTGAACCAAAGAGCCCTGTGAGTCACTAGGGGGTGGAAGGTGGCATATGAACTTGTTAGATGGATTTCATTACAATATCAAGGGTAATTTATAACTGATTACTTGGTCAAATCTTCCTTCTCAAAGTCTGGACTCCAAAACGCCATACATTTTAAGTATTTTGCAGAGTTTTGGCCTACAATGTGTTCTACCGTAATGGTTTCGATTGCTGCAGATTTGGAAAAAACAAACAAAAGATGACTGAAAACATGTCGCTCCCCAGAGTTGGACCGTGGCCTGACTGAGCCTCAGATTAAGGTGGTGTGTCGGCAGATGCTGGAGGCGCTGCTGTATCTGCACAGTATAAAGATCATCCACAGAGACCTGAAGGCCGGAAACATCCTGCTCATGCTCGACGGGGACATCAAACTGGGTGAGAACCAACTCTGACCTGAGCGCTCACAAAAAACAACTTGCATAGACGAAAAAACATGCTAAAACTATTGTGGCTAGACGATAAAGAATACTGACTACGCAATATTGTCTTTTTTGAGCAATGCTAACACACTTGCTCTGGGATTAGCTTTCAGACTTTTCTATGATTGATCTGGACAAATGAGGGATTACATCAGCTTTATTATGTTTGCTATTTTACAATCGGGTTTTTAAGCAGACATAAGTAATGTTGCAAATATAATGACGATTAAAAAAAAGACAGAACCACCCCAAACCTGTTCATAAATGTTCAATATCCTTAAAAATAGAAGATTCAAAATAATTGTTGAAGCTTTTAAGTAATCTGTCTAGCATGAATGTGAATTGTATACGGATCCCTGGTGCCCATTACAAATCTATCTTTTAAAAATGCTTTTACAACTTCAGTATGTCATCCATTTATTACTTTTCAACTCTTTACTGTTGAAATCCTTCAGTATGATGAAGAAAATAATACCCACGGCCACTGCCATAAAATGAAATAAGGGGAAACAGTTTGCAAAATGTGGCTGGAAGATGTAATAAAACATCATCATGAAGGAAAATGGAGGCAGTGTAAATATAAAGCCCCAAAGCATTATTAAACAATACTTTTTATTATCATAGACTCAAACACAACAGAAGTAACCAGCATGGTGTATTTTGTGTAAGATTCCTCGAGGCTGTTATCGCTCCCATCTCTCTTCACTCTGCAGGATCCAATCTGAGACCACATAAACTACATTCCAGCTTTACTCTGGAGTCACACCCTCCTCTGTCCCGCAGAGAAGACTGGCATATTTCTATATATGTGAGAAAAGCATTCTGGAAAATGTAGCGTTTGACCAGCATCAAAATAATGAATAATCAGCTGTAAGGTTTAACAAAAATATTGATTCTCTAATATATTGTCTATTGACTAATACATATTCACTTTTAATCATCGAAACCTAGCCCTTTGGTTAACTTTGTCATTTCCGTATGTGTTACAACCCTATGAATAAATACATGTTCAGAGACAACTCCCAGTGATGACAGCGGTCCAGGTCATTAAACATGAGGTCAGGTCAGTGCAGTTACAACATCACACGGCCAGGCCCAGTACACCCAGTGATGGCAATTACTAATACCTGTAGTCATGGGATAGTCGTACAATAAAGACGCATTCCATGGTATAGGACAAGACATAATTTCTTCATGACTAGACACAAAATTTGGTCCACACAAGATATTTTCACTATATTGATGTGTATACTGTATATGTTAAACCATTATGATTAAATTTTTGAATGTGTTTTTATTAATCTTTTTTACAGCGGATTTCGGAGTATCTGCAAAAAATAATAAAACGTTGCAAAGAAGAGATTCATTTATTGGAACCCCATACTGGTGAGTAAGAAGCACACTTCCCTCTCAGAAAAGAAAAAAAAAAACATTAGGTAAGAAATTGACTTTACAGAATTGCACAAACAGTAGAGATTACAGATGACCATAAACATATATATTTTTCAAATATATATATATATATACACTCGGAGGTTCAACTTATTTGAAAATATTCATATATATCCATTGGTTAACCATTGAAAGAACGTGTTATCACCAGGAGATGGGAGGGGATCCCATCTCTTTGGAAACTGAACCTTATTGCACAGTAATGATGAAAATAATAATAAACCAAAGTCCATTTGAATGTCGTATAAACTCATTTGAAAGTATCGAGGACTGTCTTGTGATTGAACTTGTGCAAACATTAACGTCCTGTTGACTCGAGCAGAACCAGTCCAGCTAATGACTGAAGCGTAAAGTGATACTGGAGGATGTTATGATTGTTATGGTGCAGGAAATGAAATACAATATTAACAGGATCAACCTTTTTGAAATAATAAGATTTCTTTATGACATATCACTTGTGTATCCCATTACATGTGCGTAGGCTCAGAAACTTCTCTCTGTTCGCTGGGATTTTGATCCTCAGCCTGTTATTAATTCAGATTTTATTTTTGTCTTTGTTAGTAAAATGTTGTGTATACTTTGTAGTTTGTAATTACTTCTTTATAATACAATTCTTCAATACCATTGAGGTAAAGCAATAAAGATAGATCTTGTTTATTTACTCTAATATTCTTAGGAATACTAACAGTAGTACTAATAATCTCTGCAGGAAGCTGTATAAACTAGGGCTGTCAAACGATTATTTTTTTTAGTTGATTAATCGCATAGTAATGATGAGTTAACTCACGATTAATCGCATTTTTAACATTCTATTTCAAATCCACTCCAATTGAAGTTAAATGAGATTTTCAAATGTAATGACACATTATTATTCATACAAAATGTACTTCAATCTGTTTGACTTGCTCACAACCTTCTACTTTTGGGTACAACCAACAAGAGCTGTTAATGAAAGGAAAAATGTAGGTACCCCAGCTTTAATTTAGCGAGTTTGGTTGCATTTCAGCGTGTCTCCTCCTCTCCTCCATCATCAGAGAACATCAGAGAATGGCCCCTGTGCGTGTATATATGCGTGTATTATATGACCACGTTACCGCTGTCATTATCACACACGCACGTGTCCGTGGCATTCTGAGTGATATTATTATAAATGGGCGGGTCATTCGGACATGCGATTGACTGCTAGCCTATTTCAGAACAGGTACCCACAGAATATTGTGTACTATGACTATCTGAAATCCAAAACCAGATTCTGAAAGAATGGACTGTCTACTTTCATCAGCAAAAATAATTTTGTTTCTAGCTTGTTTCGTTCCCCTGTAATCCCCAGTCGAGTAGAGGTAAGTTTTATTGAAATCACCAGAAAGCTGAGAAAAAAGAGGCACTTGTGCATCTAGCTGTTTTCAAACCATTCATAGAGCAATGCTGCCATCTGCTGGCTCGATAAAATATTGCCTCAAGCCTTACATATTTGATACAACAGACATCTGGGAACGTGAAAATAGCGGGAAACGCAATTGACGTGTTAACACGTCAATGGTAATTTTTTTTTTTACGCGTTAATGAAAACGGTAATTAACGTGAATTACGCAATAATTTTGACAGCCCTAGTATAAACACAAAAATCTGAATTTTTAGGATAACTTTTTGGAACTGAAAATGGAATTGAAGTGGCTTAATGTGTATACAGTATATGTTTTTGAACTATGCCATGGCAAAATATTTAACGTGTTTGTGTGTGTGTCAGGATGGCTCCGGAGGTGGTGATGTGCGAGACCATGAAGGACGCTCCGTACGACTACAAGGCCGATATCTGGTCGCTGGGGATCACCCTGATTGAACTGGCCCAAATCGAGCCTCCGCACCACGAGCTGAACCCCATGAGAGTCCTGCTGAAGATCGCCAAGTCCGAGCCGCCCACGCTGGACTACCCACACAAATGGTGAGGAGCGGGGGGAGAGCCAGGGCACGTCTCACCTGATAATCATCGTCCTTTAAAATTTCTTTTTCATTTTTATTTTACTAATCACTAAAGATTTTTTTTTACTTACATTATACGTTTGTTTGTGAGTTACAGTCTGCACAGCCCCCTCAAAAACAGTCACTTCACAATTAAAAGAGAAAGTCAGTCACAGCATGCTTTATCATATTAGAAAACATTTTGTGTTTTTCGTACTTGTAAGAAAGAGCCATATGAGGTGCTAAGTGAGGTTTTTAGATCTAATTCTGTGACAAAGCCCAAAAACGGATGCATGTGAAAACAAGTGAAACTGTTAAAAGAACAAATAAACTAGTTTGATGCATTTTCAGTTTTTTACGGTTTGAGTACCCCATATTTGGGTAGCCCAGCTTTAGATAGTGATTTTTTATTTTTTTTTTGCTTCATTTAAGTGTTGAAAATGTCTTGGTGATTTGTGAGTTTTAGAAAGGTCCAAGCTGACCATATATCACGTATATTAAAAATATCATTCTAATCCCATGTGTATTTGTTCATTCTTTCCAGGTCACCAGTGTTCAATGATTTCTTGAAAAAAAGTTTGGACAGAAACCCGGAGACCCGTCCCACCGCTGCTCAACTTCTAGAGGTATCCAGTTTATTAAGAGCATTATCTGTCATACTTTGGTGTGTTTAATCTTTCCCTAATCCTTATCATGCACTGACCCTCCGAGTTTTATGGCTCTATTTTGAGACTGGAATACTGTGTGCTCTGCCAGAGATGGGAGTGGTAATACACAAACAAAGCTCCATTTGGCTCAGCTGGATATTTCTCAACGTTGAATGTGAGATCAACAAAAAGGCAATATGATTACACGGTTATACAGTAAAGAACAAGAAATATTTAATTAATTAATGGGATACTTAGTTTTTTGTTTCATACTTTTCTCATCATACAGTAGTCTTACAAATGCACAAGTGTGTGAGCAAATCCAACTCCAACATGCTTCTTATTTGGATTAAAGAGCCTTGTGGGTGAACATATGACTCTTAAGGCTGAAAGCTGATTGGCTGAGCAAGAGGGCAGGGCGACTAAGCATAATTCATTCAATAAGTGTTTGTGAAAATCAAAATCATGAAATTGAGGTTTTTCAATTCACACCAAACTTCGATAATCTTTTTCAAAACGCCCTGAACTTTTTTTTTCACCTACCACATTTGTGAAGGAAAAAAATAGTCAAACGAGCTAGATGGTTGTCAATTAGTTCCACCCTTATTTAGATACAACATTTCTGTACCCTAGCTTTCATTTCTATAATTGGAAACAACTTTGGGAGGAAGTATTTTTTTGTTGGTACAGATTTTCGAGCACTTCTGTTTACCATAAGTTTGGTTACATGCAACGATATCCGATAACACCTTCCCATTTACCTTCCCAATACTATTCATGAAAAAAACAGATGCCAATTTTATTCAATAATGTTTGTTTTAACCCAGAAAAAGTAAGTAAATAAATAAATAAATAGTATTCAGTATATGTCACTATGTTGGCTCTCGATGTTCTATTACTCGGTGAAATAACGTAACGTGAGGTGAATTGGGTGTGGATCAAAATCTCTCAGCGCCGCAGTTTCCTGTCTGTATCCCACAGCTGTGGAATGCCAGAAATTCCCATCCCCACCCATCGACCAATCGCGCGTCTCGATTATAGTAATGCCAGCTCCTCCATCCTACCAGAGCCAGGGATACGAGACAAAATCCTGTCGAGAGTTCTGCGTGTGGGCGCGGCTCACAGTTGGTGCTGGAGGTTTAAGATGTTTATCATACTCGCCCGATGCATTGGATGTGTCAGGATTCCAGGAATGAGGAAACAACGCAAATTCCATATTTCACAATGTGTCTGTAAAAAAGAAAAAGGAAGTTGCAGAGTTTGAAGATTAGCAGAGGATGGTGAATCACAGATGAGAGACTTTGTGTACTCTGAAACTGTCACGTAAGGCGGTAACAGAAACACACAGAGATCACTGTTTGTTTGTCATTGGGAGCAACCGAGGTGACGTGCCATTCTGTGTGACACAAGAGAAACTCCTGGTGTGGTCTTGGTCTGGTTTAGGGCTAGACCTGGTTGAGCACAGGTTTGCTCTGGCTGTGTCCGGTCATGTCACTCTGAGATTGGAGTGGATTATATTGGTACGGTAAACTTGGCCCTAGTTTGTATCTGACTTGGTCTTTGTTTAGTCTAAAGCTGGTTAAATCTGACTAACAGTGGATCTGGCAGAGAGCAAGAATACTAGGAAAGGAACGTTCATATTACAAGGTTACATATAAAGTAACTGGCAACCCAAATGAGAGGCTAATTCTGCTTCCACTGCTTTCTGATTGGATACTTTGCTGGCGACTCATGACTATAACGTTAATTAGAAATACAATGGACATGATGCCCACAATATTTATGTGAACTGTGGGACAAAAAAAGGATCTCTTAATCTTAAACCTTTTAGGCACCAAAGTAATAGAATTTCTACAAAAAGCCAGAGCAGTTTCTATACTGGCTTCCCACAAACATCTGTATTACGTTTTTTTTCTTATTTGTTATTAATGTTATTAGTCATCCATCTAAATCCCTAAAGGGATAGAAAAACATCTGCTTGCTGTCAAATATGTATCGTTGACCTTGTGTCCGGGGCCATGGATTAAAAATAGAGATGTACTGTATACTGTCCCTTTTTAAGTCTTAGTCCTGTCTGGAGCTCTCCATGATCATTACAGTACGTTACGCTCCGGCAGTCCAGTCAGAACCTCCTCATGATCCCAAACACTCGTGTTAACACTGGTGGAGCTGCGTGGTTGTTCCTTCAGACTCTTAATTGCATCCAAACTTTTTTTGTCTGTCTTTCTGGTAGGGCTGGTCGATATGGCTGAAAACTATATCACAAAATTAGAGTTATTAGTAAAAAGTTATTCATATCAGTCAATTACAATATGAATATATATATATATATATATATATATATATATATATATATATATATATTGTAGTTTATTTTTAAAACTAAATAAATACATTTGTCGTGTCAGCTAACACACGTTAGCAGCCCTGTTTACTGTCACGGGGGAATGTAGCTGGAGTCATATGTTCACAAGCACTGTGTCCCCCATTGTTAGTCCTGGTTTAATCCTGGTTTAGTCCTGGTTTAGTCCTGTTTTAGCTGTTTACGAGTGTCTTGTGTCCCCGTGACAACTCCGTGCGGCTCTCTGATAGCCGCACGTGCTTCCAGAGAAAAAAGTTTATCTTTTGCTTCCGCCGTATACATCAGGTCTCTGTATCCACTGCCTCTCCCGCGCCGCACTTGCTATTCCTCGCACGGACGTGCATAAATATTGGCACGGCATTGAAACACAATCTATAGATCCATGGAAGCTATGCATGGTGCAGTTGTCGTTTTTGCATTTCCCAGAATGTTTTGCGGTTCATGCTTGGCCGTGATAGGTCGAGAAACCTCTACTTCCCCCAGAATACTGCGCGCTTCTGACTCTGCTTTACTTCCATCTTCTTCCATCTTCTTCTATCGAACATTCAATCGACCCCATTTTCTATTGATATCGAACACGTGTCTATCGCAATATATATCGTTATCGTTTTATTGCCCAGCCCTACTTTCTGGTTATGTGTTCAATTTGTGAATGTTTATTTTTCAGCGCCTTGCTTTCTTGTTAATCTGTGAAAGGCGTTGCACAAATACAGATTTGTCACTAGGGCATGACTCAATAGTGCACCAGTTTCAGCATTTGTAAAACAGGCTATTTGCGTTATTTGTGTCCCTTCCCATCTGTCCCACATGTGCTCACAGGAATGTTTGTGCCCAGAGATTTCTCAGCCTCTTCATTCAGAGTATTTTAGTCGTCATCTTTAGTCGAGATAATAGCAGGATGTATTACAGTATAGTTTGGGTTATACTATAAGCCACACCATACTGTAGAAAGATGACCTGAATACAAATATTGCATTTTTTCCGTCCAAAATAGTAAATAAATAGTAAATGAATAAAAATAACACATAATGATCCAGGCTGAGATTGAATTACTGAAATTGAATGAGATTTTTGATTAAATAAAAACTTCAAATCACCAAAATGTAAAAGAATATATTGAAATCTACATAAAAAATGTCTTAATTGCCTTTATATTTTGGATTATAAGATGACAAATAACTTTGATAGACAAATATTCCTAAAAACAAATAAACTCCCTATGAACTCCAGAGTTTATACATATGGGTGTGAACACTGACATTTACAGTATATTTACACTTGACACCCGCATGCACCAGCCTTACTTTAGTGCATGGTTGTCTAATAATGCCCTCGGTTTTAAAGTATAACCTTGTGGCTAACCGAATGAGGCAGAACGTAAAGACTTGTAGATCTGTCAGGGAAGCCCAGTATCATGTTTTATTTATGAAATCTAAATTAGACCTGGACAAACCTCTACCCTTCACCTCAATGTAACCCCAAACTAATTATATGCTTTACAGTCAGACTTGACTGTAAAAGACCCATTTTGACATTTAAAGAATGTTACTTTCATGAAGAAATCCAGACAAACTACATGCATGATGTTGTAATTTTGATTCCGGGCCATCAATACAGACTCAATATAGATGAAGTGTCTTGCCTTTTAGCACTTTACAGCTGCAGCCGGCCCACTGTGGCACCTGGTGTTCCCACAGGTCTCCCATCAAAGCACTAACCAGGGCCCTTTCCAGCTTAGCGTCTGAGGTCTGACAAGATTCAATGACATCAGGTTTTTATGTGCATGTGGGGCCATTATCTGCATGTTTTAAACTATACTCCTAAACATACAGTACCTTGCAATAACACATGTATGTACTGTATCTATGGCCACAATATTTGTTGTATTATTGATATTTTCATTGTACATTTCCAGCCCCAAATAGAAAGAAGAGAATTATTTTGCCTTGCCTAATTTTCATTTTTTACAAGAGCCGAAACCATGGTCTGATTGGCTGCTCTTGATCAATCCACCAAAGCTTTACTTACTTTAAAAAGCTTCCATGGTGTCCACACACTCAAAATGTAATGTTTTTGGATATAAACAATTCCTTCACTTCCTCAAGTTTTCACTTCAATATGACTCTATAATTATCAAGCTGATTTTTACACATGTCTCAATCAGTATTAAGACATTCCTGACAGACCAAGGCCCCACCACATCCCCTTATACGGCACTCTCCCTCTCTCCTCTCTCCATATTGTTCACATTTAACCTTTTTCACGCCCAGTGAAGCATGTCAGACCCTGAGCAGCGGCTTTAGTGGGTCAAAGGCAATGAGAAACCACAAAGAAACCCAAAAGTCTAGCCCCATGTTTCAATCCACTGCTCAGTAAGAAAATACAGGGAGGCTTCATCAAAGATTGTTTTTCTTCTTTTCGTTTGTGAAGGAAAGGGCTTGGCATCAGTGTGTGAGGTCGACTGCAAATATTCGTAGTGCTACTGTAGAATTAATGTACACATTCGCACTAGACGACGGACAACTTTCTTATGCGCAATATTAGCCTTTTAGACTTGACTTTATTGCACCCAAACTCCTACAACTATTTCTTTAACGAGCATTCTTTATTAATCTAACGCCAACTAATAGATTTTAGAAGGTTCTCTACTAAAGAAGAAACAAGAAAATACAATTTACTTTTGTTCTAAAATCAAAAATGTAGCTTTAAGTCAGCAGTTGTTTACAAAGTTAACAACTCAAAAGTCAATTCCTGAACTACAAATCTGAGAATCAAACAGTTTGAGCACAGTAAATGCAATAAATGTTTTTTTTTTTTTTATATATAGACATGAAGATCCCATGCATCTGGTTGTGAAAATGATATGCATCTAAAAAAATAGAAATTTATATAAGAAAACACCAAAACATAATTTAAGGAAGTGAACAACAGCCTTCATTCATAATTTCTTGAGACAGTGTGCTATATTTTGATAATAAAAACATGATCTTACTGACTTGTCAACTGTGTATGGACCGTTGAAACAAGGAAATGGTTGGACCTGATTAATCGGCCAATAAAATCATATGTAATTCATCATATCCACTTCAATTTCAACAATAATCTTTACATCCATGTTGCCATACAGGTTTATTCACTAGGACTTCTTTAGATATACTCTGTTCATTTCCTCTTTTGAAGGGACGTATGTGGTACAGTTTCAAAAGATCTTAAATGTGGTTTTTATTACATTTTTTTAATTAAGATGTGTGATGACAATACATACAAGTAATACAAATATAAACCAGTAAATGTTTTTTTTTTTTTTTTTTTGTAGCGATAGTCATTCTCAATTCCGATTTTCAATGTATTTTTGTATAGCCCTAAGTCACAGCAGCAGATGTCTCGGATGACTTTACAAGGTTGTCGATTCACCAACAGCAGATCAGAGAATCAAACATGCAATGCAACTCCTCAACAGTGCTGTGTCTTTGTGTACCACTTTGAGAACTTTTTGAAATGTGCCCGGATAATAAAGTGAATTTGATGGGAGTATTTTGTTGATATATACGGGGAACTTTTTGCATCAACATTGCATCAGTTCAGTTACAACAGAGCAGTCTCTTTCTCCTGTTGTTTTTCCATACCATCCTCTCCCCTGCAGCCTGCCTCTCGTTTTCTAAGAATGTGCCTTTGTCCCCTGGGTGACATCAGTGTAACTAGTAAGAGCTCTGTTGTGGAGTCTTATTGTTAAGACAGTGGCGTGTGGCGGATGAAGTTTCCCCAGAGAAAGTTTCCTGTAACTTTGCCAAACAAAACTTACAGCAATAACTTGACATTATTAAAACTCTGCAACCATTTAAGGTATTCACCCCTCACCGTGACAAATCTTTGACTATTCTGTGCTACACTTTTCATGAAGCTACTGGAGACTTCTATTGTTTTAAATATGAAATTAAATGTTGCTGCTTATCTTTGGTGTGTAATGTTTTGTCATTTTGTTCACTTTACATACCGTTCTACATCTATATAATCTTTACTTTTTGAAGGTTAAGCAATTTGATCAAAATATGAGTTTTTACCTTTTAGGATTTGTTTTCTGATGATTTTGTTTTCATTGCAATGTGGACTTTAAAAAAAAAGATAGAAATCCAGGAACATTTTAGAGAAAACTTAAAATAGCAAAAAGAATACAACCAATTTTACACATGTTATTTTATTTATTTTTTAACTAATAATTGTAATTATGGGTATATTGCTCATACTTGAATAGTCTAAGGTATTTTAACTTTAATACAACGTGACAATAAATATTAGGACTTAATAGATGACAGTAGTCTTTGCAATTGCGAGGAATCTTTAAGCCCAATTTATTTACATTTAATGCATGAATTCGGGACTTATTCAACACTGAAAGGCTAAACCCTACTAACACACACTGTACTTGTGATGTATGTTGCGAGGTCCATGTCCTATTTTATTGCTTGTCCTAATTTTGCTGAGTGTTCACTGCATTGTATTTTGTTGTATGAACCCAATGGAACTATGGATTAAAACTAAAAATGGATAAAACAAACACTTTTTAAAAAATGCATTAAACTTGTATGCGTTTCCTTGCGTCCTTGCAGCACCCGTTTGTGAGCAGGGTGACCTCAAACCGTCCTCTGCGGGAGCTGGTGGCTGAGGCGAAGGCCGAGGTGATGGAGGAGATCGAACACAACAGCGACGAAGGAGAGGAGGACGAGACCATGGAGCTCACTGTGGTACGAACGCATTCACACAGGTCAAAACAGCAGCTTATCTGTGGATGGGTCATTTACAGTTTAGTTCCTTGTCATTATGATGCAAATTCTACTTATGTTTGCTTTCCTTTTCAATACCCGCTTAAAAATGCATTGATGCAGTTCACAATTACGTTTCAAGATTTTACGTTTCAAGATTTCACAAACAATCTATCATTTTGCGGAATATTTTATTCTTAGACATAACTTATCAAAATGATGCAATACTGTACATCCAAGCCCTGGGTTTCTTTGGGAAAATGTATTTTACAGCTCATGTGAATTTAAGATGCAATACCGCTGGTGGCCCCTTGTCCATGAGGAGACTGGTTTTAGCTAGCCAGATATTTTCAAGCAAAAATAAATTGACCCCAGGAAGAAAAGCTACTGTTTATTTCAGACAATAATGGGGATCTACATAAAAACCAAACAAACAAAACCATGCAGTTGTAATTTAAAGTATATTTGGCAACTTCAAAACAGATTTGCTTTAAACATGTTCAAAACATACAAAAAACGTTCCTCTAAATTAAATCCAGATTCAAGGTTGAGCGTCCTGTTGGGTTTGGAGCTAAAAACGACTCCATGTATTTGTTTTATTTGAGAACAATGTTGGGTTATGGTTATTTTTTATTCATGATGACCAGATAGTTCAAACACATTTTCCAATGCAGAAAATGGGATTTCGCTTCATAACATGAACTCAAAATCCTCCGATGCCTACGTTCAAACATGCAAACTCCTTTCTTCCTTTGTAGCTCGCTCTTGAGGTTGGAAAACCCCCCTCGAACTTCCTCCTCGTACCCCTTGACCTGTTTGAACTGACTTTGACAAAACAAAGCCTTCCTGCTTCAGTCTTTCTACAGCCGCCATCAAAACCCCGCACGGCTTTAATATTAGAAAGTGACACAGGTTCTAAATGCTCTGAGCACAAACAAAGAAACCGGAATGAGTGCGGTCACCCCACCCACTTTCTGGTAAATATAGCTGCTTTTTATACTGTATTTTCCATTGCAAGAAGAGCTATCTACCACCTATAGTTTGTGTAGGAGACAGTATAAGGCTGCGTATGGCAATAGACAGTCTGTTGACATACTCTTATATACATGTAGGCACCTCTGAATAGTGTGTTATTTACATTCTCATATTGTAGCACTAATATTGTATTTTCCCATTCACTGAATTTAAAAACACCTGAATGTTGATGTACTGTACATTGTGCAGCAGGAGAAAGAGTGGGCGCAACGTGAATTTGGAAACTTGTTTACTTTCATAAACCCACCTCAGTTTGAGTCAGAGGGGTTATCAGACTCGATGATGCAAATTTATGACCTTTTTTGTTGTGGTAAAAAAAACACCCTGTTAAAGGGGCAGTATGTGATGTGCAGTTAGTCTAAATAAGTCCTCACATTTAAAATCCAACTTTTATTTCCAGGATCCTGCTTGTGATCTGATCTGTTTTTTCAGATTTTTCAGATTTTTTTTTTTCTGAACAAAAAAACAAACCGTAACCTAGCTTACTTTTAACGTAAATGAGAGCCCCATTCTGCTCTCTTGATTGGATAATCGGATTAAAATGGTTAACATTAATCTTAATAACTCATTTGTACAGAGAAGGAAAAATCTGATTTGTAAATTTGTTGACCTAATATCTCGGGATGCATGTTAAAATGTAATCTAAAATGAAAATATTACATGCTGTCCCTTTTTAATGTAACATGCAACAAGGAAACAATTTCCTAGTCACGAGTGTCTGTCTACGATCGCTCCGCATTGTAACCCTGCAATCAAATACATTTTGAGAGCTGAAAATTGTAGTGCAATTCAAAACGACAACATTTCCTGTTGACTCTCTCTGAATCCTTTCAACTTCAAAACAGACAGAAAGTAGCACCTGATCATGAAATTGTCTAGTCTTTGGTTTGTGACATATTTGACATAGAAGACGTCCTTTTATTTTACATGTTTAAAGTCAGATGCAGTCATGCGGTTGTAATTACAGACCATGGAGTCGACCTCCTGGGAACTTTCTGTCTCTGAATCAGAATGGCATGCACTTTTTTGTGTTTGCCCCTGATTCAAAGTGTGGCACGACAAAAAACGTAATGAATCACTTTGTTTTGGCTGTTTTCAGAGAGTGTTTTAAGTAGTTTATGAGGCCTTTCTAGGAGATTTATTGGTTGAATGAAAACTGGAGCTAAGACTATCTATTAATCCACAAGGGAAATTGCTTGGACGCATTAATTCGTATAACTACTAATTAAAACGTTAAAGAAGTGACAAAAGTTAAAATATGTTAAATAAAATGTGCAGGAAAAATAAAAACTAGTCCTGTGTGGTTTCTGCTTCTCAACTGGTGGAAGTATGTGCATAAATTATTAAAATAAAATTCTAAGCTTATGACAATTCGTTCATGCTTATCACATTGTTTTTTGTCATAAGATTTTATATAATTCTCTATTTTGATTATAAAACTAGGGAGAAGACATTTGACCACCATTTAACCAACAATTTTAAATTAGTTTCATTTCTAAATATTTAATGAGATTTTAATTGCCTGTCGTGTATGTTGCTCTAATAGTTCAAAGCCTTCTGTAGTCTGCATGATTTTTGACACAACTTTAGCTCCGTAATTTCAATACGTTTGATCAAGTGGTTGTTTCAGATCAGCTTCTGTGATCTGGAAGAGGGAGGAATCTGAACCGACTGCCTTCCTCCATTTTATACTAAGCTCAAGCACAGATGGCTTTCAACAAATCCAAAATAGAAGCTAAAGAAACTGTTGGTAGCTTTGATCTGCTGCTGTCTCTTATGTGCATGTTTAAATGTTGAATATCGAGTTTGGGATTCATAAAAAAGACAATTAGGATTAAGAAATTAGTGATTTGGCATGAAAAATATTGTTGGTACATACAATTCTAGTTTCATTTTCTAGTTTTGTATATGAGCCCCATCTGCAGTCTATTGATATTGTTTATACAAATTTTAATGTAATATGTTATTGGCTTGTACTTTTCTCCCACCAATTCTCACCTGGCTTTTGTTCTGACTTTTCAGTACCAAAACTGGAAAACAAAGACATTATGGAACCATCCAGTGGAAACATTAGCATGATGGTGTCACATGGATTAACATAGAATATTATAGCAAAGGAAGGTTTCTCACCCATCATCTGTACTTCTTAGCAAGTTTTCCCGACGTTTCGTCCTCAACCTGGGGACTTCTTCCCTGAAGAAGTCCCCAGGTTGAGGACGAAACGTCGGGAAAACTTGCTAAGAAGTACAGATGATGGGTGAGAAACCTTCCTTTGCTTTGACTAATCCCTGTACGACTGAGGGCTTACACAAACTTATAGAATATTATAGTTTTTAAAAAGGCGTTTTGCATGTGTTTAAGAATAGTTCAATTTAATTATATGAGGTGATGCTTAAATTTGTGTTTCTCCAGCCTCCAGGTAAGGAGTCATGTCAAACCAGCCAGACCAGCTTCGATGTAGACTCCACCGCCTCTCCCAGTCCCACCACACCGTCGCCCACCACACCCCTCCCAACACCCACCTCCACCACCGCACCCACCCCGATTCCCAAGAAAGCCCCAGAGGAGACCAGCACCTCCAGCACAACCACAGACGAGAAGCCCCAGGTCCCAGTCCCCATGCCCAGAAACAACGTTCCCCTGAAGGGTCTGGAGGAGCTGAGCAATGGGGAGGTCCTGTCCAATGGGGAGGTCCTGTCCAATGGGGAGGTCCTGTCCAATGGGGAGGTCCTGTCCAATGGGGAGGTCCTGTCCAATGGGGACGTCCTGTCCAATGGGGACGTCCTGTCCAATGGGGACGTCCTGTCCAATGGGGAGGACCTCAGACAAGCGCTGACGGGAGAGGTTTTGCTGGAGTCTGAGAAGTGCGAGAGTGAAAGCTCCACAAAAACATCCAGTTCAGATTCAGGGATTGAAGATGGGAAGAGCACGCCCACTTCAGAGGACAAGGTGAGAGTTGCGGAGGAAAAAATAACTGATTATTAATATTATCATAGTCAAGTGGCCCTGCTCTGCAAGTGTAAATAGACTTTATATACAGTACAGTAAGGAGTGGACAAATGGAGCGCTATGTTCCGAAAATGGAAGAAGCTGGTTTGAACGTAAGCTAGCTGGAGCCAATTTCCTTATATGGGTATTTTGTCCGATAGGGTTAGCTTTCTGCTGCTACAGGGGCAGATGTGTTGCTATTATGGTTGCCAAAACAGGCTTTTTCCCCGTGAATCAAAAGTTATCTTATGGTTCAAATATGGATGTATCCAAATGTCAAAATAGAAACTCCAGGATGCTAGAGGAAGTTACTCTTCAATGCAAATCAATAGGAGCTAGAGAAAAACCTTATCCATGATCACATCCCAATTGGGCTTCACTGAGCAAGAAGGTAAATGTTGTCCATCTATATATAGTCTACGGTATAATTATGTCTTAGGCAAAACATTTTTGGCCTCAAGACTTTCAGCTTTATGCTTTAGTCCTCTTTATCATAATGGGTGCCTGCCTCAAAAAAGAAAAGAGAACCAGTTATTTGTCCCACAGAAGGTGGTGGGTGTGATCCCAGATCGTGTGGAGTTAACATGTTTTTCTTCTGGGTGGGTTTCCTCGTGCCACCAGTTTCCTCCATCCAAGTATCCAAGTATGTGGGAAGCATGTTCTAAAGTGAATATAGGGTTGCACCCTTTGAGATAAGGTGAGGAGCTCAGTCAGAGTAGAGGAGTGATTAAAGTCACTGCTTATCCAAGCCTGGGAACGCCTCTAGATTTCCCTGAATGAGCTGGAGGAAGTTTGTATGGATAAGAAAGGCAAACTGATAAAGTGGAAGGAAATGGATGGATGAATGATTATTTATACAACGACATTTAAACTCTACTTTGGATTTATCAAGGAAATGAACATGACAAACTCACAGCTGATTTTGCTTTTGTGGGAGCATTATTATTACATGTTTAAAATTAGTCCGTTCCGTCACTACCATATTTTTCTTTTTTGATTTTCAAAGGTTTTGGTGGAGACTCCAGAGACCGAGCAGCCTCCCTCGTTGCCCCAGAGCGAAGCGTCTGAGGGGGAGCAGGTCAACCTCTTCATCGAGGCCCCTGCACCGGAGCAGCCCAAGCCCTCCATGTCCAACGGGTCGGCCCAGACTCCAGCATCAGAACCCACCCCTCCGCCCTCTTCGTCCCCGGCCATGACGCCAATCCCCCGCACCAGCTCGGCAAAGACCACCCCAGAGAGGACGTCCACCCGGAGCATGTCGGGGCCAGCCTCGCCCGACGTCAACGGAAGCTTCATCTCCAGGGTCTCGTATCCCGGGAGCATCGTGTCCGAAAGCATGGACATGTCGATCAACAACAACATGATCATATCCAGGGTGAGTCCTCAGTCTCTGTATCAACGTACGGACATGCTTGGATGAATCTGCTTTGGCATTACACTTCATAACATCTCAAGATCAGATTTAGACCTTAATCAGACCTATAGGATTACAATTGAACCTGTAGTAGAAAATGTGTGATCCTTTTGAAGACACCAATTAATAATAAGGTGAAAGAGGCCCGATATGCAAAGTTACATCGAATCTATACAGCTCTTATTTCTTAAATGTGTATTGTAGTCTGGACTCTCCACTAACCTGTATAATAATAGTGATAATGATCGTGGGCAGCATAGCGGTTAGGGGTTGGTTTGATTCTCTGGGCCTGTATGGAGTTTGCATGTAATGGATGTAAGGTGCGTTCAAAACAATCCATTAAAAAACAGTTGTGGATATAAGGTACATTAAAAATAGTGATTGTAGAAATAATTGATGAAGGTTCTTCATTTCTCCCTGCTATGTACTGTTTAAGTAACACCATGAAATCACTCTTTCCACGCTTTCCTTTTTTTACTGTCTAATATTAGTGTTGTGTGTGTATACGCCTCGGGTTTGTCGTGGCTCTTCCCCTTTTCTCGAAAAAACCCCTCCTTGGAAAAAAAGTTCTTAGCTCCTGGGCCGCGTGTAGGAACTGAATGTGCATTGTGTTGTGTTTTGAGCCGTGTGGGAGTGGACCGTCCCAAACAGAGCAGCGACTGTGCCCTATTAGAAGCGCCTTTTTCTACTTTGGGTGGATCCGCAGAAGACATGCCGAGCGCGTATTGATTTTAAGCCTCCAATTTCACGGTCATAAAAAGTCCATTTTATAATCATCATTGATTGCCCAAGGAGACGGCGGCGGGTTTATGTAAGGTGCTATTGGGTTCCCAAGCAAACAAGCCATATTTCTTTAAACAATATTTTTCTATAATTTCATACTCCATAAATTAAATAGATTTGTTTACATGGTGCTGCATTTATCACACCACGAGGAATGAAATGAGAAACAATATTTACTCTTGACACCTTTGTAGGTTTTACGTACAAGTTACAAATTCCCATGAGCCTCTTAAAATTATAACTTTTTAGGTAGAAAGAACATGATCAAATTCATAATTAACTTTAAAATTAAGAACAATTTACTATGTAATGAAATCCATCCACGCTACTTTTGATTTTCATATGTTTTTTGCCCCAGCTTTATAACAGCATTTTCCAAAATAAAAGTCACACCAATCGGCTCTCCCCCAAAGAGTCAATTGGTGATTCACTGTATACTCAACATAAAATCGTTTCTAAAAGAATAAAGACAGCATGTTGTGATATGATTTGTTCACATTTAACTTTCACAAGACTGTCTCTGTTGGGACAAGCAAAATGTATTGTTATGTTAAATAAGTTTGGGACCCCAGATTTTTAAATGGCATCGTCTCACTAGGATCAGACGCTGTAGTTGAATAAATGGTGGCAGTACTTGCTGTGGTTTAAGTTGGGGCATTTATTATCAAGTGCTGCTTTCTTTCTACCAAGTGAATACAATGAAACTGATGTGACTTGTTTCATGCCTGGAAGGACACAGCCGGTTCACGAGGGCAAATATGCAGCAAATATGCAGCCTCCGGTCCAATGTACCCTTTGTGTAGGCACTGGTCAGGAGTCTGTCTGGATGAATAATGATTTTGTCTTTCTATTGTTTTGTCATGACTTATGAAGGCTACAGAGTGTAATGGAAATGCTATTAAGGGCTGAGAAGATTTTCCAGAACACATTATTCAATAGGAAATACACAGAACAATGCCGTGGTGTTTCTAAGAGCAGTGGACTTTCTCTACAAGGTCCAGATTTCAATATGGTAAATTAGAGTTGGGGTATTTTATCTTCCACCCACTATATAAGCATTTTTTTGGCTTTGAAGTAATCACATTTTCACTAGTACATTGCTCTCAAAACAGTTTCCATCCCTAGTTTTAATGTGCATGTATTTTTGGCTTCTGTCACTTCTTTAAATTGTTTTTCTTGGACAGAAGAGTGAAAGAGAGGGCCACAAAATACTGACTCACAGGGCTCTTTCCTATATGCATATCCATACAAAATATCTATTTTAATGAGATAAAGACTGAATGTTGTGGTCTGGTTTGTTCTCAACATTATGCTCTTTCACATTAATAAATTTTTAAACAAGAAAGTTAGCCCAGCTTTAAGTGCGATTGGCGCGTTTCTTTCTTGTACAAAATATGAATTGCAGCAGCTCAATGTGCTAGGTCGGTTTAAATAGTAGGTGTCTCATTCCAAGTTCAACTAATATGCAAAAGGAAGACTGAACTGCATGGACTGGGGTCAGGAGGAAATACTTCCATTATCTGCAGCTTGTGCCATGCAGCAGTAGCCGTGTTCGCTGCTAACTAATGAGATGTGGTGTGAGTTTTATGAATGGCAGGAAGTAGACTTATTCATTCAGTGTTGCACAAAAATAAAGTGTCTCTTGGTGGCTGATGCTCCGCTGCTTGGACAGTGGGGTTGTTTGCTCAGCTGTACAAGCCTCAAAGGGAGCCCTCTGTCTGACATCAGTCCATCTCCTCCTACTTTCCTGTCACCACAAAATAAGGAAGTGACAACAAATGTAGGCCAAATAAAAGCTCTTGTTCGTTCAATTCAACTGTTGCAGAAATGGTTTGCTGCAAATAGATAAAAGGTGTTGTACTATGTTATATATTTGACCATAGTAGTGCTGTATGTCACACAGTAGGTGCCTTTTTAATATATGAGTTGAATAAAAAGTGGATGTGGCGAATGTTCTAAATATGATTATGTTAATGATCCAAACTGTAAAACTATTATTGGATGAAAAAATTAAGTTATTAGGAATACAATCACTGAAGTATTGAGCAATTGGTAGTTTGATCTGGCTTGAATATCAACATAAATACGAGCTTCGTATCATTAGACAGGGCCTTCCTATTCTGACTTCCTAATCCACAAGTAGATGTAGCCGGATGAAAACCAGGCTTTGGTGGCCATTAAAAATGATGATGAGAACATGTACTTGAAGGGATGAGTTTAATTTGCTTTGTTTTGTTGGTGTTTTATTAGAAAATTACCAGCCGCAAACACAGCACTGTGATCTGTATAGAGTAATTGCCAAAACCATTTAATGCGCAATTTTTTTCGTGCTCTTTGTGTGACGTCATCGTGGTCCAATGACATCATACTATTAGATGACTTCTATTACAAGAGATTTGAAACTGAAGGCGCAGGGTTACACCTTTCTGCCAGAAGTTCCTTATTTTTTTTGCTCTGGGTGGATCTAAAAACGGCTCCAAGTCTGATCTCTTAAGCTTAAAAAAGTAAATTTTATACAATATGTCCATTTTACATTGTGTGGTTTTGGCTGCTCTGCCCTTTCCGCTTCTGTCACGTTACAGCAGAACCAGACGGACGGGGAAATGCCGTTGTCAACACATGCTCATCACATCCTCTTGTGGATTTGTTTTCAAACTACCGCAGTAAAAGCGGCATGCCCTTGAATCAACTCTTGTGTTTGTGTTAGTAGAGTAGCGGATATTATTCAAACTCTCATCACTAAACACAGCTGCATGATGGGAGTTTCTCATGCTGTATGTAAAACTCAAGTGTGTATATGAGCTTGTAAAAATATGTTTATATAGAAAAAAATGTAAATGAAATTGACATATTTTTTTTAACTTCATCTGTGTGACTAATTAGTAGACCACATGCTAATATTAAGTTAAGTTAATCTTGTATTTAATTGTCTCTGTGAGGAATTTTGTCCTCTGTATTTGACCCATCCCTGAGGGCCACTTGAGGTACGGAAGCAGCAGTCCTCGTTGTTCAGACTCCATCATCTAGATATTCCCGCTCTACAGAGACCCCCTCCCCAACAGTCAATTTGTATCAGATATTGTGTTCTCCTGTCTGAACGTTGCTTGCAGCAGTTTTTCAAATTAAATATGTGTTTGTGTGGTTTTTGTTTATTTCAGGATTTCTCCAGTAAAACCCTGAAGAAAACCAGGAAGTTTGTGATTGATGGCGTCGAGGTCAGTGTGACCACGTCCAAAATCATCCGTGACGATGAAAAGAAGGACGAGGAGATGCGCTTCTTAAGGTATGAGAACACATGCTATTAATATTGTTGGACACATTTATTGTCTGTATTTTCTTTGCATAATTGCTAGATCAGCATGATTCTGTCAAAATACCTATTTACGATCTTTCTGGTGCTTAGCGATGCAAGTTTACCTTGGAAAGATAACACGGCAATGAAATATTGAACTAGTTTCACAATTTATTGGAAGTGATCTTTATTTCACATAGTACTTTTCACACACTATATGAATACAAGTAAAATATTGTGATTTTTGTTAGATTCTGTAACTTTCAGATTTGTGTTACTCTGATTATGGAGGGTTCCAAACTCAGAGCTTGTCACTATACTTCTGTCTTGTAGGAATTGTTTTCCTTTGAAAGTTATATTTAAATCATGGATACAGTTTTAGATTATTATTCATTATTTAAAAAAAGGACTATGCCAATAGTGTAAATTAGGATTAAATCTTGTGGTCAATGAGTCCTTCTTTTAGTAATTTCAAAACACTGCTCTTGTGCCATCTAGTGGTTATGACTGTGATTACACCATGTTCTCATGTGTCTCATTAATGTAATATTTCTCCTCAAGTTAATCATTTTTAGCCTGACGTATTGAGCCGTGTTTTCTATTTCATAATTGATATATTTCGCATGAAATATTTAGTTTGAATTTGACTTATGATTCATGTGTGCCTGCAAACTGGTGCTAATTCCATACACATTTTCTTTTAAAAATGTTAAGACTAAATCTAATTTACTGGGATGTATCTGTGAAACAACATATCATACAGTCCTCATACTACATACATTTAGCTGAAAGCCTTAAACTTTGCTGTTTGTGTGTTGTGCAGGCGACAGGAGCTGCGTGAACTGCGTCTCCTGCAGAAGGAGGAGCACCGCGCTCAGGCCGGACTCAACGCCAAACTGGAGTCTCAGAGGGAGCAGATGACCCGGCGCTTCGACCAAGAGATGAATGTACGTATTCAGGAGCAGAAAGACTTATTCATACATTGTAATTATTGCTGAAGTTCTTATTTTGAGCAAATATCTTTTAGTCAATTAATAACATACAGATTCTATATTGAACCTCTAAGAGATTTTTTTTTGTTTTTTTAAATAAACGTAATTTTTGCCACCTGACTTCCCACAATCATTTCCCTATATTTTCCCTATATATTATGTTATTGATTTCAGTAGTCTTAAAACTTTTTTAAAGTCTCAGGAATCCACATTTTGTCTGATAGATAGAAAAGAAAAATCTGGGGCCAAAATGGTTAATAATATAAAAATATGTCTTTTTTGACTGTGCCAATCAAAGACAAAGGGTAGTCTATGACCATGTGGAGTTGCAATGAAAATGTTATTATTATTATTTTGTTCTCAGGCTAAGAAAAAGCACTACGACGTGGAGCTGGAAAACCTGGAGAAGCATCAGAAGCAGACAATCGAGAAGATGGAGGGTGACCACCAGGTGAAGCTCAAGGAGGAGAGCAGGCGCATCAAGACCGACCAGGACCGGGCCTTCCACAAGTTCCAGGACCAGATGAAGCTGAAGAAGAAAGAGGTACACTTTTTAAAAACTTTGCACCCTGGTGGGCAGCACGGTTGGCGCTTGTGCTACAAAGCAAGATAGTCCTGGGTTCGATTCTACCTCCAGATGGGCTTTCTTTGAGTTTGAGTGATAAGGCAAAGTTACAAGACTGCATTGGAAGTGACTCGAGGCATTCGCTTCACCGCGGGGCGCATGGAGATAAAATCAAAACCCATCAGACTGGTTGGACACACTGTGTTACAAACATCAATAACTGAATATCCTAACTTTCAGGGCAATATCCAGCAATAACATAGCTTTGGTGATCTTGGTCTATTAAATGTGCTATATATTTAATGATTACATACTTACTTATTAACAGTGACCTACACACACACACACACACCCCCAAAAATGCATTAAACCAGATTAGAATTTTTTTTTTTTCATTGTTTCTGTATAATGCAATTTGCCACTTCTTGCTTGATGCTTCCAAATACAGATTGTCATAAAAAAATAATCACTAGATAGGTAATAGATAGATTGATAATCAAACTTTTTATACAGTCTTTATCCTTACACTTATGTGTAAATTAGGAGAGATTCATCATGGAACTAATTTTCAAACAATATAATGCATTGAAAGAGATCTCTGAGAATGTCTGGTGTCATTGTGTTTGCTTATTGCAACTATGCATATGTTAAATAAGCAACAAAAAAGATCTTTAAAGGAGCTATACCCGTTTCGACAATGTTTATTTTTTAAGTTTTAATGTTTTATGTTTACCCCCAACTCGCTCACAGGCTTCTCATTTCCCCTACGTTCTCATCCCAAGCAGCCTTCTAGTTTTATTTGCGATTTGATCTGTATGCAAACATTAGCATGAGCACAACTTCTTGTATGCTGTACAACAATCACTGATGAAATGGTACAAAAGCAACGCACTGCTAACAAAATATATAACTGAAAGATTACTGCTTGTTTCACGTCCAAATGTGGTCTGAGCATAGATAGTCCGAGGCGCTCCCACTCCCGCAAGTCTCTCCAGAGGTTACGATGTAAGCTAGCTATGCTCACCCGGGCTTGATTTCTACTTTTAATCTGTTTTTTTTTTTGTTTTGGGCTGTTTTGCTTTGTATGCAGTTACAGCAAGAGAAGTAATAGCCAATTCTGCTAAAATGCTATTGTGTTTACCAGCGCTGTAGAGGCTAGAGTACGCAGCCTCGTTCTGTGAGTGGGGGAGAGCGGGCGTCACGCTAAGTCTCTACTCAGCACTTTTTATGGCCTGAATTCATACACAAGCTGAACCAATGAGCTCAAGTTTTCAATTAAATTACGGATTTTAATACAACTTGTTTGTAGTTATACGCATTTTTATGAACTTATTAGAAAAAAAATCGGGTATAGCTTCTTTAAAGAACCTTCTTGTTTGTCTTTCAAGGTGAAACAAACCGTTGAAAAACTGCCCAGACGCAGCCGCAAAGAATCTATGAAGCAAGCTATGGTCAGCTACCAAGACATGAAGACCAAAGAGGTAAGAGCGGAGGAAGAAAACTCATATTCTGACTGCTCAATCTTGAATCTTAACGTTTTCTCTACAGGAAGAACAGTTCCTGGCCAAACAGAGGGAGTACTTGGACACAACGCTAAAGGAAATCATAGCCAACAACAAACGAGAAATAGCAGAGAAGGAAAGGGAGTGCTTGAACAAGAAGCACGAGCTAATACGAGGTAATGCACGTTTGTCAAGTGCCAGATCGATCCAGTTCTAATGTATCATGTGAGGGTTTAAGGTTAAGCCGTTTTATCGTTGTAATTTCCAGAGCGCGAGGCGACGATATGGGAGATGGAGGAGAGGAACCTTCATGAGAAACACCAGCTCCTGAAGCAGCAGCTCAAAGACCAGTACTTCCTCCAAAGACACCAGCTCCTCAAAAAACACGAAAAAGTATGTGAAGAAAGATGAGAATTCTATTTTGTTCAATCTGTCATATTTATGCCTTGGACATTCTCAAAACAGAAGTAGAAATGTAGGTACTGTGTGTTAACCAGGAAACAAATGCTGGAGCAACAACGCCATTATCTTCCAAACATTTAAAAGAAAAGTTTTGATATATGGTCATTATTGGCTCCCACCAAGAGTCTACACTAAGCTGCTTCTACATTATATCTGTTAATTAAGAATTAAGATTTAGGGTTTATAAGGATTTGGCATTAGAATATTATTTATGGTTTCAATGTGTATTTATCAACGGTCCTGCTGTCTGGTACTATCTAGTCTCCGTGGGACGATCCTGGTTAAACAATACATTATTTACCTCAAATCTCACTCAAATACCGCTGTGTCATTCACACAAGTACCTTCCAAACAGGCAGAAATGAATTGAGCTTGCCTTTGACACCCAGCTTCAGACATGTTTTGAATGTCGCCATTAAAACGTTCTCTTCCCGACATCAGGAGCAGGAGCAGATGCAGTGCTACAACCAGCGGATGATCGAGATCCTGAAAGGCCGACAACAACAGGAGAAAAGTCGCCTTCCCAAAATCCAGCGGAGCGAAGCCAAGACCAGAATGACCATGTTCAAGAAGAGCCTGCGCATCCAGTCCAACAGCAGCCCCGCAGAGGACCGGGAGAAGATCAAGCAGGTGCACAGCCAGGGAAATCAAGCTTATACCAAATGATCAATACAGTTATACTATGAGTTACAAGACGCATAAAAAGACTGATATGAGTAGTAGCTTATTTTCTCAACATCTCTGGTTTTAGCCTTTCTGCTACTCTCGGGTCAAAATGAACTGCTACAGATGATTAAAAGTAGAAGAAGAATGACCTATGGCTGGTCAAGTTAGGATAAAAAAGTGATTTGCAACAATTTGTCATTGACCTGTTATATGGAGTTCTTCAATGCACGTGTAGTAATCTTTATTGTCATGTCATCAGGACTTTGTATTCTCCTTCACCTTGACACACCCACAAATGCTTGTAAGATGCAACATATAGTTAAAAAACTTACATTTTACATGAATTAAAGAAATGATTAGATTGATGCTACTTGATCTTTCATGTTGGCACGGTCGTATCAGAACAGGAAGTATTATATTATATGTTACATTAGGTAGTTTTAGATCTATATGGAGATCCAAAGGGTTGATCCTGAAATGTTATGGAATAAGGCAAAGGCACAATGTAAAAAAAAACATGATTATAGCCAGTGTTAAGGGAAAAAAAATATATATATATACCATCCATCCATCCATCCATTATCTACCCTTTAATCCATGTCTGGGTCAGGGGGGTGGCAGTCAGAGATGCCACCCAAGTCTCATAGCACCAGCCCCTCACTGACCCTCTGCAGGTGGTGAGTCCACAGGAGGATGGCTGCTCTCTGAGTGTGAGCATAGCCTTGATCTTTCAGTGGGGGCTTTTGGGCAAAGTGGGGTTAAGTGTCTTGCCCAAGGACACAACGACAGCAGTCATCAGTGGGAGTCAGTGGAGAAGGTGTAGAGGTGGGAATTGAACCCACGACCTTCAGGCCTTAAGGCCAATGCTCTACCAACTGAGCTACTGTCGCCCTAATAATATATAATATATATACCGTTTATAGAAAAAGGTCTTAATTAATTGTGTGGTTGTGTGTGTGTGTGGTGCAGTTTTCTCAGCAGGAGGAAAAGAGGCAGAAGGCCGAACGTCTGCATCAACAGCAGAAGCACGAGACTCAGATGAGAGAAATGATCGGACAGTGTGACAGCAACATCCGGGAGCTACAGCAGCTACAGGTACACCTCAAGTTACACAATGTTATTCTAGACATTTCGTTACATATAATTTTATTGCCCTTTATCTTGTGTATAAGTTCAGCTTGCAGCCTATACATAGTAATATAAAAGCAAACCATTCTATTGCATGTATTTCTTCTCAGCCATTAAACAGTGCTTTCATTTGCTTATGTTTTCTATAGATAGATAAATAGATACTTACTTACTTTATTCATCCACGTAGCAGAAATTCAGATGTCCAGCAGAAGACACACACCAATCAATTATTCATAACTATTAAAATGTAGGCTTTTTCTTCCGGTTAGCGCTTGTTTTATTTTAGCTTTAATTTTTTACAGAATGAGAAATGTCACCTGCTGGTTGAGAATGAGACCCAGAGGCTGAAACATCTGGACGAACAGCACTCCCAGTTGCTGAAGGACTGGAGGGACCACCTGAAGCCCCGGAAGAGGGTACGGATCCTCCCAAATACTCTTCTCAAATACTTTAGAAGTGGTTCTCTTTGGTTATAGAAAAAAAAATAAACATACGCAAAGTGTTTTATGGATAAAATTATACTATAGTTGGATCATCATAAATGTACGGCCGTTTACAACTCCAACACTGGTATCGGGTCAATTTGGGTTTTAAGTAATCTTACATTTGTCCTGGGGCTTAATCCTTACATTTTTCCTTCACTCTTAAAAATAGACACAAAAACGTATATTGGGGGTGGGGGAAAAATTCTGCTAATTTAGTGTGAGGACATTATTGCAATATATGAGTTTAAAGCTCTCAAACCTCCCTCTCAAAACGCATGTATGTGTGGCTTCTGACACGGCCTTAGGTCCCCTTTTGTAGACAAAAAATTAAAACGAGACAAACCATATCTATTCAGCCAATCGGCTCTCAGCCCAAATCGTCACAACGTGCTCTTCCTTAGACAAAGAATGACATGTTTTCTTATAAGATTAAGGTGCCCTGATGTGGTTTGATTTTGTTATCAATATCTAACTCTTAGGTCTCTTTTTGTTGGGAAAAAAGTGTTATTTTGCAATAGAATAAGATGTCCAGTGTTAATGAAATCTCAAAAATATTGCCTAAACCTGTGCGTTTTGAATTTTTTAGGTGCTGGAGGAAGAACTGACCCTGAAGAAACGTGAGCAGGATGCGTTTTTCCGGATGAGCGCGACAATAGACTGCCCCAACCCCAGCTCGCCGACCAAACTCTCCAAATTCATGCCTTACCAAGACTCGTCTTCAATGTAGACCACATACAGCGATGCTAACGCCACTGCTGCACAAAGGGCCCACTGTACAAGCCATGGAAGCAATGTAATCTGAAAAATCACCCAATGTTTCCAATCGACTTTTAACACATTTTTTCTGACTTCCTCTATATCAGTATTTTGAGTCCTGTTTACCACCTCAACGCAACACAATAGACAACACTGGGTTCGTTTAATTTAATTCTCGTTGCTTGTCCAAACAGTCATATGTTTTGCACAATTTTACTAAGAGCTGGTAGCGAACACTTTTGTTGATCAATAAGCTTTAAGTCTTCCAAGTGAACGTGAAAAAAAAATGCCTGAAATGGAAATATACAAGTATTTTAACTTTAACAATTTAATTTCCCAAAATGAACGAGCTGCCAAACCTGCTTTATTTATTTTAACTTTGCATCACTGTAAAACAAAAATAATTTTATATTTTAACAAATTTTCTTTTTAATAATCTAATGTGTATATATATATTTTTTTTTTCTCCAAATGGGTATTTAGTCATAAATCCAGATTTCTTACATTAAGTGGTTATTGATGATTACATTTTTAAGGGAAGACTTTTTTTATTTAGTATTTTACTGTACTTCAGTCACACTGGATGAGAACTGACCAAGCCAAAGTGAATATACTGTTGTGTTGTTTGAACGGGATTTGAAAACCGAATTTAAAATGTATTATGATATTTTTGCCTTTTTTTTTTTTTTGCAGTAAATGTGCTGCCTTCTAACCCAAGTGCAATATTATATGTGGCTTCCATAGTTTCTGTCTTTGAACTGTGCCTTTCTTTGCACTGAGTTGATGCTATAAAGAGTCAAATAATCTAATAATAAAGAAAATGTATGTTTAAATTAATTTTTTTTATTGACTCTTTGAATCCTAACTCGTGCGTCTGGAGTGATGAGTGGCAATGGTACAGTTTATTCCCTGTTTGTGTTTGAAGGGCGTAAATGAGTGAATGGAAATCTAGAGAAGGAACCACTGTTGTAAATACGTCTTAATAAATACAGATTTTCTAATTTTACAAAGCTGTGTTTGATTCTTTTTCCATTTTATTATTTTAAACTATCAGCATGGTTAGAACTGTGATGGGAGACACCAGTGGGGCGGCTGCGGCTGTAAAGTGCCAAACTGTCATTGTGTCTTTAGGCAAGATGCTTCACCCACATTGTCTAGAATGAGTGGTGTGTGCATGAACGGGTGGTGTAGGCCGATGGCACATTCTGGTTGCCTCGCTTTCTGTCAGTCTGCCCCAAGGCAACTGTGCTAGCGCTACATTAAAGGGGCAGTATGTAAAAATCTGGCCAAAAGTGGTACTGCAATGTCTCCCACTCTGCCTGAACCAGGTTGCCAGATATGCGGATAAATCCAGCTGGGAGCATAATAACTGAATAAAGAGTTTTGTCATCAACAAACACCTTTTTTTTTCTTTTTTACAAAGATAGAAATCCTGATTTTATTCCGTTTTATCATTAATGATTTGAGAATCATAACGAGACCTTTTTTAGTAGTGCGGCCTGAAATGTTTACCAGTGAGATTAGCTAGATGCGGTGAGTTCTGGCAACCCGGATCAGACTTTCTGATTGGTGAAACAGTGGAGGGTGGGACATCGAAATGAAAACAATGTAAAACTAATTTTGAAATTCAAATATCTCGGCTGAACTACTGTTTTAAGTTAAAGTATTTGAAAAGAGCCTTGTCATTGCCTTTTGACAGATTAGGGCCATTTAATGATGACTTGACATGAAAATCTGACACATTGCCACTTTAAACCAATGCTTATATCATTATAGCGTCAGAAATGTTTTTTTAACACGTTGCTGACATCACCTTCAACATGACTTGAATTCATGACTTTATGCACTATATAAATAATGATTACTTAATGTCTATTTTAGAAAACAGCTACTGAGAAAAAAAGCAAAGGTCCACATTTGAGCTATAAATTGGAGGAAAACCCTGTACTTTGATGTGCATCTATTCGTGTCTCTTATGCACAAAAGACCAAAGGCAGACGCTGGTAAAAATGTCAATGTTTATTTGCTCGTAAAAAAAAAGAAGATGCACAGAAATAAAGTGTGAAGCACATTTTACAATACAATACTGAAACTTAACATTGGCACAGTTTAAAGCTGACATTAAACTTGCATTGAAACTGTCTTTGGTTAAAAAAAAAAAAGAAGCCATATTACAGACTTGATATTGCGTGTAGTGTGATAAAGTTTAGCAAAGCGACCAAGAGCAGAACAAGAATATTTTAAAGTTACAACTCAGTCTTGTCAGATGATTTATATGTAATTTTGATCAAGCTGCGGCAGACAAGAAATGTGAAATATTGGACGCTGCAAAAAATCTAGGTCAATGTCAGTTATTTTTTAGATTGTGGAGAGCACTGGTTAGACTCACCCATACTCACCCCCGCAGCTTTCTGATTGGTCAAAATTATTTCAAATCCTTGAGGGCCTTTGTCATTGGTTTAACTATTCGCCTCCAGCAAATCTTACTGGTCGTAGTTATGCCAACGGGAGGGACTATTTCAAACATATTATTGTTGAAAAATACTTCTTGCACATAATAGTACTGTGCCCCATGGTCAGAAATATGTTTTTTTACATATCACCTTTAACATGACTTGAATTTCTGATCCTGGTAAGGATTTGTTAGGGCTGTAAGATATGTTCTAATCAAAATGCAATTTGAATGGTTTAAGTGAGAAAATAACTGCATGTATTCCTTATACAAAAGTGAAATTATCTCATGTAAAAATATGTTAACTTTGCAGGTTAGACATACAAACACTGCAAAATATTTATTCAAAAAATAGTCAATGTTTTCACTGTGTAAGCCAGTACTTCTTAAATAGTGGGGCAACTCCTCTGTTGCACCGTTCTGACCCCAGGAGCAATTGTGGCCCCTTTTTATAGGGCCTGGCAGAAAATTATTGAGAAGCACTGGTTTAAGCAAACTAAGTCTGATTTTGAATTGAATATTTATATGGTCTATCCTGAAAATGTCAAATATTATATATATTATACATATATATAATAATGAAACTTTTCAAACCAGTCATTAGAATGTTAATCTGAATAATCTAAATTAATTATTTGTTTCGATATTGCTCGGCCTTTAATGCTCTCCTTTGGCACCTATCGAATCTTATTTTTAACCGCCCCTCAATATCCACTTTTTGCAGTGACCAAAGTTCCACCCTTTTTCTCGCTCGAATCCCTTCATTGACACAAAGTAAAACAGATGACAGACTGAAAAGTTAGGACTATAGTTACTGTACAATAAAATCTTCTGATGATATTTTTTAGCTTGAGACCAGTCAAGCTTTTTTATGTAAAACAATATTTGACTTACAAGCACCACTCCTCGGTTTTTTGTACATTTACAATACTGCTGTTCATTGCACCATACCTGGTCTAGCGAGGCATGCCACCTTTTTTTTCCAATTTCTGGGCTTTGTGATGACAATAAAGTTATTTTACATTGTTTTTGTACTTTTTCAAGTTTGATTCGATCATTTTTGAACACTAATAAACACTACGTATACACACATGGTTATATATGATTAACATTGTCTAACAAACTACTTAAATGCACTGTGGCATTGTTCCCCTTCTCCTACAAGTGCAAATCTGACATGTTGCCATATAAAAATATAAATGACAAAAATAACAACGTAAATATGAAGCATTTCTACTTGGTAAAGGCAGCTTGAATCTGTAAAAGCTGAAGTGAACTTCCCAGAACTTGTGCAATCTACTGCAAAAAAATTAGCTAATTTGTGACAAAAATAAAAATAGAATAAAAACTTGTAAACGTTCTATCATATCCAACATTTTTGAAAATTTGAGGAATAACATTTCCAACTTTATATTCAACCTCCATCTTCTGTATTTCTCAACACCCTTTGCTCGATTCAAAGCATTTTTGATGGTCATTGATCTAAAGGTGGGCACGGTGAAGGGAAGGGTTCTCCTAAATTTTGCATAACTTTTGTATTGCTCTGTATAACTTTAGCTTTAACACTTTTTTCATGAAACCATATTGATTTTGCAGATATGCTGAAAGAGGTGACATTATCAAGCCATTGAAAAACAGCTCTCATTCATAAATAATTCACAAAAAGATGACAATCTTCAATTAGGTCACTTTTATCTCGATTTCTGTAAAGTTTGTCTTATTTTGCAAATCACAAAATGAGGTTGCTTCCCATTAATCATATAGCCCTTACAGGGAATTTACACAGTGCACGCATGTGCGCGTAACATTATTTGGGTGTATCTACTGTACACAGGCCGTGCGCGCAGGTCCGCAGCTTCTGATGCTCTCCCTGTGTAGTCTATGGAGCAGTGTAGAGGACAGTACAGAGGACTGATGTAGAGCAAAACAAATCACATGCATGTGTTTGTCCTCATGGTCTCTGTGCGCTGGTCTGGCCGGATGCGAGACTTTATGAAATAAATAAAAACAATGTCCAGAATCACTGTAAAACCTGCTGCTCCTCCTGCTATTGTTTAGATACAAGTGCTGTGTGTGTGTAGATGCGATCTAAAGCCAAGGGCTGCTAGAAAAATCGTGTTTCACATGTGTTTTCAATGGGAAACGCTCAAAATTAGAAATCCATCCTAAATTAGGCGCAGCCTCGCGTCATACGTCCGTCATACATGCGTATAACGCTAGAAGTGTAAATATCATCATAGGTTAACATGGAAAAATGTTACGCGCGTCCGCTGCGCGTATAACGCGTACTCGCTGTTGGACCTTTAGACCAAGACCATGCTATTAAGATTGAGTTTTGCTGCACTGATCAATCAACCTTTCCATTGTTCCTTCTTAACTTAAACTGCCTTCTATGTCTCCCACTAAACATTCTGAATAATGTTTTTTTGTTTACTATTGCTCATTCTGATACTACTACGACTATTGTTCCTACTACTCTGAATCAGTTTCTAAAGATGTCCACTTGACTTTAAACAACTTTTACTTGGCATTGATAACTTCCCCACTGAAAAGATGGCTGCCTACACATACTAGTAAAGCAAAAAAAACAGTTTGCATAATATTATTTAACATTGAGGCACAGAATGGCATGGGGGGAAACGTACACATGTGACGTGAAGTCAACACAGGCTGCTACTATCACTGCAATATAAGCAAGTCCCCATAAATAAGACAATAAGTAAACATAGGACCTCACTAGACAAGGGAAACTATTATTGCTATATTTAGTTTTCTGGTTAACAATATCCTTGTCCATTAGATTAAAAAGTACCTACTGTATATGTTGCTAAGGATGCATCACTACACAGTGATGGAGATGGACATTTCATAGGTTCAATACACACATGTTTTTTTTTTTGTATTTTAGGTTCTAGTCTACATTTGGTAGTTCTTAATTTCCATGTTGATTAAATGTTCAATAAAAAATAGCTGGGACCATATATTCTCATTGATCACATTCATCTGATTTTATTAACATATTGATATGGGATTATCCTGCTTTGAAGCTAAGAATGGTTTCAAATCAATTGCATACCCCCATATATTTCACTTTAAACTGTGACGAGAGCAGTGTCTGGTCCAAAGTGTCAACTTGGCACTTTCTAAAATGTCTAGAATTTCTACTTGCAGCACTATATACACAATGTGGTCCAAAAACAGCCTGGATTATAATGTGTATTGAATCTATATCAAATGTCCAACTTTATATTGAATACTCACTATGAATGTCCACCTTTACGTTACTGAAAGGACTTCATCATTACTATCCCCTCCTTAGGGTTTCTTGCTCAGGTAATTTGAGGGGATCCAGCCCTCTACCTCCTCTCCTACATTTTTACAAAACCACCAACCGTTGCTGTTTTTCTCCAAGACCTCAAACACAGCCCCTATTTTAAACCCTGCCGTTTGCTCGTCCCCTTCAAAGTCCGCTACAGCCAGATACAACTCCTCCTTGCTGAGCTCTTTCAGCAATGGGGGAAGCTTGCTCGGAGGACCAGGTTTGTCGCTTTTGAGCTGCGGCTTTGGTGGAATCGGTACTTTATTCGCTTTGGGTTCGATTGGTGTGAACGCTTTTGGCTTTGGAGGAGGAGGTCTACCCAGCTGAGGAGGCTTGGGAATGTCTTCCTTCAAAATAGGCGCTGGTTTGGGTTCGGTGGGACTGGACGGATCGCTTTTCTTTGGTGGTGGAGGTCTTTTAGGGAGCATGGCGGGCGGTCTCTGGGGGGGCTCTTTGTGCAGGGGGACTGCCGGTTTGAGAGGCGGAGAAGACGTTCTTTCCTGGCTGTGACCGTTGATGTTTTTTGGCGGGATTTTTGGCAGTTCTTCGTTGGGTTTGTTGTTCAAACTCGGGATGTGAATGGGAGGAGAGCTTGTGGGCGAACTCGGCTTAGCTACACCATTGCTTTCCGATGGTAAGCTTGAATCTGTAGCTTTTGATGGCCTAAGCTTGCTACGTAGATTAGTGATATCCAGTTTATTTTCTGCTGCCATTTCTGGCTTAGCGGCTGGGACTGGCTTGGGTTTTACCCATGGTTTTGGTTTCATAAATGCAGGTGCTGGCATGCTTTCTTGTTTCTCTTCTTGCGAATCTTGTCTCGGTTTTGGTGGCTGTTTTGGCACCGGTTTTAAATTAAACTTCTTGACTTCTTTGGCTGAAATTTTATGGCCACATTCGAGACCCATCTCATTTCGAAGATGCAATGCTTTGCTCTTGTCTTCTTTTTTCAAATCCGCTGGTTTCTCTGCTTTGAAAGGAGGCGGTTTCACTAATGGTACGATGACGCCGGGAGCTGGTGGTTTTGGTGGTAATGGTTTTGAAGGGTCAGGTTTGCTCTTCTCTGCTACCTCCAACTCCAAGCTCTTGTGAATGGACTCTCTTCTAGGTGGCAGTGCTGGCTTTTCCTCACTAGGGGGGGCTGAAGGAGCTGGTGGTAATGGCCCGGTAAAAGCAGGAGCAGCCTTATTGGTTTTCCAGTCTCTCAGTTTGGGTCTAATGAAGGACTCAGTGGCGGTGGGCTCGTCGGGTAAAGGTTTAGACCATGTGTTGTCTGTCGTAGTTGTAGAATTTATGTGGTTGTTGTCTTCCAGACTGAGACGCTCCATTTCGTTGGGCAGTGGTGCGAGAAAGTTGGGTCTCAATGCATTACTGGTTTTCTTGTATTTGTCGATGAATGTTGCAGGGGCCCATCCTTCCTTGTCGTCAATCTGGATGTACCACCAACCACTGCCATTTTTGTCCACCACCTAGGAAATACAATGGTATTTTAGGGTGGGTCTATGTTAGGGTGGGATCAACCAAAATGAGGGCTACTTTGTGTCATATTCATTGAAACAAGAAAATAAGGGATTACATTGACTTCGGGTAAAACATGTTAAAAGGCCATGTTGTATGTATGGATGAAGGATTGACCATGAGGTATTAGGTGTATTATAATTCATTGTATACCATACCTCAACTTTGATGCCAGCAGTGAAGCTGATCCCGTCAGGAATGGTGGTCTGGAAGTCTGCAATGGTGTAGTACTCCTCTTCGACCTGAGGAGGCACTGGAGGCTTGGGCAGTTTTGCACCTCGGGGCTGTGGAAACACAACATATGATTAAGAAACGTTTTGAATTAGAAATGTATGTGAAAGGAATGGATACATGTTTAGATTCTTACAATACTGAGGTCTCTGCGTGGGGGAGGTCTGTGTCTTAATCCAAGCTCTGGAACAGGAAAACAGAATAAATATAATAAAATGTCAAAATTCAAAGTACTGCATGCATTTCTATCCAATCATTTTTAAAAGAGTTGGAACATGACTTACTGTTTTTGCTCTCAGAGAAGAAGGAGAGTCGGTTCTCTTTGTGGTTGTTGTCGCGATTGTCTTTCAGAGCGTTGTTTTGATGGTTCTGTCGCGTGTATCCGTCCAGGTCGTTGGTGTTGGAGTGAACTGCGGCTCCAGGTTTCTGATTCTGGATGTCGGCTTTCTTCAGGTACGAGGCCGGGGCCCAGCCCTCTTTCCCCTGGTATCTGATGAGAGATAGAAAAGTAATCATTATTATGACTTATTACATCTGGTGCTGGGACTTTCACTCTGAATTTGCTGACCAATAACAGATTCATCTGACCTTGCCTTAAACATTTACTGCAACTGCAATAGCCACCCCCAATAATAACAGTAATGCAATGCTAATAAAAACAGAAGTGCATCTTCCTAAAAGTGTTTGAGCCAGACCTTTCAGGATTATTTCATGAAGATAAATAATGTCTTATTACTTGATCTTCCACCAGCCCTCCAGGTTCTTCTGCACCACCTCCACCACCATTCCCCTCTCCAGGTCTATCTCATCTTGGTCCCGGGCAGAATAAGGGTAGATCACAGAATATTTCTCCTCTGCAAATGAAAGTCTTATTTTAGTTTAAGAAAAGTACATTCAATGCAACGCACTATAAAGCAGATTTACAAGTGTGCAGTTTATAAGTGCAGACACTATTGGGAATAGCTTAGGGCAAAATGAGACCATGGCATTATAATGGGCTGCAAACATATGAACATATGCGGTCTATGTACAAATAAGCTCTTGCTATTTTAAAGCAAAGCAATAGAAATAGTTTCTGTAGAAGGAGATTAAGATGTACAGTATAAGCCTCAGGCAGCATGTGGAGTAACAGTGTGAAAAAACAATTAAACATGCAAACAGTGTTGCTACATTCATAAGTCGTTAGTCCTTCTCCTATAATATATAATAAGATTTATGAAAATGTAAAAATAGTTTAAAACAGCAGAATACTGTATTATATAGTTATGTTATTAAACTTTATGTTCCTTCAACATGCAGCTTTATAAAGTTGTATGAATCAATATATCATATCAACATATATAGTGTATATATTTCTACTTTATAACATTAAGCAAAAGAACATGCAGGAAAATCATTTGCATGCTTGACTTTAGGCCTGTCACAATATTATTAGAATAACAATGTTTGAATATGACTTTGTTACAGTTAAGAGAAAAATACTACATTTGTGCAACAGTAAAGTAGAGACAAAAGTTACTGAGCCTCAGAAATGATTAATATTTGTAGTTTAAATAATAGAAGTAACAATACTACAGAATCACAAGCTATAGTAATGATCATGACAGACTTACTGAAATGAAACATGCAGAAACATGCAGGATCAGACGTTTTCATGGGAACTGTTTTGTACACAATATTATACACAGATTATACAACTATATAATCCAACTCAACTAAGTATTCCCCCTGAACATTTGTCCAAGTGTGTAGTAGATTTAAACCATAGAGCTGTGATGGCTGATAGAAGCAATTGTCATACTTATTCACAGTTTTGCAAAACACAATCTAAGTACTTTGCTGGACTGATTTTGATGGACGATAAACTGCTTTTAAAAATTATTGCAATAAATGATAATGAAAACTACTTCATGCTCAGTGAGTTACTTACTTACTTACAGTACTTACTAACTTAATGTATCTGATACTCATACATGAAGTAAGATAATTCTAGTAAGCGTTTTTAATTAATCAATTTATCATTTCGTTTGTCCAACAGAAAGACCTGTGGCTGAGAGTCAAATAGGTAAAAAAAAAAAAAAGCGAGACAGTCATATATTTACAGTATGTTCTATTTTTAACTTTTCTGTCTGTCTGAAAAAGCTGACCTAAAGATGTGACTAGTGATAGATCCAATCTGCTTTGAGAGCAATGAACTAGAGAACTGTATTTTCTTACATATATAAATTCCTCCCAGCTATAACCGGGAAGCAGTGTTAAACTTAGGAGGATGCAAACTACACCACTACACCTATTTAAAAGTGAATCCTACTGTACTGTATACAGTTATTCTTTCTCCCATGTGAACGTTGAAAGTTTAAGTTGGTTCCAGGCCATGCACACAGCACACAGAAGACACACACACAGAGGGAAAAGAGAAAGAGAGAGCGCCTCCACCTGGCCCTGAGCTGAATAGGTCGCCTAAGGTTCTGCGGCGGCCCATGTGCCTCGGCAGAGACCAGAACCTCCGCGGCACTGACATCACAGTGAGCAGGGAGTCAAACACAAGGTCAGTCCACCAACAACTGTATTACTCTTGCAAAGTTTACCTTTACGCAAAGACGACCCCAAAATTAGACCTACATCTGCAAGTTCATCAAGAGTTAGTAGTGGTCTCTTACTTAATGACCTATATTCTTCTATTTTTTTGGCATAATTATTGTTTAACCTTATAGTAGATAAGATTTAAAAGTTCATATCTAAAAAAAACACCATAATATATTTTCTTATATAAGGATAGGTAATCAAATAGCCCCACTTCCTCACAATAATGAGTAATTGTATTGCTTATGTTACCATGTCTTATGTGATGTCCCCCAACTGAGAGGGGAATAAATAGTACAATACTCAGTTACTTTTTTATACAAAATATTGAACGCTACTTTAGGAAGAATCCAAACACATACAAAATAGTAAAGCTACGTATTTTTAATCTTGAACATTTGGTCTATGCTTATACTCGACGTTGACATTTTTACAATTTGCCCATCATTCCATAACAATAAACCACTTCATAACGTATAGCAAATACTGTACATTTCTTGAATAGACATGAATCTCTTATAATGCTGTTCATAAACGTTATGAGACTGAAACCTGTGAATAAAAGTGTGAAGTATGGATTACGTAATTGTCAAAAGAACATGGTGCCCTGAGCTCACCCTCCTCTCCCGGGATGGTGAAGTCATCCGGGTCGTCCTGAGCCTCGAGGCAGGTGGCAGGGACCCAGCCCTGAGCCTCTTCTGTGCTCACAAACCACCAGCCTGAGAAGCAAAACCACACATTATCATCACAATCTGGACGACACGTTCTAGATAAAAGCACTGCCTTCATTTGTTCAGACACATTTTATCTAGAATGCGTTTGCTGGAACTTACTCATGCATAAGTTTACTAACCATCTGATAAATCTTACGTTGAGAAAGTATATATGATTGATTGATACAAGAACATTTCAGATTGAATGAAAAATTATGAAATATGGATTTTCCCAAGAGATACCCACACAATCAGATCTTGAAATGTTAGCTGTTTCATCTTCTTACATTATAAGTGTTGATTTGGCACAAATATGTGTTTTTTAACTGTAAATTGTGAATAAACTGAATCTTCTTGAACAACACTGTCTGTATCCTATATTTGGGTTGACAATATGTAATCATGGCTGGTTCTATCTTGGGCAGTGTTGGGCACGTTACTTTGAAAAAGTAATTAGTTATAGTTACTAGTTACTTCTCCCAAAAAGTAACTGAGTTACTAACGGAGTTACTCCACTATAAAAGTAACTAGTTACCAGTAAAAGTAACTATTGCGTTACTTTTTCGTTTTGTTCTGGAACATAATGTGCACCCGACGTGCGCATTTTTACCTTTAATAGTGCCAATATTTCCATCTAGAAAAGGCTGTTTTGCTGCTGAAGTCCTGTTCACTCTTCATCTCTCACTGTGCTGTAAAGCCCGCCACTGTGAATGTGGAAACACCGGTGACGAGCGGTGAGGCTGGTGAAGCACTGACTTCAGTCCAATCAGATGAACATATACATCATATAAATCAAGTGGACAATTTGTTTGGCTACAGCAAAATATGTTTTATGCCCGCATTGTTTGTTCATACAAAACGCAAAACTATGAGTTATGGGTCTTACCTTATAGCTATACCTTATAAATGACCTGCACAGTCCACTTCGGTTCAGACCAGTTCCTTGTTTAAATCCAGTGAATGGTTTGAGCGTAGATATGTAATCCTCCGTTTGGAAATGAGTCCAATGAGTTTTAAAAAGTAAAACAAAACGCGTGTGTCCTCCGTAAACTCCTCTGTTTTGCTGCAGCCGGCTGCATCCAATTTCTAAAATCAACCGTCTTACACTTCACCTCTCTTTCTTATCATTCCTATAGTAATTGAAAAATTACCCTATGTGCATTTTAGATTATGTAAAAATGTGTTATATGTATGTTAGCCAAACCTGTTGCTGTCCTTAGCAGATAAACCAGGAAGAGCAAGGAGCTTATCGATGGAATTGTAGGCAGCCGACTTCTGCGCTCACATGCGCTCCTCTGTGGCTGACCTCACGGTGATACAAGCCGTGGTTGAGCGCGATTAAGACCCATATTTCTTTCAAAAACACAATTTATGAGCCATCCTCTCAACTGTAGACATGTAGATTGTAAAGGAAATATGATTTACATCAGCCAATAATTGCTGAGAGGTTTTTTCATCCTCCCTTCTCTCATGACAACACGTTCATTGTGCGTCTTGAGTAACGCGCAGTAACGGGATGTCGGAAATGATAACGGCGTTATAGTTACTGTCAAAGTAATTAGTTAGATTACTCGTTACTGAAAAAAGTAACGGCGTTAGTAACGCCGTTACTAGTAACGCCGTTATTCCCATCACTGATCTTGGGCTTGTATTGCACACATTAGCCTTACCAGACTCGTTCTTCTCGATAACCTCCACCACCTGTCCCACACAGAGGCTGATCTCGGAGCTCTCCTGCTTCTCATAGTCAGTAACAGCAACGTACTGATCCAGGAGCAGAGGGTCCACTGTGGGGGAGTCTCCTACACACAGGAAAATACACTTTAAACCCACTTTAAAAACCGGCAAAATGTCATAAGTAATTTTTTGATAAATCCACATCTCATAACCTTCTCCCAGTATCTTATTTTTTCATAATTGAAAAATAATATTTACCAATTGGTTTATAATTTACCAATTTAGCAGTTCAGTAAGGGACCTTTTGAAAATTCCACCTCTTATAATATGCTGTGAAATTAAAAGACGTATGCTTGTCCTTAGCATTTAGAATAATACATAGTTTTTTTTTTATACATTCAAAACAATATATAACATTTAATCTACTAAGAGGAGGCGTACTAAGATGTGATTGGTAAAAAAGACAAAAACAAAACATGATTGGATCATTTGAAGCAGACAGATGGATTTGGACACACTATAACGAGGTAAATGGTTAATAAAAAAACATGGCAACAACACCAAATACCCACCACCAAAGTTAGGAATGGCAAAGTATTCTAGAATGGACAAATTACTCATATGATAAAATGGAAAACTACTGATATTTCTTGGATAAATCACAGTGATATATTGAAGGTCAACTCACGTATCAACCTTTACCTGGAAGAACACAAAGACGATGTAGACTCCAATGTTGTGACAATATAAAGATTCACTATGTACATTTTCTAGTGGGGTAAGACGCTTGTTTTCAAAACAAAAGATAATTTAATCTTTTGGGTTCATGTTCCGCAATTCAACATGAAACACATGTAAATCCACAGCTGAAGTTGAAATGTAACAGGACTTATCAGCTTTACAAGTTTGAACGGGAAGTTCTCTTCTTTTCAATGGAGACAAGTCGACAAAGAATTCTCATCTAGCAAATTCATATAGTGATACGTATGGTCTTACTGTTCCAACTGAGTCAACTCCAAGCATGGGTAAGTGAGAAAATGAGAAATGTACCAATGTGGAAAACGTTGACCTTCAATAATGAGTTAACCCTTTAGGCGCCAAAGTAGCAGAATTGCTTCATGAGCTCCTGAATCAAGGACACTTTCTGTACAGCAACCTGGCTACCTACAGACGTTTCCCTTCACGTTCCTTTTATCATTTGATTTAATAAATTCATGTTATTGATTTTAGTAGTCCTCTATTTATTATTATAATGTTTGAGGGCTGCACCTTTGGATGGATGCTTCACCTTACATTTCTGAGAGTCTGCCGCCTAAAGGGTTTAAGAGTCGAATAGTATTTGTTAAAGCTACAATGACACACAGTTAGGGGAATTCTCCCAAGACCTGAAGCCAGCAACACAAACAACACAATTGAGTCTTTTGTGGTTTGTGGACCAGACAGAAGCCCCTGCAGCTACACCCCACCTGCCCACTGTGCCCATTGTGCCCACTGTGCCCACGGTGCCCAGGCCAATGGAGAGGTCAGGGGTACAGCCATCAGGCCATTAGCATGAGCTCCAGCACAAGCACAGCCCAGAGCATTGGCCGCGTGGCACTACCTCGCTTTAGGAAAGAAGTCGCTCGCTCCACAATCCCTGATGAGAAGGAAAACGGATGGAACTGAACAATATGTCATGCAGCAAGCCATAGATATTAAAATTGATAAAACACATGATTAGTGGAAGAAGTATCGTACTAAAGTAAATTATCACATGACCATATCACAAAAGTTCTGAAAGTAGTGAGTTTTGTTCAACAGAAATTATCAAATTATTTTATTTTTGAACAAACTGAATATGCTAAAATATTATACAAAATATTCCAGATGCTTTTTTTCTACATTATTAAAGAGTCCTTTTTAGTTGAGCTAAAAAAGACAAAGGACTTAAAATAGATTCCAGCGCTCAAATGCAGTGAGTTATAACTATTGATTTTAAAAAATTGTTATTATTATAGTAACACAAATATTTACTTGAGTACACTACCTGTTCTTTGTTACTCTCCACCATTGAGAACTATTTTTTGTTTGGTGAGTTTATATCACATAGACACTAGATGGCGGTAAAGGTACTGTATGAAAAAAGGTACTATGGCAACATAATAGAACCAGTGTCTTTCCACAGATGTCACAAAAATCGTTTATTAGTAGGTTAAGCAAAATAATCTTACCAGTTTTCTTTTTCCCAATTGGTTCCCTGCAAGAGAAAGAAGGCTATATTATATAATTGTATAAGTACAAAGCAATGAATCAAAGAACACATCTATCAACAACAGCTTGATAAAGTTGGTGAATACATTAGCATAAATTAGCATACATAAACATGATGCTGCAGTGATAAACTTACAAGCATTTAGCACCACTCATTAGTAAACCTCATTGAATTACATAATAGATCATTAATCATTAAACAAAAAAAAAAGTATATATATTGGACCTTTCTCCTACTAAGTTGATCACCCACTTTTTTTCTATCTGACTTGATCTGCATTTACTTAAACACTCACTTATACTGTCCGAAGTGAATGAATACGGAGTTAAAATAGCTAAAAACAAAATCAATATCAATATAGCAGCTGACATTTTTTGATTGATTTGGTAGCAGTGGCATGACATTTGCTAATAGTGAAATATCTTCAATTGTGTGCATTAGGACATATAGAAGAGAGTAAGAAAGAGCCCTCGATAAAAGCCATCTGTAAATCATACAGGCTGATGTTAAAATTCAATAGAGCAGCTGCTGCGTCTGCTTTGGACATCACTGAAACTAATAGACCAGCGGCCATTTGTGGCTGAGGCTGTGTCCAGATGCCCTCGATGAACCTTTGAGAGAGATTTTGAGGTGTATAACAAAATATGTTATGGTTTCACAATCTGCCTCAGTGATAATTAGACAAACGAAGACAAGATGACCTGGATTTCTTTAATTGCCACATTTTATTGTACGTAATATATCCTGAACAGACTATATTTTTTGCCTTTAACATGTTTGCACACTTCTGTCTTTTGCACAATCTGAGTGATTCTATCTATACCAAATGTGACATGTTAATTTCTCCAGTGTGAGATCAATAAAGTCTATCTTATCTTGTCTTATCTGATTAGTTTAAAGCAGGAGTATACTTCAAACAAAGACTTAAATATAACATTATAAAGTGTTTTTTTTCCCCTTAGTTTGCCTAAATTTAGATCCGCTTAGATCTTTAGATCAGCTTTTTCACATAGAAAAGAAAGTGAAAAAGCAAGGACCAAACTCACTCAGTCAATCACCTCTTAGCCCAAAGTGTTAAATAATGGCTCACAGGGCTCTTTCTTAAAAGTATACAAAAGATAAAATGTTTTCTAATATGAAACATGTGATCTGATTTGTTCACAATATTTTACAATGTCAATACTTTGTTCTAATGGAACAAAGAAAATGTAATATTTCTAGGTATCCCACCCTTTCTATTCTCCCTATCCTAAATCTGATGGAACATTGTCTGATTAAAATTTAGATAAATCATTTCAAGCATGTTTAGTGTATTTGCAGGGTTGTTTTGGTTTTGCTCTAGTCAATCTTTGTCCAGTTCAAATCATCGACACCAAATAGCTTATATTCATGCTGATTTTCCCACAATATTACTGCAAAAACACAATTATTTTGCATCATTCCAAAGACATACAAACTATCAGTGTTCTAATATGGCCTTTTCCTGCCCCTCCTCACGTACGGCTTATTTTTCTTGGCACACAGCATTTCTTCCTGAACTAGAGCCGCCCGAGCCTCAAAAACGCAGTTCGATTGGTGAAACTGTTAATAGCATGATAAATCTTTAGCCGTAAGTGAAGCCATTATCACACAATAAAAAGACAAGGCGAAAACGGGCCAAGATCAGCAAAGCAACAATCAGGTTTATTATGGTATTTGCTTGTGTTAGAAATTAGGGAGCTATTTGGATGCTATTATTTCAAATGGTAAAATGATCCGTCCTACTTATTCCCATGTCAGTCACAGCTGTTTTGGATATTTTTTTTTTCCACAAAGTACAATGTTTTTGTTTTCATGGGAGAGGAAACCGTCTGTGGAAGTGAAAGTGCAGTTCTCAGCAATGTCAAATGTAGGCAATTTAGTAGGTAAGTGAGTTGCATGCCGTTCCCCACATACCAAGGAATTGAATTTTTTTTTATTATAATAAGTATAATGTCAGCTCAATATGTAATTTTACTAAAATAAGTCATTTTTATAGTAAGTATAGAAAGTAAGAACATATATTCACACACGTGACATTACACACGTGACATCACACGGTTAATTTGTGACCCTAATAATCACAACTAAGAGCATCAGAACCACCTATGCCATAAGATCTCAGCTTTTAAAAATTGCGTCCCATAAAAATTCCAGTCACGTATCTTTTTGCACTTCAACAACATTGCCTCCACGTGCAGCCGTTTGTCAGAGTGCGTGACAACAACAGCAGAATGCGCTATTAACGGAATAATCTTGACATCCTACTTTACTTGGTCTTGGCTTCACTCGCGTCTCCTCCCCTGAGCTGTCGTTATTCTGAAGCGGGAGATGCAGCTAGATTTATAACACATGATAAATCTGCTTCTCCCGCCTCCGTGGAACCACCTGTCACTCAGCCAAACTACAGGCGACACTAGCAGAAAGCTAATCCAATTTCAATAAAGTCGAACCAAGGACTTCCCTTGATCCTCACTTTAAATGAATCAAAGCTTTCACAGTATTAGGACGCTCCCTCCACACGCTATGGGCCACATTATGAACTATATCTGACACTGTGTCCTTTATGGATACACAGATAGTATAAGTGAAGCTGAGGTTTGAACATGTCAACAGTTTGAAAGTACGGCACATGCATCAGTATGGTAGGAAAAGATCTAAATGATGTTTGACACATTTTGGAAAGTAAATGAAGTTTAGTTGACTTTGAAGAGGGAGAATGCTTTATATGTCTATAACACATTTCGTACAGGACAGAAACTCGATGCGCTTTGATATGTAGGGTATCATAATCAACATACTAATAAAAAAAATCAAGAAAGTGAATCATTTTCGAAACATATGTCATAATTATCAACTATTACGACGGCCATGTGTAATTGGTTCTATCTTGTTTTGTTAAGCACTTTGAGTTGCCTTGTATATGAACCTTACTTAACACTTTTAATAGCCAATTCAAGTGTACTACTTCAAAACAGCTTTTGCTGGGCTTAAGATAGCAACACATGGATAGCAACATCCAGCATACATTGATCTAATTTGGTCTCAATTTAGTGTAACAAAATATATTTAAAACATTGCAAAAGATATTTGGAAAAAAAGAGGAGGCCCGAAAATGTTGCTTATTCTCAAACACATGACAGTATCTCCCATGTAGCACACAGGCTAATCCTTGGGAAGAGTAACGTTTGTAATCTCAATTTATTATCTCTGTACAATAATTGAGACATCACTCTTAATTGCTCAACCAGGCTTTATCTCAATGCAGGCCAAGTTGAATATTCATCACAAGCCAAAAGCAACAAATGAGGACAGAACTTATTCATTCGGAGCAGAGATAAGCGGACAGAGCACTCACAATAATATTACAGCTCTTATCTAATGCTAGTAAGTAAGTAAGTAAGTAAGCTTTATTTATATACCGCCTTTCACAGACCAGAGTCACAAAGCGGTTTACAATTGTTATTTTTTGGGCACTTGTCTCTCACTCCACACAGAGATGGGAGCGGGGTCGCCGAACAGGAGGCGCATGCCAGACCTATTGTACATATTTTTAGTGGTAGGGGAAACCGGAGCACCCGGAGGAAACCTACGCAGACACGGGGAGAACATGCAAACTCCACTCAGAAAGGCCCTGGTCCGGCCGGGATTCGAACCCAGGACCTTCTTGCTGAGAGGCGAGAGTGCTATGCACTCAGCCACCGTGCCGCTCTCTGTCAGCAGTAGCCTCAAAGTCACATTCGGCCGATTCAAATTAGTTATTGGGGCCATTAGGGGGCGCCGGTGGGAACGCTGACCTCATACAAAATCCAGTCTCCATAGAAACGACATGTCTGATTTAATTGTCCTTGAGTAGGACTTTGTGCCAGCAGATGTTCAGTCCAAGAAAGTTGCAGACAGTAAGTTGTTGTGTTATAAACAAGGCAATATCCTGGAAAGGCAAGCATGAAGGTGCAGGTAAAGTACTAAATGGTGCATTACGAAAGAATTTGCCCGTCTGAGAATGTGTCACAGTGTTAGTGCCGTAATTATGCAACACACCTAACTACCAAAACCGCTGAACAAGGACTCTCCTGTTGGACACACAAACGCATGATGTTTGAATACATGCTCATATGTTAAAACTAGAAATGTAAATATAAATGAAATACAGTTATAATCAAGCTAACTTAAAGGGGATCGCTGCAGCTTCAATTGTATTTTATTTTTTAGGAAGCCTTTCTTCTCCCTATAACCACGTCCGGTCAAAACAGGACCTTCCTGAGTGGAGTTAGCATGTTCGTGTAGGTTTCCTCCAGGTGCTCCAGTTTCCTCTAGTAAGTAATCTTTATTTATATATTGCCTTTTCACTGCACATAGGAGTCTCAAAGCTGTTTACAATTGTGATTTTTTTTTTTTGGGAGTGGGGGTGCCAGTACAGGAGGCACATGCCAGCCCTATTGTACATATTTTTAGTGGTAGGGGAAACCGGAGCACCCGGAGGAAACCTACGCAGACACGGGGAGAACATGCAAACTCCACTCAGAAAGGCCCTGGTCCAACCGGGATTCGAACCCAGGACCTTCTTGCTGAGAGGCGAGAGTGCTATCCACTCAGCCACCGTGCCGCCCGTCTCTACCACTAAATAATATGTACGATAGGTCTGGCATGAGTCTCCTGTCTGTGTGGAGTGAGAGAACAAAGACCCACAATTGTGAAGTGCTTTTTTACTCTAGTCGGTCAAAAACACTATTTAAATAAACATTACTTCCTTACTTACTTATTTACAAGTATCACTTAAGTATTTTTAAAAATCAATATATGTAATTCAGTCACTCTCCTCAACTGACCACCACCAATAAGATTTAAATTCAGTCCATCCAATTAGGAAGCAGTCGAGGTGAGAATGGGCGGGTCTTATTGCTGCTTGTGTTGGAAAACAATAAGTAAATATCTAACATTCACTAAGCTTTTCATTTTTCAAAGTACCATCTGGAAACCATCACAATTAAACATTATACAGAATACGTATCGTCAGGACATGCATTTTGTTGCTTCCTAACACTGTCCAGGCCTTTTTCTAAGCAGCATCTGACCATACGCCTCACCCCAGTCTCCCCTTTCAACACTGGGAGCTGTTAAGTGGTCAGAGCTGTCCATCAGACGTGATGACAGAAAGGTTAAAGCCACGTCCCACTTGACTTTTACCGGCGCGAAAACGACTGCAGCGTCAAGCGTTTCAGTCTGTGAGGCCTTTTCTCTGTATCCTTTTCCACCCTTAAAAACTCACTCACCATAAACCGGATGAAAAAGTCTCTGATCAAGTGCGACGTTACGAGTGTGTTTATACAAATGATGCTTGGTTTTTAGCACGTAGTAACTGTCTCTACCAGTTACAAGCCGGTGGAGTGAGGTTTCCAAGACTCATGTGCAAGTTTAAGTAAGCAAATGTTGTCAAATACTGTATAAAAGCCTAAACTAGATAAGAATGTCGGACTATCCATTATTTCATATTTTAGTGTGTGCACATGTGTGAGTGTGTGTGCATGTGTATGATGAATATGAGTGTCTTAATTGTAGTGTTTTGATTGCATTGGATTTGCAGATGGCTGAAAACTGAAAATGGTCTCTCAATCAGTTGTCATTATATCAAAATTTTTTGTTTTAACCCTTTAGGCGCCAGAGTTTTTTCAAGAAAATATACAATTTTGATTTCAAGATTTCAAAAGGCTATAACTTTAAAATGGTTTGAGATAAAGGCATACTGTAAATTAGAAATATCTTCAGTTTGAACCAAACTTTGGGATGGAAGTTGATTCGTCATCTAATTTGCATATTGTGACGTCATCAAGGTGGCGGCCATTTTGGAAAATGTTAATTATTGTATAAAGACTTCAAAAATCTGTAGCTTGGGAGTTATTTGAGATCAGGGAATACTATAAACAGTCAATGTGAAATATCTTTAGTATGAAATGAATTTGGGATAGAAATAAATTCCCTGATCCAGATTATAGATAATGTTTTAGCACTGGTTCGCGGCCATATGGAATTGTATTATTTTCAAAGACCGTCAGTGATCAAGACAGCACTCTTTATAGTTTACAGTCATGAAAGCTTGAGATTGGTTTCAATATTTCCCTTTCAGAGAAGTAGTGGGCTTACTATTTTTCTCAGTGGAAATGAGCCTCCAGGATTTACCGTTTAGAAACAGAGAGATGAAATGAATGGGCTCAGAACTTGGCAGATCGTCTCAACAACATACAACAGGCTCTTCAACACTTCTGATCCACTTTTGTGGATTATTTTCTCTCAAGAACTGCCTTCATCCTCATCATCGCTGCTGGTAAAGGCAGTGAACGCGATTAGCGATGTGTTTTTCCCGCGGCTCTCCCGCGACTTCTCCCGCGTCTCCCGTGTTCCCCGTGGATGTCTATCCCCGCTACTTTCTCCCACATGCCCGGTGTTATGATGCCCCTGTCCCCTCCACCACGACCCCTGCTTGGCGTTCACAGAATGCTTCTACCGCGGCCACACGGAGGACAAGCAGCCGCTGTACTGGGGCTGATTGTGGACTATATGGCGCGGTCTCCCCGTCACCAATGATGTCTGTGTCTGCTTCACTGGACACCTGCGTGTCTTCCTCCTCTGAATCTGAGTGAGCCAGTACCAGACCAAGTACTTCTCTGGTACTGAAGACCTCGTGAGTAAATAAAAAACACTCTCTCCCTCTGCTCTGCTCTCGCTCCTCTCAGCTCTACCGCTGCTGCTTCGCCTCCGCGCCGCTGCGCCGCAGGTGTTTTACGAACTCAATTTACTCAAAAACTTTCAATATAACCACACCCACAAATGCTGCTCATGTTACAGGCACACATGTCCACTAACCCCTAGTGAAAAGTATTAACAAGATTCTGCACCACATTTTTACATACAGCCTGTTTAAGTGAGCAATGTTGCTTGTCGCAATATTGCGACTTTGGCGCTTAAAGGGTTAAGACTAAAGTTTATCGGGCATTATCCCTGATCAAAGGAATCGATTAAATTAAATTAATACTGGGTGATTATTAATAAGAAAACATTTCCAATAGAGGTACCATGTTTTGTGGGGTTTCAATTTATTTTCCCATTTTAAGGATACATTGCTTTCTTAGCCTTGCTAAATTTGGAAATCATTTCAAGATTAAATTAGAAAAATATATTGACATCATTATTTTTGTAGTAAGTATATCAAAATTATATATATATGTTTTCTTTAGAAATAAGTCATATTTTGTATGTAAACAGAAAGAATATCTACTAAGGCGAGTTTTCATAATGACCCACAATCTTATACCCACCCATTCTTATTCCCACAGCTTCCTGCTTGGTTCGAATAAAAAAAAATTGAGGCTTGTGAATGGTTTGACTCGTTTCCTCCAGAAAATCTTACTGGTCAAGGGGAGGGGCAGTGATAAATACATTGTTAAAAAAATGCTTACTGCTTTCTTTTATCAATGAAATTTCAGTTGCAGACATCACCTTTAATATTTGTGCTGCCTGTCTTTTATCATGGACTGCCCCAACTAAATCTCCACATTAAATATAAATGCACTGCGGTCGATGCACATAAAAGTAAACACTAAAGTCCAGAAAAGCCAGTGCCGTGTCAGCTGTCTTGTGTCCAATATGTAGCAACATGTTGAAAATGCAAAGTCAGCAAAAAAGCGGCTCGTTAAGCGTGTTTCCGCGGCAACAGGAAGCAGCCGAGTGCAGTGAGATCACGTCCATTAGCGGCTGTAATGAGCGGGTATTATGGGCTGGCGGCAGGACGTGACATGACATCAGCCTGTTGAACAATGACAAGTGCACTGTGCGTTTTAGTGCACAGAGCCGCAAGCGGAGAGCGAGAGATGTGGACATATCAAGCCGGAACGTGCCGAAAACACGGACAGTCTAGTTTGATCTCGTCATGATGTAGAATATAGTGACAATATAGTGCAAGTTTAGGACTAGAAATTTTATTGTTCTGCCAGATAACATGGCATAAAGAGGGCAGTGAAATTAAGCTTTAACCCTTTAATGTTCACTCCTTGAAGAAAGCAATGTATTTTTTTTTATCTTTTGGATTTTCAACTAATTTGTTGTTGTGTTTTTCTTTTTTTAACCCTTAATTGTTTATATATAAGCCTTTGCCATGGTAAATATGAGATGGTAAAGATTATGATTGAGATGTGGTTTGATAGAAAAAAATCAAACCACATCTCATAACATGCTCTGATTCATATCAGAGCATGTTATGAGAATCACACTCTATGACAACAGGTCAGTGAACTTTTCAGAGCTATATGAATGTGTTTGTGTCCTTACTCCTTGGGCGGGTTGATGTCTTCAGGTCTGGTCTCGAAGAAAACTCGCACCTCCTCACACTGAGAGATGTAGACAGGCAGCTGGATCAGAGCCTGAGGCAGAGACAGAAAAATACAGGGTCAACCCAGGCTGGGGCAATCCAGGACACAAGACACAAGAGCAGCACAAGGCTTAGAAATGTGTGTTCTAAGACGGGAAATACCACTGGACCTGCACCTAGACTAAAGCAGGAATTGTGAACTGAGTGAATGCTGTAATAATTCATAAAACAATGGATGATTTGAACCAATTTCAAAAGTACTGCTGCAATAATTATTGTGGATTCTGTAACATCCCTGTAAAACCTTAATTTGTTTCAGACGGGATTTCCACGATGAGCCCAACTGTTGTAATTTCTCAGACATTTCCAAATGTGTCCAAATCTCCAGACAGTTATTGTGACATTTGAGGAAAAAACGTGAATATAAAACCTTGTTATAAATACAAATTGCAATGATTACTTCAAAATAGCCATTAAGTAAAGTTCCTTTGCAAATTCAGACATTGGAAAAATATCGAAAATCCTTACAATGTGCAAATGTCCTTCCGATAACAAAACATGCTGATTATTGTAACTCGAAAAATACAACGTTTTGACAATTTTTCAAAGCGGAGACATCTGATATCTGTCTTTCCAACTATTTTGTCTGTGTTGCCTCTTTCAGTGGAACATCACCTTTTCCTGACCAGACAACCTACAAAACAATATCCCTCTTGCATCTTTTGCCCCAGACGACCCACACAAACTCATATCTCTGTAATCTGCCTCAGTCTTTTGGTCCTTTTCTCAGTGTTTGTTTTTTATATTTATCTAGCCTTCATCAGTAATCTGTCCCAGTCTGTTTGGATTCCAGGACCCTAGAGTACTGGCAAGGAAATATAGACTTAAAGTGTTTATGCCAACAGTAAAGATTATGCATTATTTGTGATTATCTTGGCTTTAAAAAATTACCTTAAATACTTTTAGCCCTAAATAATACAACACTTCTTTATAAGCGAAAATAACACTGCTTGATTTTGATCAAAATCTAACATGACAGTATGATCTAATGATGGAACAAAAACGAGAGAAAGGTAAGACAAGGTTGGTGTGGTATTTTTTTCCACTTTTCCAAAAAAAAAAAGAAAGTTGTTCTTTACAGAGGGATGAATGTCTCAAGACAGAAAATGTAACTTTTAATTGCTTGCATCCAATTGCGTTTTTTGTTGAATTAGATCCATGTTGTGGTTTACAGCGATCAAAATGTAAAATAATCTATGTTTGGTATGATGTGACACTGAATCCCCCACAGTTGCATGATATGTCTCCTTTAATAAGCATCTCCAATGACTCCTCACTGTCTGTTGCTGTGGAGCTCAGACCGCTAAAGCCAAACCACTAAACCACTCCTTTTGTGTTTATCTGCGCGGCACAGCTCAGCTCTATCCATCAACTGTCCTCTGCTCAACGACAGCATCGCGTTTTAATAATCCTGAGTGTTCCCCTGTGTCCTAAAGGCAGTCTGTGTCAGCTACAGAATGGAAATGCATAGCTGGATGTGGTGGAATAACTGGATAATGATACTTTACTATGACTGTACTGGGCGGAGAATTTACAACTGTGATCATTTAGAAAAATAATTTAGTCGTTTTTATCCAAAGTTTGTTTCTTCTACCATGTTTTATTGTAGGTGTGACTAACTCGTGGGTATTGAGTTTGTTCATGACCTGGTTTGAGGTTTGTACACAGTAGACAAATGAGAGTAGACAAATGTCTTCCTTCCAATTGCGTTTTTTGTTTTGTTTTTATATATATTTTATCAGAAAGTATGCACTTTTGATTGACTAAATATGTCAATTTGAGGAAAACATTCAATCCAATTCAAAAGTTTTTGTTCAGCCCTAAATCACAACACTAATCATCTTGGAGGACACTGAAACGTTGTTGATTCGCCAATAACAGATCAATCAAAAGGTTTGAATACAGGAAATGCCAACGCATAGATTTATAATTCAAAATTAAATTGTGGCCCGACACTGGGATAACCGTGACATTTGGCCAGTTTGTTTAGATGTTATACAGGGCTTTTCTTACGTTTCTTATAGCTTAGCTCGGAGTGAGTGTCAGGAAGAAGATTGAACCACTGGGGCAGAGAGGCATGAATTCTCAGAAGCCAAACTGAAACTCTGAGAGACAAGTTTCACACATCACCAATCTGCGACACTTAAAGATAAAAAAGCCAGGGAATCTAACTGTTGTTGAATCCAGTTGGGAGAAAAGATGGTTTTGTCCTTCACATATGGCCGCTGCTTAATACAAGTTTTTAAAAAATCACATCTGTTAATATCTGCCTATTTTACTCCATCTGTCTAAAGCTTTGGTGGGAAATTATCAATAACCCAAGAACTATTACATGTATTCCTTTATGCATTCTTTAGCAGCTGCCAGGATCTCCATACAATTCAAAAGTTTAAGACAGAAGAATTCAAACCCTTTGAATTAGTATCTGTAAAGTGCTTGCAGAAAGAAGACACCAAGGAAGGAAATTATCAGTTCATATTGCATGGTAATGATTTGATCTATAGGACTTTTACTTTTAACATTGGAAAAAATCATGATCATCCAAACATATTTTACATGAACATTCAAAAATCTATCGTCGGTGCCTTCACCACGTTGTTTCACTCTTACACCCATATTCTCACACCTGCATCTATTCTAAGCTACAGTAGACAGCTGCTTCTAATAGTCATCATCTGCACATGTGATTGCAGCACGCAGAGGTCAGGAAGCGGAGATCCACTCTTGAATTTATAAATGTAAACCCCCACGTGTCGGGCTGCGGCTGCTTCACTCATTACTATTCTCCCCAGGGACCAGGCTGCAGGGCCCATTACGGCAAATGGACTTTATGGGTGTTCTTTACAGCGGCAGCATTAAGGTAATTGTGTGTGTGTGTGTGTAGGTATGTGTGTGTGTAGGTATGTGTATGTGTGTGTGTGTGTGTGTGTAACAATAAGAATAACAATGAGAGGAAATGAGTGAATCCATTTGTTCGAATCCCAGATGTATTGAGGATTGTATTAGAGTATAAGGTTTCATAACTGAATTGACTGGAGATTCATTGGTCTGTGGTGAGAGCCTCCAAAGTGGAAGATGTGGGGAAAACTGCTAAGTTAAGTTAGACTTAATTGTCCCCATCGATAAATTTGACCTCTGCATTTGACCCATCCTGAGTGCCACTATATAGCCTCTGTCAGGGGCAGTCGTCACAACCCCCATAATGATTTATCTTATCTAAAAGGTAAATAGAAGGAGAATCTCAAATTTTGGGGAAGAACCGTAAAATTGAAATTCAAAATGTTTGGCATATTGCACAGCAAAACAAAACAGACACATACAATAAAATATCGACTTATTGTGGTACAAATGCATTTTAATCATTTTTTGAGGAGTTTATTAGCAGCAGGTTTATGGCTGATGGTCAGTCTGCGTGTCCTGACCTGTATGGACCTGTACCATGTCTAAAGTTCCTACATATGACAAGTATAAACCTCCCCCTCGTGTTAAACTGCCGCTGACAGAGCAACAGGGATGGCTCGTCTATAGTTTATAGTGAAACTTTTCCCCCTTGGATAAGCACATACCAGCTGACCGCTCTGACATCTGCCGGGGAATTCCACCGGAGCCTCAGCTGAGCACAGCGCTGACTCAGACTCGTCAAGTTTAAATAACTAAAAACACACAAAAATAAACTCTTCTCCACTTTCACCTCGACACCCTGCGCCCCAAGTGTGGGAGGACGGCACAATTGTTGATTGCTTTGTTAAGTGGAAAATTGTCGTTATGAATGTGGGTTAATTGTGGGGTATAGATACAGCCAGAAATACCAAAAAAATTATGACATTGCAAAACACACTACATATAATATAATATACGGTATCATTTGATTGTAAAGTTAAAGACCAGATGATCATTTTCATTACTTTCAATATAATGGAAAGGAAATCTATATTAAATCCATTCAAGTCCGTATTGGAAAATATTGGTTAACCCATTTGTGCCCACATTATTTTTTTCAGAGTGGAAATGGCTGGTGTAGCTGGACGTTGAATATCTGAATTGGTTGAAGACAAAAATCTTCCCGATAGTTATTTCTAATTTGTGTAGTGTAGAATATATGAGTATTGGCTAGAATATATGAATGCCCATTTTTTTATGCTGAAAGTACCTTTTTATTGTTGATAATGACACACGTTATTCAAAATATTCATTCTGGTTTTGCATATGAAATGTAGCGTATTAGTAAAGGATAAAAGACGATGCCTACATATCCACCAGTCTAAGAATTTGGAAACACCCTATGACTTTGAAAAACGAAGCAAATTAGATGAAAAAATGTGGGACGCGATGAATGAAAGAGGATAATTTTCTGACGTGTTTTAGGTTATTGCACTGAAACATAGCTTTGTGACATCCTCTTCTCTTCTCATCTTCAAAGTTGTGAGTTTACAGTGTCTGCCTGCTTTTAGATGATTGCTGCAAAACCAATTTCCCCTTTTGGGACAATGAAGAGATAAGTTTGAATTTGATCATAGTTGGATCTGTTCATTTGTTGGCTGCAGAAAGACCCAATATTATAATATAGGCATAATTAAAATGTGTATTACTGAAATGCTTTAGATTTATTTAATCAATTAAAGCTGCAAACTCACTTTGTGAAATTTTCGAATGTGAGAGCGCTGGCCTCGCTCTTCGCTCACGTCTCACAATATGGATCGCACATTTGAACGTGGATGGCGTGACCAAGGATAGAACCGGGAAGCGAGGAGAGGACGAGACTTTCTTTTGGATGGTTTCGCTGTGTAAGCAGTAACCGGTAACGAAGACCCGGAAAGCTTCAGGTTAGCCTCCGCCGCTTGTTTATGTCAGCAGTCTGTGCTAACGAGAGACCTGTAGCTTTTCTCAAGAAAGTGGGGGCCAGTGGTCCGCTGTGATTGGTCACAATCTGGTCCCGAAACAAATTCTCTTCCTTGTTGCACGAAAACTTGATCTAAGGGTGTATTCAGACCTGAAAAGTCCTTTGCTCCGCTTGCTTGATCCGAATCAAAAGCGGACCAAACTTTTTTCTTTTGCTCCGGTTCGTATTCAGACTGTCCTTTTTGCAAGTGAACTTTTTTATATAAACATATTGACACGTGTGACGATCGGCGCTCCTATTGGACAGCGAGAGCTCACGGAGGATAGACGCGGAACCGGCAGAAAACATTGAGGGCTCGTATGTGCAGCATGTCTGCTCTGCCTATGTTTGCTCTTTTTAGAGCAAAACCACCTTCAACATCAACAGCAGCAGCTCATATGACACAGGCGAAACACGTTGTTTTAAATATTGGAACAGAGTCGGAGAATGCGTGAGGAGAAAGCCGAAGGAGACTATCTGTGCGCTCCATGTCCTGTCCCACACATGGATCTATGATAATAACGGCCCTGTTCAGCATTGTGGATAAACCATGGATCTATATTAACCAGAGTTAGCAGCTGCGTGGCTATTTCCTCAGTTTCTGTCTACAGCTTGTTAAGCCCAAAAAATGTGCACGTATCTTGGAGTTGTGTCGGATCGACACCGGATGTATTCAGACCTGATTCGACCAGTGGCGGCCGGCCAATAGAGGGCGCTAGGGCGCCGCCCCACCACTCACAACTTGCCATGTTACCTTGGATAAAACGTTAAAAAAAATAATAACATTAAAATATTTCGAAATTTATGTGTGTTTTATTTCAGATGTGGAAGAAATACTTAATAGTTTATGCTGAGTTGGATTGATTAAGCTCATCAGCGTTGTCTGTGTCGGACTGAGGACGTATTTCCGCCTCAGGGCGCAAAAGATTGCGCCCTGAGCCGTCTATGGACTCTCGTTAAAAGTTGTACATGCGCAGTAGCTCCTCTTCAATGCAAGAGATAAGACGATTTGGGGGCGCAGGAGAAGTGCGCCCTGAGGGGGCGGGATCGCCCGCGACCTGTACTGTCACTGTCTGTGACGTCCGTTTACAGTGATTGACAGGTCAAGCTGTGGGAATTTGAGACGAACGTAAAGAGACGCAAAATGGAGAACGAGAAAAAGAATAATTCAGTTAGATCACTCAAAACAATACCGTTTGAGAGAAGATCATACCAGGAGAAGGTTGAGGTTAAAGAGCTTGGACCTGATCAGCCAAATATTACCATTAGTCAGCAGTCCAGCGACAGAGGGAGACGGTACACTCGTACTTTTTCCAGGACCTGGTTCAGCGCCAAATCTTGGCTAGCAGCATGTAGCGAGGCTAATGCTTTATTTTGCTTTCCATGCCTCTTGTTTCAAACATCAGGATCTGACCCAGCATGGATCAAGACAGGTATGACTGATCTGAAGCACTTTTTAGAAAAGGCAAAGAAGCATGAGCAGACTGGTATCCACATGCAAAATGCCCTCAAATTAGCTATGTTTGGGAAGATAAATATTTCATCCCAGCTGGATGAAAGCTACAGGGTAGAGATCAGAAAGCATCCCTACCCTGCTGGTATATATCTAGTCATCATATTCATAGCCCCCCCAGTAGAAAATTCCACCAGCCGCCACTGGATTCGACTAGGACCAGAATTCGTTTGGAAGCGGACCGAGACCACCTAAAAAAGTGGGTCTCGGTTCGGTTCTTGGTCCGGACCAGGATTCGTTTGTGTGTATTCAGACCTGCATAAAAGCTTCGGATCAGAGTTCCAAACGAATCCTGGTCCGTTTAAAGTGGAGCAAATGTGCAGGTCTGAATACACCCTAAAATAAAATGACACGCCAGCACAAATCTGCGCTACTTTTTCTTCAAAAGGACGTATATCCCAATGCATTGCATGGATACGGATTGAATTTTCCTAATGAATACAAAAATAAAGTGAGGTAATGCAGCTTTAAATTGTATATGCGACTTTTCCACTTTCTGAAACTGTATATTACCTCAATAGAGACGTATAACCTTTTCAATTACTCATTTTCATAATTACGCCATACGCTACATTCCTAACAAGCTGCTCCTCATCCTTGTACAATAAACATACTCTGAAGAATTCTAGTAAACATCCACACCCATGGAGACTCACAGCCCTCCTCCAAACTCTTCTTTTTCACCGATAACTGCTTAAAGATGTTCTCCTCCTCCCACAGCTGTGCATTCCTCTGTCCCCTATGTGGAGACGTGCATCACCAGCTCAATTATCAGGGCCATATGTCTTATTTTAAAAGGTGCAGCCTGCACTCTCACTATAACAGGACCATCATCACCTGTGTTGCCTTCTTTCCCGTATATAACCCAGTGGTTCCCGACTTTATTTGCCTCCAGAACACCCCAAGCATGAAGTACTGTGTGTTTTTAGTCATGTTGACATTGTTTATTAGTGCTTGACGTTGGTGAGTATAGGGCTACATCGCCTGGAAAATTCCAAAGTTTTGGGGTTCCATTCTCATCTCAGAAAGGGGGTATTGGAATGCTGGAATCAACATCATATAATCAAAAACTATTCACTCAGACATTTTAAAATCCATACCATTTCATACCATTTCATACCAAGACCATACCAAGAGGATGTTCCACCTCTGCTGTGGTGACCTAAAGTGCTGATGCATTTTATTACTATTCTTAGCTACTTTTAAAATGATCTGTCTATTTGTTTTGTTTGTATGGATGGATGTGTTTCTGTTGCTATACTGGACACCTGAATTTTGCCTGCGGGGGATCAATAAAGTCTAACTGTCAATCAATTTCATAAAGTAGTTTTAGTAAAGTGTTTTATGTAAAGGTGAAGGTGCACTTTATTAATCCCCGTAGGACAATTCAATCCTCTGCATTTGACCCATCCTGATGCCGCTAAGGCTACGTCAGGAGCAGTGGTCGCTGAAGTACAGCACCCGGGAACCCATCTCCAGATGTTGATGCTCGGCTTGGTCAGGACTACCAGAGCTGGAGGATTTAACCTGGTGAGTATGTTTTTAGTATATGGCTTCTTAAAACCTTAGTCAGTGTCATGAGTACACTCAACAGGTAAATATTATATGATGATAATTAATCTAGTGCTGTGCCTGTCACATATGACTGTCTGCCTGTTTGTTTTGTATTGATTCTGATCTCACACACACACACAATTACACAAACCAATTCCTCTAGGCACCCAAACGTATTCTAACTTTTTAGATAAGATAAAACAATGATAACACAGTGATAACATTTCAACTTAAACCTCATGTAAGCAAATGAGCAGTGTGCGGATGGGAATAATGTAAGTAAGCAGTAGGTCAGACTGAACCTGTAAAAACATCTGCAGATTTCAGCTCTCAGGAAAAGAAAAAAGTGTGGTGAATGCAGTTAAAATGCTTGAAGGCAAAACTTGTAAAACCTGAAGAAAAACATTTGGGCAAAGTTGTGCTGAGTGGAGCCGACTCAGCACCGGACACACGTTTAACACATGTGACATCACAGCTAAAGATAACTGTTGCTACTTTATTGAATGACCTTGACCAATGTAGGTAATTCCTGTCATTTATCTTAGTCACATATGTTCAGTTTACTGTATCTTAGTCACTGTCCTCTAACAATTTACACAGTACAAAATAAATAAGTGAAGAATGTAATTTATTTAGTAGGTAGTTCAATAACTTGATTTCTGCTGTCAAGAGAAGAAAATCAGTTTACGGACTATTCCATTCCATTCCATTTTCTTCCGCTTCATCCGTTGCCGGGTCGCGGGGGCAGCAGTCTAAGCAGAGACGCCCAGACTTCCCTATCCACACACACTTCCTCCAGCTCGTCTGGGGGGAGTGGGACCCCAAGGCGTTCCCAAATATTTAAGTTTGTTTAAATTGATTGTCTTGCATATTCTAAATAGAAGCCAATTTGAGAGAAGAATAAACTGCCAACATATATATTAATAAGGTAAACTAAGACCATGTGATTGATATCTTTTAATAACCAAAATAATGACCAATCAAAGTCATTACTGTCCACACATCTGGACTTTATAGAATAATGTGTATACTAGGTAGAAGTGCTGTATTTCCCCTCTGCACAAACACAGTGGTTGGCTAACACTGTTGTTTCTGCCTGTCATCATGATGTCTGTAATCTGGAGATGGGGTCACAGTTACAGTAAAGAGTTTTCAAACTTAAAAACCAAAGAACCACATTTACGTAGAAATACGAGTGCACTCACCCTGCAGTACTCGTTGATCGGTCTGAGCCGCTTCATGGCCACGTCTCTGATATGACTCCTTCTGAACAGGATTTTACCTACGAACAAGAAAACATAGGAGTCCATGCATGTTTTGTGAAGATAAAAAAAATATTATGTGACATAGTAATGCACATGCCGACGTTGTAAGTATAGATCAGTGTTTCCAACCTTTTTATTTTTTTATTTTTATTCAAGACAGTCACATAGCAGCTGAAAGTGAAACTAAAATGAAGCTCTGTAGCCTTTATCAACAATGCAAAGTATTTTTCATCAAAGTGTACCGTAAAGAAAATCAAAAAAATCTCACATTATTTTCTTTTCCGACTATTTTGACCAATTAGGTGATGTTTGATCATTTACAAAGGCACACCAAACAAACATCCCAAGGAACACTAATGTACCACGGCACACTGGTTGAAAAACACTGGCATAGGTTATGAGCATTATCTTTAGTCCTATCTATTTGTTCCCTTCAATAGTGTTACATATTTGTTTACACTGGGTGAGACCTACAGTGGTGCCTCCTTGTTTTTTTTATTTTTTATAATCCTTTTAGGGCAAGGGAATTGTATTTGAATTGCATATTTCATAAACTAGACAAATCAAAGGGCTTTACAAAACAAGATGTTATTTCACTACCTACAGATTGAGATGTCTGGAGGCATTTGATCTGATCAACCCCTTAGGTGCCAGGTTGCCCTAGGTGCCCCACAAGTGTTTTTAAGAGATAGTGGACTACCAGCGTTAACAACAGAAATGAATACAAGAAAAATAAGCCTGTACAGAAATGACTGAATTATATTTGTATTAGTCCTCTTTTATGACAATGAAGAATAGCAGAGAGCGTCTACATTTCACAAAGAAAAAACATTTTATTTCAGTTTAAGAAGAGACTTTAGTGCAGCTCTGCTTGTGTACGAGTTTCTCCAGGGCCTCGCACCAAAATACATCTGTGACATGTTTGTGACATGTTATGAACCAACTCGGACTCTGAGAAGCACAGGGACTGGGAGTCATTTTGTTTGCCAAGTTAGACAGGCATCTACTCTGACAATGTCAAAATCCAGTTTTTGATTCTGTAAATATATAGCAATTATTTAAGTTTTACATGTTAGTATAAGTTCATTAATGTCTTTGCTTTGTATATAAATAGTGCGATACAAACTAATTTTGTGGTGGAAAATTGGAACCACAGCAGTTTAAAAACAAAATAAGTCAATCTACCAAGTTGCTTCCATGCTTCAAATGAGCCGACTAAAGTTTGAGGTCTGATCTAGGACAATTAATACCACGGCGTTGGCAACACATGGTCCTTAAATGAGCTTTCAGACGAAACACAATCTCCTCATCAATAACCGTGACAGCACAGAGAGCATGCAGCTGCCAGGTGAATGTGGGCCTCTACGTGATGAAGGTGGTTCTGGGAAAAGCAAATTATAACTCTGCATTATACTCTGCTCTTATCTGCAGTCACATAAGCAGTCACAACAACAAAAAACAAGGCAAAAATGGAACCAAAACAACAAGTGGATAAAGCAGGTTGTTAAAGATCATCGTGCAAGACCACACACGTTAAAAAGAAGGGCATTTTCAGTTCATTTAGTCTGTGATTGTGCTGTTTGACAAAAAAAAAAAAAAAAGAGTAGATGCCTTCCATGTTCCACAAGTCACAGCTTGTTGAGATTAAATTGTTTTACAAGTGCAATGAACTCTGTGAACTTTTACGGGTTATATAATTTAGACTCACATCACAATGAATAATTAAGCAATAATTCAAGTCTGTGGTAAGACGGATGCTAGAAATGAAGCAAACAGGAGCGATTCACTGATGATAAAGTGGATCAAACCAGGAAGCACAGGGGGGGTGCCAACAAAACCACTACACCACACGACATGCCCTTTACAATGAGATGGGAAAATGGTTGCATCCACAGGCGAGATACAGAAAAGTGCCTCTAGGCTACTGCAATTCTACACCCCCTTTGCTTGCTAAGGGGGTGTAAGAGTAATTATTGGGCAATGTTTGTAAGAGAACATGAAATATTGTTATGTAAATTAGCAAGAACTTGAAATAGTACAATAGCACATACAAAATAAATTCTATTACGACTTCTGTCACTATCTTTTCAAAAAACCTGTTCATAATGGAAAATCATATCTTTTGAAGTACTCTTTACTTTCACTAGCACAAGTGACATCATGCTCAAAAGGTAAATGAGCATAGTGTTGTGGCAGTGTGTCTTTGTGTAATGTATTAAAGTAATGTAGGACAGATGTATAAAGTCGGGATCCAAGCGTCTAATCGTCTGTTAGGTCAACGAAGTTCTTCTACAAAAAATCCCGAGTTCACATTTTCACAGGCATAGGAAGGGAGTGGTATGAGGAGGGAGGAGAGAGGACAGGGGAGAGAAGGGAGAAGACTGGGGAGGATGAGAAAGGGATCAACCAGGTTTTCATCAATCACCTGATCATGATCCAGGTCTCTACACACATCTGGCCTCTTATCTCCAACGGCGCCAGTATGTCTTGAATTAACACAGGGACCCTCTGTAATTTACGTCTCTCATGGGTATTTTGAGTTTTTTATAAATCTAATTAATAGTACATATTCCACTACACTGTCAGAAGCCCAACCAAGAACATAATTAGCAAGGTGAGTGAACTGGAAATCAGTGACGGGGGTGCCAAAAGAACCACAACACCTATCAACATGTTAACCAATCGAGGAAGCCAAGAAAAATGCTTTTATCCACAGAAGCATTTTATGAGTAAAGAAGCCAAAACGTGTTAGCTACTCTTACATAGTATACTTTAAAGGTATAGGAAGATGTTCTACTTCCGGGTGGATCATCAAGGCCAGGGGTGCTCAATACGTCGATCGCGATCTACCAGTCGATCGCAAAGGTAGTATTGGAAGATCGCATTACATATATATATATATTTTTTAATCCGTTTATGCATTTGCGTGTGGACAGAGATAACCGGAGTTTTGCGTTTTTGCACGGCACAGTTTGCCCCCAAAACAACAACAACAACAAACAAAACGTGCGACCTCTGATCACTAAAGCATGGATCATACTGCCTTAACAGCGGTTCACAGCAGCGATCCTCGCTCCACATCAGAGAGCAGCAAAGTGATCACACACGCTCGAAAACAACCAAAACAGGAGCTAAACCAGGATCAAACCAGGGCTGAGGACTGGGGTCAATGCTTGTAAACATATGTCTTCACCATGGATCTATAATAACACGTCTTCACCCTGAGTTTCTACTATGACAGTGCCGCTACAGAACGAAAGTTACGAACGTAACTTTGGTTCTATGAATCCTGGATGACCGCCAGAGGCGGTGCTTAAATGCAAATTATTTCATAAATCATGCGGTTTTGCATGTACATCAACATACATTGTAGATATAAAGAATCCTCAATATATTTAGAAATATATATATGTTTTGCATTTTTATAGTAGGTAGATCATTTTGACTTGATCATTTTATAAGTAGCTCGCATGCTGAAAAAGTGGGAGCACCCCTGATCAAGGCTATTGGTCCTCTCAATTGTCAATCATTCTGGTGATTCGTGTTCGTCAAATAAGACCAGTGAGTTTTGTTCAAAAAGGGGAGAGGGCGGTTCTTTCCTAAAATTTGGGAAAATCCTCCTATATACCTATAAGAAGAAGTGTTGAACAGACTTTTATTTCACTGGGAGTATCCATTTAGATTTCATCCCATACAAAATGAGCCAGTGAAATGCCTTTTTTCACTTAAATTCATACATCTCCTCCACGTGCTGCTGTTTGTCTGCATGGTTGCGTGATGTCAACTCTAAACTGTGCAAATCAAGCGACATCTTCCACAAGCTTTCCTTTCCTGTTCTTTTTGTGTTCCTTAACTTCGCTCGGTATACTGTAATTTATAGTACGTGTCCCTCACTTTGGTGTCACAATAATAAATGCAGATTGGGAGTACAACATCAGTCTTTCCTGGGAACACTTTCGCTGCAGCTCAGTGCTACGTGAGACCGGAGCTTAAGCAGGAGATTAAAACTCAACAAGTAAAAACGGGAAGACGTTCTATCTTTACAGACTTTTTTGTGCCACTTGGGCCGAACGCAGACTGCATTTTGGACTGGCATCAGAAGGCAAAAGGTGATTCAATGTCGTCTCATCTCCTCTTCTCTCTGTTCTCTCCTTTTTCCTCCTCACCACGTCACCACTCAAACAGAAAGCCTTCTTGAATGTGTTCCAAAAAAAGGGTCCTGGGACAAGCTTCGAAACACTGAACACTGGACGGTCTGTGCGAGGAGGGGGTGAGAGGGGTGATTTGTGGAGGTGGGGACTGGAGGGAACAGGACTGAATGCATGAGGTGAAGAGAAAGAGTGGTACATAGAGTTTCACTTGGTCATGAGCTGAGTCTGGCTTAGTCATGCCACGTTTGAAGCGCACCCTGTTGTATATACACCGCCTTTTGATCACGGAGACTTTTTTTTTGTCTTTCTTGAGGGTAATTGGTCTCAGATGGGACTTCTGCACCCAGGCATGACTACACTCCAGACATCACATACAATAAAGAAATATGTACTAATGATAAATGATATAGTGCACTTATATGCGCTTATTTGGACACTCAAAGACACTTTACACATTGACAGGTTAATCAGAAACAAAAATAAAAAAAGCTAAAATGAGTGTCTGCAGTTTTGAACAAAGGAGTCCGACGTCCTGATGTGTTGTGGGAGTGAGTTCCAGATAATGGGGGCAGCTGCAGTGAAGGCTTGATCCCCCAAGGTTTGGCAATATGTTCTTATGGGAGTGAGGAGGTTAGAGAGTCTGCGGGTCCGTGGCGGCGGGAGGGATAGTGATGATGGAGGAGGTCGATGAGATATGAGGAGGCCAGGTTATGAACAGACTTGTAGTTGATGAGCTCCTTATATTGAATGCAGCATGGAGCCAGTGGAGTTATTTGAGGATTGGAGTGATGTGGTCTCTAAATTACTATGGCAATTTATCATTGACAATATAATGGATGGGATAAACTATATTGGGGTGTCAATAATGTAGCATCTGTACATTGTGTTTCCAATCGTGAGATGGTATTTTCTTTGTAATGTGATATACTTTGAGCCAAAAAAGTCACTTTGTATGTTACATATTTCCTAATGTATTTTTTGTTACTTTCGATGAAAAAGACCAAATAAAAATGGTTACAAGATATTCTCCAGTTCTTTTGTAATCACAGTTGCAAAATTATGTTTTTTGCAATACATATGAATAGCTAATTTTCATAAACAGATAAGTGTCAATAGAAAAGTATTTGAAATGCTCAAATATACAACCAATAACACACCATTGTAAGTAGAGAAATACAACGTTTTTGAATAATTCTCAAAATGGATATATCTGTTTTGACAAAAAAACTTTTCATAGCTGTATCAATATCGTCATCAATACACATGTGTTATTGTGGTGTGCCTGTAGACGACATCAGTATTTGAATGTGCAAGACTTTAATCCTGCCGCACTGCTCTGCACAGATAGAGAATTCCAGGAGGAAGAACAAGCCCAAAAAATAGTTGCAGAGAATCATGAAAAATGTATACTAAAAAGAGAGGGTGCTTCTCTGAGTATAAACTTGACCTGACTTTTCTGTTCTTACTTAGTCTTACAATACTCTTTCCTTGTTGGCTTTAAAATATACACCAACATTAACCATCGCACAATAACAACTTTAAATTGCAAGACAAATGTCATAATGGACTTTGTTTTCCTCAGATAATTTATGTAAGAAATCTTTTTTATCCTTTTGTGATTTTTTTTTCACTTTCTATCTAAAAAGTTGATCTACATCTAGAGAGTGCAATGTATGTACAAAGTTTTCTTCTTTATTTACATTTATGGCTGACCACTCAAAGCTCTGGGGTCTTCAGTGGCAAGAGATGAAATCTTGCACATTGCTAAGAAAAGAGAAAAAAAAAACATAAATAAAAAAAAACCCTGAGTATGAAGATTAAAAGTATTTTGCCTATCTCTCTCTCTCTCTAAGCAGGATATGCTGGTTTACTTAAAAACTATATCATTATTTGAAGTGACACAGGATATAACTATTCCTGCCACATCCTCATCGCTGTCCACTATAATTAAAGCTGGAAACTGTTTCTGTTTCCTAAACTTTACATAGTGTTTGTCCCAACAGAAAGTCAGAAAGTCATTTGCTGTGAACAACTCTCTTCATCTCATTGGATAAAAACATGATATATTATACAAACTTGTAAGAGAGAGCCCTGTGAGTCACTATTCTACACTTTTGGATTGAGACGTGATTGGCTGAGCAAGTGTGGTCCGCTGCGTTTCACTTATCTGTCTCAAAAGGCTGATCTAAAGATGTGATAATGGCCAATACATACATACAAACATACACACGTGAAAACCATCAAGCTGTACTGAGAGGTATTAAGAAGTTAGGTGGTTGTTTTTTTTTATTGTGGTTCGAAAGCTAGGAACCAGCTTTAAAATATTCCAATTCAACTGATGTTCGAGGAATTCCAATGTGGTTTTACTGCAAATGGCAAATAAATGAATCTGAATCTGAATCTGAATGATTTATTAGAAGAACCTTTGTAGTTCTTAATGAAAACAGTGGAAATAAAGTACAATTTTAGACCAAATATGAATTGCTTGAGCTGTTTCCCTGTGTTTTCCAATAGCTGGGTTAGTGAGACTGACAGCTTTTTCCTCTGCTCTGAGCGTCACTAAACAGACCGGGATACGAGCGTTCCCTCAATGAGTTCCAGACACTTTCAGCCTCCAAAAAGTGCTTATGATCAAGCTTTATGATTTCATAATTTTGACTTAATTTGGAAGAATGTTGCAAATATAAATCACAAACCAGGAAGCAGATTTGTGAAGGGAAAAAGTGGGGAAAAAACACAATAGCTACAACAGGAGGTTCTATTGAGGAGAGGCAACTTATTTTACAGATATTTCTTAATCAGAAAAATCTCAGTCTTCAGTACGTTTTTTTTGTTTTTATCAGTCAAATTACAACTTATCTTGCATTAAGTGAGTTTTAGTTTTTAGTCATGTGATTCAGCACACAGCTTTCACCTGGCAGAAAAGGAATTATTCTTCTTTTTGGGTCTTTCTGTCCTCCTTCCACCGGGAATTTATCCAGCAACTCCATCTGAAACAACAAACAACATACGGAAATCAATAAAAGGCTAAAACAACACGGACATCCTATATACACACCCCACTTCCTGTCATGATGGCAGGGGCGGACAGGAAGAGGATTTTAATTTTCTTACAAATCAGCATTTTATTTCTTTTCTCCGGGACCGAGGCCAAAGTTGGGAGGGTCGGGCCGTGACGAGGAGAGAGGAGAGCAGATGGTTTTTCTTACCGTCCGAGTGCACCAGGCCCACACGGCACTGAGCGCATGCAGTGACATAGTGGAACATTCCTTCTCCAGGTTATAAAGCAAATCTGGATCCTATATGACGGTCACCAGTTCTGCATTATAAGTTTCTTTAAGGGAGTTTTTGGGAAGTTTGCATTTGTGCCATAGCGTGTGGTTGGCTTAAGGTCTCAAGATATATTATTATGCTTATCCTGAAACGGGAATGTGTCTTATGTACCTATTATTTTATCAGCAATTCAAACTTAAAGGTCAAGTAATAAGTATTTTTCATGAATAACGTATTGACAGCAGTCCCTCCCCTTAACGAAACGTGGCGTAACCTTCATCACTAATATTTGCTGAAGGAGAATAGTTAGATTAATGATAAGGACCGGCCCGCACTCATGGGCTGCCCGCCCCTCCCCGCCTGGGAACTGCCTTTGTCCAGCACCGCATGGCCTCGGTCCTCGTTCTGCGTCGTGAGTCCTGGATCTATAGCCCGTCCATCCACGGGAGCGGATCCCTCTTTAAAAGTGGTCCTTTTTCACCACTGTCACTTTTGTTAGGATTTTAACTTTTTATCATATATCTTTTGAGTTGTTACTTGTTGATGCAGGATAGTCTAGGGACAGTGGTGATGATCCGGGACATTTGAGGACATTCATGGACATTAATTAACATTTATGGATAATGGTCATCCAGTCCGTACAGATCAATAGCTCCCTTGTATTTGTTATTGAATGTCCTGTGTTCGAACAATTAGATTCAATGATCTGTGTTGGCAAGACAACTGCGGTATTGATTTAGGGCTATATAAAAATACATTGAAATTTAAATAAATATTGCACTTTGTATACTAAATTAATAAAATACTGTTCCTGAATGCAATCACCTCTTTCTGAAAGGAGGCAGACTGAATTCCGTTATTTTTGGCATATGCAGAATATTTTGTATTTACATGTATAACTTAGTACCAGCAAAGGCCAATCAATGCTGAGTGACCTATTCAACCAACACTGTGGCATAACAACATCACAACAAACAAACAGTGACACATTTTCTTTTGTGAGGTCTTTAGAAACCAATGTATGATTTTATATTTACATTTGGAGTTACTTGGTCCAGTTAAGTTACTCAATATGTGATCAGCACATTTTGTGGGATGGTCAATCAAACATAGTCCAATTATTCTGAGGTTCTAAGCTTTAAAATTATGACATTGACATTGATAGAGATGGGGTTGGCTGGATGACAAACTTGTGTTTATGATCCAGGCTCTCTTCTATGTGGCTTTCTGCCTTTTTAACCTAAAATAGTCTTTGAGATCATAAACCCAAGTTCACAGTGTCATCTAACCAACTTCAGCTCTGGCAATATGGATATGTTGTACCTAAAGCTCAACCCTCTAAAATTCAGCCATTGACTTCATTTGTACAACATTCCATCTATGATGCTACTGTAGCTGTGTAGCTTCTGAGAAGGAAAACATGTATCATTCAGCCAACTTCAGCTCTGTTAGCGCCAATTTTAAAGCTCAAAACAGGTTGACGGAAGACTAGCTAACTAAAGTTAGCCACTTACTAAAATGTTTGGACACCCCTCCCTGTTTTAGAGCTTGATGTGCAAATGGGAAAGAGAAGTATTTATTTGCACAAGGATCAATCTGGTGAGAAGACAGAAGCATGTGAAGGTCAGAGTGAACAGCTCCTAGAAGTATGCAGCTATTAGTGTTATCAATAGAACTATTTAAGAAATCACATAGTTGGACCGACAAAAACCTGCAGCCAAGGACATGTTGATATGTTCTTTTCACAAATGTTCATCACATTTCTGGGTGGTACCAGTGCTAAATAATCTCTGGTCAAATAGCTTTAACAAGATCACTATAACTTGGTGTTTAATTATTACACATGATTGCTTTTTAGTACGCATCAAAAGATTACCAATATAGCCAAATACATATTTTTCAGCAGCGAGTGTAAATATAAAAATCATAGAAAAACAATAACAATCCTAAACCTGCATTGAAACCATATGTTATAAACCATTCTGATATAATTACCAGACAGACTGTAAACATTGCTCACTACACACTTCCTATAGTCCCGTAGCATAACTGCTCCCATGTGTAAACCTTGGCACACCCACTGTCTTTATGTACTCAGATCCACTCTTTCATAAAAAGTACATCTGGACAAAGTAAATTTCTCTTCAAAAATACCAGTGACATCACAGCATCAAATATTCATATAACTGGACACGGTGAAGCAACTGATGGCGGAACAAAGCTGCTTTCTAGAATTTAGGTGCTGCTTCAAAGCCTAAAATATATTATTTTTGTGGGTATTTAAAAGTACAACTGTGAGAGCATTTTTTTTTTTTTTTGGATGGGACCACACATAGACTGTAGAAGGACTGGATGGAGTGCTCACCCAAGTCACCCATAATTTTGTCCAAAAAAAAGGCTGATTTAAGCCAAATCAAACAGCGCAATCTGGTGCGAAATTTGGGGACGGCAACCACCTAGCAACCAAATAGCCAATCAGGAGCATCGCTGGGCTGTTGCCACTTGCTCTGTTTGCTATAGCTGAAGCTCAGTTGTTAGGGAACTATCTAAGATGAAGATCAAGGTTAAGAAATCCTTTACTTGTCACGCAATGGGAAAACTTCAGTGTTGCATCACACGTTACAGAACAGTAGGAATGAGGAGCACACAACACTACATGGGATTAAGTTATTAAGTATAGCACGACTCTATACTTAAAAGTAAATAAAATCTCCATCTTTAGCTTAAATAAGAAACAAAGAAAAAAAAGGCATAAAACTGTATACTCTAGTGCGAAGAAATACTGTACATACTTGTAACTACTGTATGTGTACATCGGTACATAAATCTGTAATACATGGGAATATTGAAGTACATAGACAATATCAATATAGTTTTCAATTCCACATTTAGCTTCATTAGCTAGCAGGTTAGCATTGTCCATCTATTTATACAGTCAAGGGGTTTGCAATTAATTATTGTTGTGAAGATTTTTTTTAACTTTGAATTCAAGATGCAATAACAAATATACTAGACACTGATCAGTATTTTACATTTATATATATTTTTATTGTAGCCACCAGCTGATTTAACATGTTTAATCGTGGATAAAATGGAAAGCAAGCAACAATATATTAATATAATTGTTTCATATCGTATTAATATCCACATGCATTTGTCCCTAGTTCATAACCGCACGTTATACAATGATATGACCGACCTTCTGCAGACCTCCATTTATTTTATGACAAGGCGTAAAATGATGTTGATGCCCGTACTGAGAATAACCATTACCCTTAAACTCTATTATTTTATTTGAGAATTACGTCGAGAGTCAGGAGCAAATGTAATTCCCCATAGGGCTGTCATTTGTCTGGTGCATATCCGCTGTAAGCACATACTCACTATCAGCCCACTGTGCAAAGGAACAAAGCAGCTCTCAGTGCTCTCCTCACTGGGACAGGGAGAGGTCCTCGAGACAAAACATACACTCACTGTTTGCCACTCGTTCTAATATTACTCCATTATCAACAAATCTACTCAATATAACATGGGGTACTGCCATTCTATGTCATTATTTTTTTTTTACCAATAACTTGTGATAGGAACAATTCAGACCACACCATATCCTGTTAGAGACCATGTTATTTTGTTCATATTTTTAAGAAAGATCAATCAATCAATCAATCAATCTTTATTTATAGGGCGCTTTTCCTGCACAGGGCAACACAAAGCGCCTCACAGTCCACACCACACAATGCACAAATCATCACCATTAAAATACAATTAAGAACACATATGTAATTAAAAAGCATTAAAATCACATAAGTAATTTAAAAACATAAAAATCACACAAGTAATTAAAAACAATAAAATAGTTAAAAACACAAAAAGTTACAACAATAAATAACAAGGTGTGTTAAAAAGATAAAATTCTCTAGTTGTATGCACGGGAAAAAAGAAAAGTCTTTAACATGGATTTGAACATTGACAGAGAGGCAGCCAGTCTCACATCCTCAGGAAGACCGTTCCAGACTTTAGCTGCATAGATCTGAAAAGCAGCCTCCCCCTGTCTAGTCCTGACTCTGGGCACTAACAGGAGTCCCGTCCCTGCGCTCCTCAGAGTCCGGGCTGGTTCATATGGGACTAGCATATCATGGATGTACTTTGGTGCAAGGCCATGGAGAGACTTGTACACCAGGAGAGCTGCTTTAAAGTCTATCCTCTGGGCCACGGGAAGAGCCCAGTAAGTCACTATTTAAAGGGGACATATCATGAAAAATCCACTTTTTGTGCCTTAAATGCCTTATGTAGTTGGAGCCTCTAGAAGTGCAAAAAAGTTGAAATCAGTCTCTTCATGGGTTGCAGAGAACACTTCATATTCTGTTTAGGTAAGATTTTTCAACCCGTTCTGATTTTGCCATTCTCTATTACGTGTTTAGAATTATTACGTCACAGTATTTGCAGCGAGACTGCTATATAGGGGCATGGGCGTCTAACAAAACACTTCGGCCCAGCCCTCCTCCACTGTGCATCACTTAATTTGTAGTCCCAGCTCAAGGATGCCAGCGAACAGGGCTGGACTGACCATCGGGTGTACCGGGCAATGCCCAAAGGGGCGATGCCCATATTTGGGCCGGTCTGTCTGCCTCATACAAAACACATGTTTATGAGAAGTGTAAATCCGTTGAGAATTGTTCGAGTGGGGCGCGCGTATCCGCGGGGCACCTGCTGTATGTACTCGAACGGGATTCCGCCACCTCAGCGGCCGCAGTGTTCCGGGGCATCTGCGGCCGCTTTGTAATGAGCAGCTTCCGCGTCCAGCGGCTGCGAGAGGCTGTGAGCGTCCAGCCGCTCGCAGCCGCTCCACCGTGTTGTGGCTGAGCGCGCGTGGCAATGTACCCAACCCCATAAACGCGCACAGTACCATGCGTGTCTTTGAGTAATCTGTGCACCCAATAAATACACTGCTGCAGGAAACAGTCCGCGTCTCCCCTCTCCTCTCGAAGCGCGATTAAACGCCCTAAATAAAGTTCTGATACCTACATTTTGCATTGCATTAAAAGTTCATGTTTGAGCCCAAAAGTAATATGTTGTGAACAAATTAAACAGATTTAGAGCCAGCAAATGGCTGACAATATGCATTACAGTCTTTTTTGACCAATTCTCATCCTTGTAACAAACAATAGTGTTGTCCGTGTCCACCTCCCTCACTCTGAGACATGTTCATTAACCTCTTGTAATGTAGACTATTGCATTTTATTTTATTGTTGAAACTGCACATATCCTGATCCTCTACAGTATTTGCTTCCACATACTGTATAAACTAAGAGTCGGCAACCTGCGGCTCCGGAGACGCATGCTGTAAAAAAGTAATATTCAATTTAAAATTTTCTGTCAACGTGTCTGTCAAACCGGCGTGTGAGCATCATAGACTGTGCGCATGGATCCCAAAGCTAAAAAGAGAAGAGTCGATGATAAGACTGGACTAAGAATGAAAATTTGCATTTGCTTTCAGTCAATGAGGAAGGCCTGCTTCATGTTTGCGATGTAATGAGAAGTTTCTATGAGATAATTGTATCTGTGCTTAGAAACTACAAAAATGGCCGCTCAGGGTGGAGTTGAACCTGTGTCACCTGGATGGGGGCGTGGTCAAAAGCGCCTCATTTGCATTTAAAGAGACAGCACCAAAACAGGTTGCTCTCAGACGCACCTCAGAACAGGTGTAGAAGAAAGGCCCGTGGAGCTACAAATAACGACCCAGGCATTGCAGTTACGCTTTATATAGGCCACAAATGAATGATTTAGATGTAAAAATCAATTATTTGAAAACACGATATGTCCACTTTAAGGCTTTGGGCTGAGAGCTGATTGGCTGAGTGAGGGTGGTCCTCTCTTTTTTCATCTTTTCTGTCACAGAGGTAAACAAATTATTTTATTATGGATCTATTGTTTTGTGGTTTGAAAGATAGGTACACCAATTTTAAGGTTATTATTCTCTGGTAAGTTTTTTATACCTGGTGTGATGCATTTCTTCATTTTAAACCAAAAAAGAAGCACAATAAAATCAGTATTTATTTGTGTGTTGACTACGTCTCATTCAGGATCTGTAATTCTCTGATTTCATTAAAACATTTTATTTGACCAAGAAACCCTTGAGGACCCAGCAGAGAAAAGACACAGAAAGTTTAACATGGGAAATCAAAGGAGTCCATTCTTATACTGAGATTTCTTTGGTCAATATTATTTGTGATGTAAAAATGTATTCTGCACAATGTTTTAACTGAAATAGAAATGCCATGTGTCCATATGTGATGCAACATTATGACTGAAGATGGAAAATATGTATCAGCTGTTTGAGTTGGAGCCGTGAAGCATAAGTGTCTCCTCCAGGACGGAAAACTCCTCGGACTGAACAATACTGTCACCGGCCGGATTTAGGATTTACTTAACAAAGCACTCTCATTCTAACATGTTTACTAAATTACTATATTTTAGCCACAGGTTCAGTCTTTTCCCTTGGTATTGTTTTTCTCATTGTTGTAAGAATAACTAAGGAAAAGCGTGCGTGTTGTATTAGCTGTTTGGCCTCGTGTTGACGGGAAACACACACATCCAGACTTGTAAATGATGAGCAGCTGAATTCAGTGGGTCACGATCAGATTACTTACTTTCCATTTAAAACATCCTTCTGTTGACTGACTATCAACATTCACAACTAAAACTGATCCAAAATGAACATGTTTGTGGATATACATTTCAAAAAGCCACATGGAGTTTTATGTATTTTGTACTGCATTTCTGCTAGCCTGGCCTTAGCCATCCGTACACTCCGCTCAATCATCATTTCACTGCATATAACGTCTGGGTCTAGTCCCTGTGTTTGCGATAACAATCGGTTGAATTTCGACCGACCATTCAGAGAGCGCGGAAGGCAGGTGTTGTAGTTAGTTGCGGGTGACGTCAAGAGTTTGCGTAGAACGGGAAGGTCGTAGTTTGGCAATGGCAAAACATGCGATAGTAAAGTAATCCGGTCTGGTTCTATCAAGAAATTGAAGCCGGAGCAAGAGGAATGTTTAGCGAATGTACTCGCTAGAAAAAATTGTGGCGCTACTCCCCACGGGCTCCGTTAGTGGCAAAGGAGATGGCTAGGCTAAATGCTAAATGCACTACATACGTCACGGTAAACTCAGATCCAATCGTTTCAATCTGCAAAAGGAATTAACCCCACCTGTTCACGAAGCTCAATGGAGCACCTCCAGACCTTGGCAGGAAATGTAATTTGTACTATGGTGTGGTACGACCAGGCTAGGTTTCTGAACTTTTATCGTATTTTATATCATGTATTTCAGTGTTTTGATGTATCCCCACTGGTGCCCCGTCTGAAAATGATGTTCCACATGAATAAATAAAGTTATTTGAATTTGAATTGAAATTTAATGGAATTTAATTTAAATTTAATTTGAATTAAATTTGAATTGAATGATAAATTATTGGTTTCAGCCAAATGTTCTCAAATAAACTCAAATTGTAAAATACAGTGCATTACTTCAAGTGGAGAAGTAATACTTTTCCTGACGTGTTCCAAATGACATACATAACCAGTCCAGAGGTGAGAGAGGTGCCTACTAACAATAAGGTCATGGACTTTCTGGAAATTTAGTGTAAGTAATAATCTTTATTTACTGTATATACCGCCTTTCACAGACCAGAGTCATAAAGCAGTTTACAATTGTTATTGTTTAGTCCTCTCACTCCACACAGAGATGGGAGCAGGGTCACCAGTACAGGAGGCACATGCCAGACCTATTGTACATGTTTTTAGTGGTAGGGGAAACCGGAGTACCCAGATGAAACCTACGCAGACACAGGGAGAACATGCGAACTCCACTCAGAAAGGCCTTTTTCCGACTGGGATTTGAACCTAGGACCTTCTTGCTGAGAAGCGAGAGTGCTATCCACTCAGCCACTGTCCCACCAGTGATGTACATTATCAGGACTCATGTGATTCATCGCATTACTTTTGATACTTATAGCTTTTGTAGTATTTTCATTATTTACAGTAATTTTTTCCCATGTTTTAAAATGGGACTTTATAAAATTTTATGCATATTTTTTGTCTTTTTAATTTCATATTTTCAACATTTTTGATCTTTTCAGTGTTTTGTATTGCTATCTACTTATCTACTCTCTATGGCTAAGTAAGGCATGATCTGGGAAAAAGTAAACTATTTGTTCTGATCTGTGATGAAATGATGTAGTAATTACACAGTGATATTTCTTCTTTGGTGAGGACCGAGTTTGGCTTATTTGTTATTCCATGTCCACAGACACCTCGTATCCAACCCGTAGCGATAACAATACCGTGACAACACAAATTCCCAGATAGAATGTTGTAAACGAACATTCTGCTAAAAGCTCACTTAGGTTTCTCCATGACATTTGGAGAGGGTTTATATTTAGTGTGCATATTGTAGCAACAGGAAACATGGATCTTATTGATCACGGAGTCGCTCTCTCATGGCTTGTGCTCTTCTCATCCTAATCAATTAAAAGCTTCCTAATTGGATTACTGTCTGCTGCGGGACTGGTCTGAGTTAATACGGACTAACTGTACGTCCATGTTTGTTTGAGTCATGATGAAAAAGGCTTTTACGCTGGATCCAGTGTTTTACTTCAGAAAGAGGAAGAGAAAGATTGCTTTGCATGATGTCCAGCGTGTGACGTCCGGCCATGATGTGGGCTGTGGTCACCGCTGGGATTTTGTCATTTAGAAATTTTCTGTAAATTACTCATTCCTCCAACATAAAGAGAAGTGACGTTAGCCATTCTGATAATACAAGTGATTAATACATATTTTAGACCTATATGTTCTGATTATGTGTCGAATCAGGAACAGGGTGGGTTGAGTCAGTTTTAGCATTTATTTGGACTTTCCCACTTTGCAATTTCAAAAAAGTAATGAATGTACTTCTGTCCCATGGAAGGATTATGGATGGATCCAAAAATACTTAGACCTTGCCTCATAGCAGACAGCAACAAGTTTTCATAGTTTCATGGGGACAAAAATAGTTTTAACACATTTGATCTGCTTACACCAGAGACAGGACAGTTCAGAACAAGTGGTGATTTTTTTCTATGCCTTAAAACCTTGACAAGAGTGCTCAAACTAAATTAGACTTTGCGGATTTGAACCACATGGGAGCAATGTTATAACGCTCATAAACATATTTTTTAACGTTTGGTTCTGAATTCAGTTTTTGCTTCTTACCTGGAGGTCGAAGAACTTGCTGTAGCGTCTGAAGATGGTGTCTGTACTGCCATCGCTCCAGGACACTTTGATAATGTACACCTGCAAAATAAAGACACAAGAGCAGAGAAATATTTATATAACTACAGTTTTTTTTTTTTTGCATTTCAGAGACACAGGACACCCAAAGCGCTTCACAACGTTTTTCGACATTTGCCGTGAAATCCTTAAGTCCATGGAGGGTTCAGCAAGTTATAATAAACAATGTCTGACCTTATTGAGAGATATTGATAACTTTGAGTGAGAAGTTATAGATGTTCAGAGGTCCATGTAGATGAAGTAGATTGATATTTGACAATAATCATGTATTCATAATGAACAGCATGTCAAAATGGGAAAAAACAAAACTGTATTAATGAAAAGAGAAGAAATATTTCAACAATATACTATGCTAATCAACATAAATGTGGATGTCATGGGATTGCTCTTTTTTTCCCATGAACTGTAAAACCCACAGTCTTCAGACACGTCTAGTAATGTTAAAGGAAGGATCAAATGAAGAAAAAAGTCTTACTGGAGCAACAAAGTCACTCTTAACAAGTGGAGAAAAAGATTAAGCTAGGAGTAGATTTCCACACTTTCTGTAGCTTGATTCTGACCTCCAGTTTGAGGCCATTGGAAAAGGCATTTCTGCCAGTCATCTGAAGACTGAAGGCTGGAGCGGTCAAACCCAAACAAACACACTTTGGTTCCTCAGAAGCAGAGCAGGGGGTGTGGAGCTCTGGGCCTGGATGAGCTGCCCCTGGCTCCTGTCCCAGGCCCACTCTCACTCAGGGCCAACAGTCACATATGGACAAAGACGCACAGAGCAGGAGGCGTGTCGGGCGAGAGGGAGAGGATTCTGATTTCATCCTGAACTCTGCACAAGCCAAGTTGGACCCATTTCTCCAAACTTGATAATACAAGTGTACTCCTGACCCAAAAATAAAAACTATATTATTTTTAAATGTGCAATTTAGCATTTTAACTTGATTGAATCCAGGCTATATTCTTATCCATGGGTCTCAGCAAGAAGAACAAAGAGAACCGTTTCAATAGCCCATAAATCCATATATATATTTTTTCCCAATATATCCGTTGCCGTTACAATAGTATTTGAACATATTATATCTTTTGAATTTCAATAAAAAAATCCTTAAAAAGTTGCATGAACCAGGAATCTGAAACTTTTTTGTTTATATTTCTAGAATGTTGTCAGTATATGTACCAGTAAATTGTTCCATTCAGTATCTCGTTTTAGAAAAAATATATAAACTATGCTTTGACATAATAAAAAGAAGGGGGGGAAAAGAGGATTTGCTCAAATTTGATTGTGGAGAGGATCAACATAACCAATAGAGTATGCGTAAAATATGCGTCTTTGAGTGTCCAAAAAAGCGCTATATAAGTTTGATGTATTATTATTTATTATTATTATGTGAGCATGACAGATGGAGATATGTCCTTGTCCAGTTTGGTTCACAGCGGTCAGAAGTGTTGCCTCTTCAGCACATACTCCTGTTGTTCGCATGTAAACAGGAGATGCATATGGTCCGTAAACACGAGCTGAGTCACTGGCACAAACCCACATCTCTGTTGGCCCACGGAGAAGAGGTGATGTCAGATACAGGAATATAGAGCTGAGAGATTAATCACCGAAATCATCAAAATAGAAAAGGTAAGTTGTCACGATTATCAAATCACAGAGGGTGCCTTTTCTTTGAACACCTTTGCATATAAAGAGATGCAAAAACAAATACTAGAAATGGGGAGGAGTTAGTTATGAGTTTAAAGTATATAAGGTTTTCCAATGCAACAAGTTATCTAATTCTACAAAGAAAAAATGACTAAAATGTATGCTTTTTCTGTTGGTAAATCCCTGTATGCTTTATGATACCGGAGCACACATGTATTATTAATGTATAGAATGTCTTTAGTGTAGCCATTCTCGCCATAATTAGACCATTAATCAGTGGAAATCTTGTAATTTCTAATCCATTTCTATCTAGGTTTTTTAACTATTTTTACTAAATACAATTGCCCATGCACATGGATCATATACTTAAATGACTATTGTAATGTTAGTCAGAAAGAAATGGTATTTAGTTCATTTGGAAGAATCTTGCAGCCCTATCAGAAATCAATGTAATTGCTGTATATGGGGACAGTGGCTCAGTTGGTAGAGCCTTTGAAGGTCGTGGGTTCGAGCCCACCACAAGACCTACTTCACGACTCCCACTGATGACTGCTGCCGTTGTGTCCTTGGACAAGACACTTAACCCCACTTTGCCTGAAGCCCCTTGATCTTTCTTGTCTGAAAGATCAAGGCTGCTGTGGACTCACCACCTGCAGCTCTGACTGCCACCCCCCCGACCCAGAAATGGATTAAGGGGAAGAAGATGGATGGATGCTATAAGGATTGTAATGATTATAGATCATATTTGAGATTCTAAAACAATAGCAACAGAGAAAAGTGGATGTGATTTTTAGAATATCAATATTGGACAAAGTTGGAAAAAATTGGGACTTTCCTGAAGAGATTTAGTCTAGTTACAATCAGACCTATACTACATCAAGGCTTTGGTAAGACTGTATGGTTGAGATCCTTTTTTTAGGTGGAACTTGAACTTTGATTTTTTTTTAGACTTCATGGCAGCAGTGACATCGGTTTATTTGTAAAATTCCTTTAGGAAAGTGTGAAGTGGCGCGTTGTCTCTTTCAGACATTCTTTGTCCCACATAAGTTTTGTGTTAGGAGGAGTGGGCTGGGTGTTTCCACTGCCCCACAGCGCAGTGATACAAAACACATGTTCAAATGACAGGCAACATAACTGAAGGCAACAGGGAAACATTTCAATAACACAAACATGTATTTGTCATGGTCATTTAAGGAGACCAATGTTAGGCTATGGCTAAGGTCACATTTCAAAACGCCCAAAGAAATGCAGTGCAAGGCTTTGTACCAGGACAGAGCTGATGCACGATTGAAATTCCAGCCTCAACCCTCAAAGGGAACTGTCTGAACAACAGTCTGAGGCAGTGGCTCTCAAACACAGATCAAGCTCCATTCAAAACTACTATTTTACAGTTGAACTTTAACATTTATTGGTCACTTATTGACATTGTTTGATTTCTGTTCTTTTTAATCCTTGTTTATAGCACTCATGTAGACTGTGTTTAAAGTTTTAACTTTGTTCATTTAGTGTCAAAGCCATTTTGAACTTGGCAATGGGCCTGACAGAACGTGTTAGTTGTTGTCAGCTGGGAAGTCGATTTCGACACAACTGAGAGGACGTCATGTCTTCATCTTGAATACATAAACATTGTCCAGATGACCATCTTTGAAACTGCACCAAGTAGCATTGTCCTGCTACTAGTAAATGAGAGCACAATGCAATGCACAAGAAATGTGACTTTTTTAAAAGACAACTGACATGGTCACCCCTGCTGACAGTAATGTGACTTCTTCACAAACTTCCCTGAAGAACAGGGTCATAAGTCAAATGAATCAATTGACCCAATAGCAGAAAGACTTGACCTTTTCACATCCAAAACCAACTCAGTAATTATGTAGAGTCTATACGATAGCATAAGAGAAACTCTACTTGCCTCAAAAGGGAGAACATGGCTAGGAGTAACTTTAGAGCATCCTGAGCACTAAACTAAAAAGCTGGTAAAGTTACTTTAATAGACACATTATCTGGACCATTACAGGAGGAAAGGCCTCTTAACAAGACATATAGGTATAGGTTATACAAAAATCATAGTCAAAAGGACAAACTATTAATATTCAGAGATCCTTTATTCGTCCCACTGAGGGAGAGATTTCAGAGATAGGTAAACAAACTCAGAAGTTTCCAACCTGAATTAAACTCACAAGTTTAAAGCCAAGTCAAGTCTGTCAAGTATAAACAGGAGTCTGGAGCATAAACTGTTGAAAACATAAAAAAGATAGTTCAAGATGTCAATAGTATCCATTGCCATAACAGGTAAAGATCATGTTACATATAGGATGAATCCGGTGCCTTTAGTATTCTGAACACACACATTGAGTGCTTAAGAAGTACGAGCTCCTTATTTGCAAGTTCATACTTAAAAGTCCTTAAAATCCACTGTGGAAGAATAATTCCCCTCTGGCTTTGCAACCTGTAATCTGACACTCTCTTTGTTATTACTTTAGCCGACAGGAAGGGGCGAGGAGCTGCACAACAGTCCACAAAACTCTACATTTCAAAGATTAAAAACAACTTGTAAACATGTCTTACGTAGTGCTTGTTCGGGTTTCTCCTCTTCTGCACATCTTGCACAGTAACTTCTTGCACCGTGCGCCGTGGCATGACGTCCCCACTCTCCCGCTGCAAAGCCTCAATGTTGCCAAGTCAAATCAGATCCACAAACTTTGCGTCTTTTTTGCGCGTTACGGTCAGACGCACAGGTTTGGCCAAAAATGCGCGTTCACGTTCCCAAGGCAGCATTCAGCAGGAGTACAAAATGCGCCTTCCCTTTGCCCCTATACGTCCTCTCGTCTCGGCTCTTCTTTGCACTGTGGGCCGCCTGGATGAGTGCTTTGACCGAACTACCAGCCTATCCCAGCTCGCCTCTACTCCCCTCCCGGATAGTCTCCATTCTGCTCCACGCACGCTCAGACCATTGCTCAGACCACCCTCCTCCAACGCAGCGTCATTGCAAACCACAGGCGCGCAATGCCACTTCAAATAGCTGACTGTAGCATCACTGTAACTCAGTAGTAGTATGTGTGTGTGAAGGAAAATGAAAGAGTGGAGAGTTTGGACTTTTTTTTTACAGTGTTGCCATAAAGCTGGTAAAATATTAACGCTGGTGTACCTAACTTGTTTTGCCAATAAATAATAATAGTTTGTTAAAAGTAAAATGTTGTGAATAATTCAGACCACACAATTTTTTTGTCTTTATGTTGTTGTTGCTTCAGTTTCAAATCAGACTTCAGCAAAAAAAAAAAAATGAAAAATGTCTGACGCTAAATCTACAGCACAGCTCCAAGAGAATCACCGGGTCTATCGTGCTGCCTAGATTGCAGACTTGTGGGAAAGATCCCTGTGAGTGACAATTTTACGCTTTGGGCTTTTTCACTTTTTTGCCCGGAAAAAGTTGATTCCAAGATGTGACAGAGATGTTGCCGAAGTCGAGCGGAGTCAGTTGAAGTTGCCCATGGATCTGTTTCGGATGCCTCCTGGACGCTTCCCCGGGGAAGACCCAGGACACGTTGGAAGGATTGTGTCTCTCAGCTGGACTTGGATGGCCTCGGGATTCCCCCGGATGAGCTGGAGGGAGTGTTTGTGGAGAGGGAAATCTGGGGTCTCTACCCATGGTCTCTATTTAGAGGCTTCCTCCGCGACCCGGCTACAAATACAGCGGAAGAAAATTCATGGATTTATTTATTGATATTGTGAATGTTTAACTTGTTTATTGAATGTGAGGCTCTCATAATAATTTACTTCCGGTTTTTTTCTTAAATGCATGCATGTGAAAACTAGTGACAGTAGATGCTTTCATTGATCAGAGACTCAGAAAGTTAACTTAACTTAACCTCCACCAAAGACCCACATCTGCTATAGGAAACTATAAGTCATTATGTGCCACAGACATGGACGTACAGAGCATTGCACTTTGACGTCTGCCTCGCGATATTGTACAGTCTACACATATGTTACTACACAGCGCCATCTGGTGGCCATGCCTTCTCATTACGTCTGCATTCAGTCTCAAGGGAATCATTTTGGCATTCTGCATGTTTTATTCAAAAGTCAAAGCATCCAAGTGTATTATTGGTTTGTTTATTCAAAATAAAACAAACATGGCATACAAATTGACAAGCATTCAGACTGTTGTTGATATTTAGTTCAATATACTTGATACCTTTAACTATCTTGAGTCATAAGTACGATGACAAAACCTAAACTGAAGTAAAAGCTTTTTAGAAACACTCACATCCCTCTAGTTTGTTTCCCTGTAATCTACATTTAACTGAACTGTTTGGGTCTTACACAAACTGTTGTAGTCTACTCAAAGGAGCCTGATAATAAAAAAACAGTATTATTTATAGAAAAGCAGTGGGGTCTGATCCGTCGCACATCTGCAGTCTGAGGTGAGAGGTGATCCCAGAGAAGCGCTCCTGCAGGGGGAGCACGTACCCCACCGGACGTCCTCTGGTCACGGGGCCCATGTACTGGTACGGCCGCAGGTTCAGCAGCTTCACACAGCGCACTGAGAACAACACATACCGTGACATTGTAAGTATATAGTAACAGTATTATCTTTTTCCAAAGGGATGTACGCCAAAACACAAAAACATTTCACATTTAATTTTGAAAAGGGATTGGACGATGCAGATTGAACCCTTCTCTCTCGTACAAAAAATAAAAAAAAACACACACACACACCTGCAAACACAAGACAAAGGTCAAGACACTCTCTGATCCTTTTGTAATCACCTTTTCTGTTTTAATCAATATGAGGGATAGCTTTTGTGGCATGATTTGAGTAAGCGAAAGGTTTAGAGCCACACCAGAGATTTTTCAAAAGCCATATTTCTCATATTCAACATCAAATAGCAAAATAGTTTTTTTGTAAAGCAGCTTCTTAAGTTTAATATACGAAAGGGCTACTTATTATTATAGATCCATGCTACAGACGCTTTAGCTTAAAGAAAGAAACTATAAAGCGTCTATAAGCTTTAGTTTCTGCCTATTCCGTTTTCAGACCTTATTTTGATATTTATTTTTCAAGTGCCTGAAATTGTTTTTGAATCGTCAAAAATGTCTGAAAGGAATTGATTGATTGATTGATTAATGGATTGAGAGCACCTTTGTATTTTTATTGATCTAATAATTTGGCCTAAAAATAATAAGGCTAAAGACATAGAGAACTCATATTTGAGGGAAAACTGACATGTAGAAAGATGAACTGCTTTAAGTAAGCCATTTATCTTAATTTTGGGTGGCACTGGCAGCAATAAGGTTTCATTTCATTTATTTATTTATTTATTTATTTAATATGGACATAGCAATTAACATTGGACGAACCAGATGCATTGTTTAAAGTGTTATAGCACAAGTGCTAATTTTCAACACCTGTCCATAGGGGGCTTTTAGGTTACAAAGATAAAACACATTAGGAAACAAGGTTACAATAAAACACATTATTAAACAAGATAAGACATGTTTTAAACATGGGAACAAGTTTGGCCCGATTTGAGCCACTGTTTAAGCTCTCTGGTAAAGATGTTGATATTATTCTGCAGTTTCAGTGCAGTGGGGAGAGAGTTCCACAGTGTAGCCCCTCTAAAGGAGAAGCTCGACTGTCCAAAAGATTTTCTAAACTTTGGGAGCACACAATCCCCGCTAACTGAGGCTCTGGTGGAAGGTCTGAGAGAGCCCTGACACCTCACCATGAGGCCAGAGAACAGTGGTGACACACAGTTGTTCAGACATTTAAAAGTCAATTTCATTATACTAAAATTTACAAAGTTTTCAAAAGTAAAAAGCTTGTGCTTTTGTATGATATCACAATGATGCCATCTCAAAGGTTTCTTGTCGAATATCTTAATTGCCTGTTTATACAGAGAGGTGACTGGTTTCAGAGTGGATGCCGATGTTTGTGACCATGCTGTAATGCAGTATGACAGATGTGAAAAAACCATTGCATGCATATACAATAAAGCCGCGTGATGTGATAACTCTCTTCTTATAAAACGAAAACAGTTCAGATTTGATTTGACTTTCCTGCAGACGTTATTTGCTTGACTTTGGAACTTCAGGTGTTTATCTAAGATAATGCCCAAGTATTTTGTTTCATGAACCTCCTGAATGGGTTCATGTTCTAATTGAACCTCAAAGGTGCTGTCAGGGGACCTCCGGCTGATAGAGAAACATATTGAGAATGTTTTCTTTACATTTAAAGTTAAATGGGACAGTTGAAGCCATCTTGAGATGTTATGTGAAGCCTGTGTTAACAGCTGCCCAGCCAGTGCAGATGTTTTTGCTGACACATGAATAACTGTGTCGTCAGCATAAAGCTGGCAGTTTACACCCTGACAGCAATCTGGGAGATCATTTATATACATTGAAAACAGCAACGGTCCTAGGACTGACCCTTGAGGCACTCCTAAGTCATTTGGACTCAGGGTGGATTTAACGCTTCCTACTTTCACACATTGTTCTCTACCCTCCAGGTAGGACTCAAACCATGACAGAGGTGTATCTGAAAATTGAAATTGCTGTAATTTCTGCAATAAGATGCAATGGTCCACTGTGTCGAAGGCCTTCTTCAGATCTAAAAACACTGCGCCTACGACATTCCCTTTATCCAGTGAACCTTTGATCTGTTCCAACAAAAAGCAGTTGGCTGTTTCTGTGCTGTATTTTTGTCTGAACCCAAACTGCTGGGGATGCAACAGTTGGTTATTATCAAGATGTTCTATTAATTGCCCAGCTACAATTCTGGATTTGTTCCCAAATCGTACCAGTAATTCCGAACGGGAATTACAAAAAAGGCATAGTGCTTTGTGACCTTGGTCTGTGAAATGCACTGTATGAATATTGATTACATACTTACTTAAATTAACAACGTTTTCACTGAATGATAAACAATCACCCTTTTGAAGCTATGAAAAAAGGTTCCACTAGCCAATCCACTAAAATTAAGACTTGGCTTTTCCATTAGCTGGACTAATTTTAAGTCTAAATGCACTCACATACAGAGAGAAAAAAACAGCTCTTGGCTTATTTTAGTACATTTTGCAGCAATCCTTGCATTTCTAAACCTGTTTTTGAACTCTTATCACTGGGATATAACATGTTTTTGCTCTTATTTATTTGACAAGGAATCGATGTTTGTAAATGAAATAACATCAGATGAATATTTGTAATTTGCTAATTGGAACCAAACTAAACCAAACTGCAATTCTGACTCAATTGTGATTAATCCTGCAGCCCTAATGCGAGCAACAACCAACATCGTTTCCCAATGAAGGCTCATCGGATCCACTTAGAGAAAGAGCTCGTCCTTATTCCAGTCCATTACCTACACAGACACATGCTTACAGCCTTGGAGGTCACTCGGCGGAATAGTCTTTGAAGGCTGAACAGGTCCCAGTGTTTGAGGTGAATGGGAGTTCAATAGAGTCCCAACACTACAGACTAATCCTCCGTAAATCATCGTTTTTTCTTCCACATATATAGCAGAACACAACTCTGCCCTGACACGGCTCTACTGCCATAGATTACACACATGCACTTGGCCTTTAAAGTTCAACATGTGGGAGTTTAAGATGCATTTATTCTCCTTTGGGTTGTAATCCGTGTGAGCTGTATGATGTGGGAAAGTGCTCAAGGACAAGAGGGCTGGTGCAGAGAATTATACATTAAGGAATTAGGTGATGTCAACCACTTCAACTGTCTTTCATAAAAAATAAACAATAAACGTATGTATTTTTTTGACCATTAGGACACAGCACTATGATGGACAGCAAGATTTCTTCCAACAATAACATATTTCAAATAGTCTCTCCTCTTGGCATAATAGGTTAACCAATGACGAGGGGCCCCAAGGTTTTTAATTAATTTTGACCAATCAGGAAGCTGTGTCATTCCCTCTTCATATTTTGGAAAGTTTCTGATATTCACTTGTGCTAATGTCATGTTAATTGCAAAAAAAAGCAATAAACATAAAATAAAATAAAATTATGGTCACAAATATAACACTATCTACTATACTTTAGTCATTTGTGTATGTGTCTTTTTTCCTTTATAAGTGTAACTGTTTCCAAATATATATATATATATATATATATATATATATATATATATTTTTAAGTGTATTATACATTAGAAATTAGTTATAGAGTTATCAATGCAGTTCAATTATAGCCCTTGTATAGCCCTAAATTGCAACAGTAGTATCTCGGAGGACTCTACAAAATCGAATCGAAAATTGAATTTGCCAACACAGATCAGATAATTAAATAGTTCCAACACCAGAATACCACTATATGACCCAAAACAAATAATTAGCTTACAATCTGTGGTGTAGGTCACGTACCTCGGCTGACCAGTTTGACTCCGTCGTACTGAATCCCGGTGGGATCTGTGTGACTCACCGGCCCCGACAAAACACCAGAGAACGGGGCCTGGATGATCCCGAAGTCATCACACACCACGTCCACCGCCTTGTGCAATTTGGTTCCTCTGTAATGGCAAAAAGTTATGGTCCTCCACATACCAGCCACATACTGTACCTGCCACAAACACATTCTATTGAATTTGAGTCTGACATAAATATAAAAAATAATATGTGGCTTTTCTTGGTCATCATGTATTGCCTCCACCTGCTCGAGAGATATTTCTATGTAATGAAATACTTTGAAATATTCAGGACAAACAAGAAAATTTGCATGGTGCAGCTTAAAAACCAGGAAAGTCAATCTGAGATATCTGAAAATCCCTTTTTCAGGTGGAGTCCTGGCTTAGATAGGTGCAGGAGTGGAGTGGGGTGGTCTGTGTGGGAGGGTGATGGGGGACTGTTGTATGTGTTTTTAGTTGCAGGGTAAACCGGAGGTCCTGGAGAAAACCTACACCGACATGAGGAGAACATGCAAATTCCGCTCAGATCCACTCAATCTAACCTCCTAGAGTTGAAAGCCCCACATCCGTAAACATCACAAGCTCGGATTCGATTGTTGTAATGACCAGAGCACAGTACACTCCAAGCTCCATCTGTGGAGACAAGATTATGGTGAATTTTTATGATATAATAATAATAATAATACAGAAACATGTATGTGATGCCTTTATACTGTATTACCCGGAACACAACATTGACTTTTGCCTCTTGGACACTTCTCGTTCAGATAGCGCCCCTGACAGATGAACCTTGTTGACTGGCAGATTCCTCCCAGTGCAGAGCAGCTGGCTCCAGAAAGCAATTTGTTTTTTGTCTTGGTAACTTTTTTCTTCTTTGGAGCCTCCTCCGTCCTCTGTCTCGTGTGATCTGCTGTTGTACGACTGCTCTTGGTTTCTACTCCACTGTTGTTCCTAATTATCAGACTCCCAAAATCGGCTCCTTTTTCAACTTGCAAAGACAAAGTAATGTGGACATCTGTCAAAAAAGATATTTGGGTTGAGTGAGGTTTTTGAGGATATTTAGTTTCCTCCTGAATATGACTCAGTAAGTCATTTATAATTAATTGAAGACTTTGATATAAGGAACAGAACTATGTATATTGCAGTGGGAATGGACACTGCAAAATGGTCGGTGGTATTTCGATGATACAGACTTAAAATTGGGTAGTATCCAGTTTTCATGTAGGATAGTAGGTAGTATTCATGTTTTAAAACAATGCAATTTCAAGATTAAACTGTGATATTGGTCGCCTCGCTACCATCGGATCAAATACATTTATTTTGTATTCAAAAATCAGTCCCCTCGATCAGGTAAACAAACAATTACAACAATTAAGAAATACAACAATACAACTTCAAAACTAAGATTCATTGGTCCATTTGCAAAAACAAAAAGGACCCAGATTATTCCTTGTCCAGATCCTCCTTCCTCAGCAAGCAAAACTCACAAAACATTGGGAGAAAGAGAAACCTCAGGAAAGAACCACCTGAGGCTGTAGACCCAGGACTGAGATCAGGACCCAAGTAGTCTTCCTCCCTTCCCAACCCTTGCGGTCCACATATCCAGGTGGTGTTAAGTTATTGTATGAAGATAAAACTAAAACAGTCTGCTTGTAAAACTTATTGTTAGCGTTCAGTCAATCAAATAGATCAAAGTTACCACATACAACTGAAAACATGGACTCTCCATATTTAAGATTAATATAGTTCCAGAATGTGTCTGTGCTGAGATATGAACCCATTGGGACCAGCACATATGACGTATCATAGACATGGTATTGTCTGGGGCATTCTCATTCCGTCAGCACTCCAATTATCTGCAGCAGACACCGGCCAGTGATCTTCATTAACTCCATTAACCTCTGGAATGCATTCGTCGTCACAATGGCCAGCACCAACACAGTGATTGAAGGAGGAACGGCTTATCACTAAAGAGCTGTGAAGGCGGATGTCTGGATGTGGCGACGAAAGCAATTTAGTGCCACACGCAAAGTGAAATTATGGCTGATAAATCTGCACCAGAAGAGGCAGTGTGCACAAGTAATCAACTCTAATGAGCAGTAGCATATTAAATCTTCTGTGAGGCATTCAGCAACACACCATTATAAAGACATGTTTGGCATTGCCCAAATGATGACGTTCGACAAATCACTGCGGTGCTATCTTTGTGACAATCCCAAACTCTGCCCAAGGATTAGAACAAAAAAAAATAACATTTACGAAACCATTCCAGAACTCAGGATCATTAACCATTCCCCTCAAGATGAAGATGAAGGGATCCTTTATTTGTCCCACAGTGGGGAAATTTCAGTATTGTATCACAAGTTATAGAACAGGAGCACACAGCACAAGATAAGTGAACAATAGCTATACTGATTAAAATAAAACAAAATCTCGAACTCTAGCATCAAATAACAAGAATACAATCTCTATCTTGAAAATAATAATAATACATGTTTAAAAGTTTTACATCTGGAAAAATAAGTGGCAAGTATAAAGTACTGTGTATTCTAGTGCAAGCAAAGTGTAGTTATATGTTAGCATGTGTACATTAGCAGCAGTATGTTTACATCTGTACATTCATTAGCAGCAGTATGTTTACATCTGTACATTAGCAGCAGTATGTTTACATCTGTTCATTAGCAGCAGTATGTTTACATCTGTACATTAGCAGCAGTATGTTTACATCTGTACATTAGCAGCAGTGTGTTTACATCTGTACATTAGCAGCATGAGGCTCTGGGACACAGTGACTCAGTAAAGTGACAGTGACATGTGGTCATTGCACACTCTGACATAAGTAAAGGATATTGTACAGTCTGACAGCATTTTGAAGATTTGGACATGTATGTATTTTTTAGTAAGCAGTTGAAAACCAAAATGTTAGCATTTTTCACGCTCTGTTCTTAAGTTTGGTCTGTATGCTGAGCCAAATTCTCAGTAGACCATGTGTGTGTTTTTTTTTTTCATCTGGTAATAACCTTTTGAAAAATGTTGCTTATAACAAACAGACAGATAGACTCCTTGAGGTTAGAGAAATGGAAAACTCACTGCTGGTGAGGATGCAGATATAATACCATTTGCATAATTCCTGTGAAACTTGGTTTGCCTTTGTTTGCTGTGTACCAATTACTTTCTTGATTTTCTAATCTCCTATTGGCAAAATACAGTGATGCTTTTGAGGCAACTGCTGATTTTGAAGCACTCCAACGTTGCTTTTTTCAGCAATAATTAGGCCTAACAAGGAACTACTCTACACAAGCCTCACATTACTGACCAGCAGGACATTGCTCCAGTAAATCTGACTTCATTTACCAGACTTCGAGTCCTTTGAGTCACATCCTGCTCTTATGACCACGAGTTCCTACTGCTTCTGTCTAACATCATTAACAAGATGGCTGCCTCTCATCTCTGTGTCTCTCTGCAGTCGCCCTGAGCATCCTCCTCCTTCTCCATGAACTAAAGTTATGTGGCATTAGGCATTCAATCATGCTTCTAATGTCTGTGTGGCTACGGACCCCCAGGTTTTTGTCCCTAATAGGCTTCTGTTCATGCTAATCCCCCGGCGAGCGTTCAAATGCCGTTTATTGTTCCAGTAATAGGAGAGTTATTAGAGGGAGCAGTCGGATGGTAATTGTTGTGGATGTGTATTGTCCTTAAGCCTCGATGACTACGTATTATTTCACTGAGCATATTGTCTCATGATATTAATAGGATGAATGATGGTTAAATAGGGAACTTACTTGATTCAATCTTCTTTTTTACTGTTATCATTTGGGGGATGAAACATTGGGACAGCTGCCAGAGCAATTTATAAATACAAACAAAATCCAATCTTTACCTAAATGATTGAGAGTTCGAGAAACTTTAGGCTCTGACATTACTGAACAGATCATTTTCAACTGAACGGCCATTTTTAACTGCATTATTGTGATTTTAATTCTCATTTCTGTTTGCATTGTGTCATTTATTCATAGTTTATACATGTGATTATTGCTAGTTATTTTTGAAAGTGCAAGTACATTCTACTGTCATAAATGTACTTGCACTTCATTTAAGTGCATGTACTTAGTTAACCCTAACCCTAATCAGACCTTTTGGGGATTTTATGAGCTTTTAACCCCTTCATGTTTCTTTTTGATATTTTATGTTATGTCTTCTGATGTTTTTCTTTGTTTGTTTGTTGTGAGGTATTTTTAAATCTGTAATACTTTGAGGTTTCCTGGAAATGGAAGATATTATTGTTATTATTCTTATCTACGGTTTATAAGGCCAAAGCAAATTCCCATAGTTTGTGAATCTTGTGCACTGACAATGGATAGAGTTTCTGATTTGTTCTTATCTACAAAATAGCACACACTGGAGATAAAGGAAAAGCTAAATCATGTTCAGTTTTAAATTGACGGTTTTAATTTCACTGAGGAAATGTAATACAGTCTTATTATTAATTTGTGAGCAGGCTGCATCTCCACAAACTTGACACGTACTGGTCTAAGAGAGCCTCCTCCTGCTTATTTCCATGAATATTGTTCCTATATATCTCTGATGGTAGAATTGTATCAATCACATGTATCAGAGAATTCAAAGATTTTATGTTCTATTTTTGCTTAAACATGCAAGTTACACAGTGAGTATTGTTGTCTGCATGAATCCAAGGAAAGAGAAAACAACACTTCTGAACGTCAGCCTCCATGGGGATGGATGAGTGGATGTATTTTTATTATTTTATTGTGTATTCCTCTTTTGAAAATTGGAAATAGAAAGTGTGACGGAAATAGAAAAACTAATTGCACCCCTGAAACCTGTCTACTTTTTATATGTTCTCATACAGAGATCACAAAGACCCATATAAATAGAAATAGAAACATATTTAAAAATAAATGAATACATAAAAATCTTCAGTTAATTATTTGATACTTACAACAAAAAAGCAAAGCTGCTGTCCAGAATATCTTAATTTGGTTTCCCATTGTGGCTGCTTTAGAAGAGAGCAAAGCACATTATACAACATACAATCAAAAAGTTCATGTAAACTTTGCAAACATGGTGCAAACAGAATAACTGAGTGCAAGTCAGTCTATACGTGACACAGATTCATATTTAAACAGAAGTCAGGCACCTACCACAGACTCAGCAGCTCACGCAGAGGTATCAACACAAAGTGAGCTCTGTGGGAGACCGGACCCCGCCCTCCCAACAGCACAGGATCCCACCCCTGTCAATATTTAGACAGGCAGAAGAGAGAACACTTTCACAGCAGCAGCAGCAGCATTAACAGCAGAGCCAGATTAAATTCAGTAATACACAATTATGAGGTTATAAATGCTTGACTCGCCTCTCAGCAAGAAGGTACTGGGTTTGAATCCCGGTCGGAACAGGGCACTTCTGCGTGGCGTTTACATGTTCTCCCCGTGTCTGCGTTGGTTTCCTCCGGGTGCTCCGGTTTCCCCTACCACTAAAAACATGCACAATAGGTATGAATGTAAATGAGAGAGTGAATGGATGGTGTTGATTGGGGGCTGATGGTCCAGTGTGTTCGGCGTCTCGCTTCTGTCATCACCGTGTGTGGAATAATTGTTACAATATCTGAACTCTGAACATTGTAAAGCACTTTGGGTGACCTTGGTCTGTAAAATGTGCTATATGAATACACATTACTTACTTACTTACTTAATTTGAGTATATTCTGACCATCTTAAAACAAGATTTGCAAATGGGACAAAGTCTTAGTCTTATTTCAATAACTGTTACTAACTTTATTTCCTCATTCCAAGGGAGACATTCCTTATATCTTTTTAAAACAAGAGAATTGAGATTGAGCAATTTTGACTTCCTATTCTTCACTTTTTGCAGTGTAGAAGATACTGGCAGTAATCATTTAATTTTCTGACATAAAAAGGTGAAGCCAGTCTGTCATGAGGCTTCAGTGTGCAAATATTTCTCCCTATTTTTCATGAATCTTTGTGAAAATTTTAATCAGTATTCTGTGAAGATTTTTGTTTATACCCTCCACCCAGCCAAAACACTTAATTTGACAAGGCAGCAATTAAGAGAATGAGTGGTATGCAAGGAAATGGACGAGCCCCAAAAGTGATTCGAGGACACTGAGGTGGCATCAGGAGCAAAGCTGGGCCTGGTTTGTAAAAGAAGATCTCAGCCACAGAATTGCAAATCTGTTGTTGTGTCGTTGGGCAAAACACAGTGGCGTGTGTGTACTGTATCATTTGCGTCTGGCCAAAAGTAAAGTTTTAAGCACTCCTTAAAACACAAAATAATTCCCCATGTCATAGTTCCTGGCCCTAAAACAGTCAGAAAAGTGAAAAAAATAGATAACATAGTGGGCCACCCTCACTCACCCAATAGCTCTCAGCCCAAATGTGATGCTGACTTACAAGTTTGCAAATGATAACGTGTTTTCTTAAATGATGAAGATAGGCATGTCTGATTTTCTCTAATCATTTTACTTTCACAAGAATTTCTGTTGGGACAAACAAAATGTATTATTTATTTAGGTAAAGATAGGTTCCCAAGCGTTGACAACGGAGGACACTTATTTATTAGAGAGAAACAAAACAAATGTACCTCTGTATGTGTGTGAGTGTGTGTGTGTGTGTGTTAGTGGTCAGATAGCGTAGATTGAAAGCCTAGACTGAAATGGGAAGAAGCAAATGCATAATGATGTTTTTTAGTTTATTTTGTCTGACCTATTATATTTGAATACCTGTGTACATTTCTCCCCATACGATACTTCTAATACTTCTACCACTACTACCCAGAATACATCAGTATGGAGACAAACCCCTCCTTTGACTCAGATCAATGGGCTGAATGCCTGTGTTCACTGTGGGAGGCTGCTTCAGGAGAACCATAAATGCCTTCAGGACGTGACTGGGAAATGTTTACGAGTATGTATCGAGTACAGAGGTTTTGGTCGAGCCTGGAGGCAATACATTTATAGAATTTAGTATGCTGCTGTTACGCCATATTGAATCTTATTAGAACAAGACAGCGGTTGAAGCATGGGCCTGAAAAATCTGGGAGATGTGTGACATTGTTGCCTAAGAAATGGTCCACCTGATGAATGTTTTCAAAAACTCTACACCAGAATTCAATTAGTCAAAAACAGTCGTCTTGGTTGTGTTTAATCATTCAATCAGCAGTCCACAAATAGTCCTGACTCTCACACACACTTCACTTCAAAATTCACTGCTATCTTTGTAAAATCTGGAACAGTATTCCTCAAAATGTAAGACAGGCTTCTTCTCTGACAATGTTCAAATCCAGGTTAAGGACAGTTCTGTTTAGCCGTGCAATACAACTGAAGGATATAACATAACTCTTTTGAATGTTCTGTGATTATTCATTATATGTGACTTTATCTTGTTTTGTTCAGCACTTTGAGTTGCCTTGTGTATGAATTGTGCTATACAAATAAACTTGCCTTGCCTGCTGTTCATACTGAGACTGGTGTAGTTTCAGCAGAGTAAAATGCTTAATAACACAAATACGCTTCATTTATGGATTTGTTTATTCCATACTCCTGGCTCATACCAAGTAATGTGGGTGAAGTGAGTAAGTATTCTTTATCTATATTTTATATTTTACAGGCCAGTGTCACACAAAGCAATTTACAGTTCTTGTGAAGTGTCTTGCCAAAGAACCAACCATCCATCCATCCATTTTCTTCCCCTTGATCCATTTCTGGGTCGGAAGGGGGGTGGCAGTCAGAGCTGCACCCAGTACACATAGCACCAGCCCCTCACTGATCCTCCTGCAGGTGGTGAGTCCACAGGAGCTGAGATCTTTTAGCAGGAGCTTCGGACAAAGTGGGGTTAAGTGTCTTGCCCAAGGACACACCGACAGCAGTCATCAGTGGGAGTCGTGAAGTAGGTCTTATGGTGGACTCGAACCCACGACCTTCAGGCCCAAAGGCTAATGCTCTACCAACTGAGCCACTGTCGCCCACGTCTCCAAAGAACACAACGATGAATTGGCACTTTACAGTCGCCCAGAGGTATCCCATCACACTTGTAACCAGGCCCTGCCCTGCTTCTCCTCTAAGGTCTGACAGGACCAGGCTTTCTCATGCAGATGGTGCCAAATTATGCTTAATTATAGAAAATATTTTAAAAAATCTATAAATTACCTTTTTTTTTGACACATTACCACATGTGGCAAAAAAAGCATTATTGAAATACCTGCTTTTTGTGCATACTTCAAATGTAGTAGGTAAGTAACTTATAGGTTCCAATATCCATAGGTTGTTTGCTCATGCTAGCGGGCAAACTTTTCTGAGGCAGTAACATCCTATAGAATTCAAAGGCTTTTCTTCACCCTGACGGACAGGTACTCGGCCTGAATGATAATGTCATAAGATTAAGGGAGGAGCTTGGGCTGTCATTGACTTGAGCCTTTTGCTGCAGTGGACTTTGATAATCAAATATCTGGACAGAGGATTACTGAGATGGACCCCGGGCTTAGATGTGAGGGGATATGGGGGTAGTGGGAGGGGAGGCGGGCTGTAATGGCGGACCTTGAGACGCAAAGAGGAATATGAGAGTGGATTTATTTTACACAGAGCCGGATAAGAGAATTGTGACAGGAGAGTTAATTGACATAATCTCTAACGATGCCACCGACATAGAATATTTGAGCTTTCTTTAGCGTAAATGAGAAAAATGTCAATCTCAGTAAAGGCTTATAACGAGTGATATTCTGCATATTGATTTGATGCCATATAATATAATACTCATTGTCCCCACTTGGCATTTGTTGCATTGTCACATGCATCTTCCATCACCACCTGAAGTACTAGATGGATAGATAAACATACTGTAGGAAAAGACTAGAAAATATCTGGGGGAATCTTTGTTGTAGACATAAGTTTAATACTAATAGAAATGGCAGTTTTTACATGTCTTGATTTATGAAAAAACACTAAAGAAAGCATCATCAATATCTGAAGTAGAACACTTACAGCCAACATGTCGTAAGGATTTGTACCGATTATTTTTATCCTTGCCCTGTGAGTTTAGTTGTGTTTTGTGGAAAAACATAAAATAATATATTATAGCATTTTTATTCCTACAAGTAAAAACAAAGTTTCTTTTTTATCCAGCTAGTACATAAATCATGCATTCAGGACAAAAAGAAGAATACGTGGCTGAAAAGAGTCAAATTAGAAGAATTTTAATATGAAAATTGGAATTCTAACAGTGCTCTATGTTATATGTTTGATTTTTATAATTTTTTTATTTTTATTTTTTTAAAGCTATATGACCCATAAGGCTGTTCAGTCAGAATAACCGCAGAATCGTAATATTTTTCCTCTTACAATAATTACAACAATAAAAAAACTAAACTCTACAATACTTTTCTTGGCTCAAAGATACATGTATTTTGGATAAGCACACACCTGACCCAATTCTGCACTCTCAAATTGTGAATTCCAAAAAAGAAAGTCGATACACTCAGGCGTAGCATCATGGTCCTGGGAGCGTTGTCATTGCACTCTTCTTCACCCTTCCCTTTGTTTCTTTGGCATTTTCAGAATGAGTAGAAAAGATGCCACAAGTGTTTCCTAGCAACAGTTAACAGAAGAAAACCTCTGAAAAATCCTCAGCGTTGCACACACAAACACCCTCCTCTCACCCGAGTTTATTAAAGATACAAGCCAAGATAAGGAGCATGGATACAAAGATTAATCATGAGGTTGTTATTGTGTAGGGGATTCATTTGATTTGCATTCAATCTGGAGGTAGTGCCCGGGTGTGGGAAGTCCGATCATGTGGTATTGTTTAAAAAATATACAGCTATGATTGTGTTTAGCCTTTGGACATCATGGAAGATTTTCAAAACGGCTTGTAGTGTCGAAATAACATCTTAAACTTAAAATCTGTAATATGGTTGATGATCTTCTAAAGAATCACCAGCACATATGCAATAATAACATCAAAGATACATAGTACTT